GTAATGAAAGCTAAATACTGAGATGACAATGATGGCTCGAGGTTGAATAATAATTGAACGTACCTTTGCATCAACTTCATTACTTAATATCAAATGTATTGAAACAAAGCTCTGAACATTTAGATCATACAAAGAAACATTGTGCAAAACAAATGCAACATTACATTTCAATAAATCATTCTGTGGAGAAAATTATTCAGAAACAAGAGGTGATACTTCAGGATTCCAACTGATATTTAAATGCTTACTTCATATCAATTCACAGCAGTTTTAAATACAACTTTAACAGTTTTAAGTTTGCATAAACTCTTCAAAACCCGAAAACATTTTCTGCATTAGTTTTACTTCGTAAAGCCCTTCAAAAGCCAAACGCAAGTCGCGTTCAAAAGCACTCCAAGCTCTTGTTTTTAGCGTAGCTTTGCAAGATTGTTCAAGATAGAAAGTTATTCAAAGATGAATGTTTATGCTGCTAACTTTTACGCTTCTTACCTCACATCTTTCTGTGTTATATCGAGATCAAAAGCTTATTGTGTTAGTTGGTCTTACTCATTGTTATTCAATTTTAATGAACTTTACTAATGGAAAACGAAGAAATCGCTTCTAAGCTTTTACGAGTCATAATTGAACTTCAGTTCTGTTCAGTCAAGACTTGTTCAGTGACAATGTCACCATTGCCTTTGCGTTTAAAAACATTGCAAACTCATTTTATTACATAGATTTCAATACTAACGATCATACAAGATACAAGTTACTTCAGAACACTTTTTCACGCTCTGAAGGCTCTAAACTTTTCGTCTAGCAAGTGTTTCATTGCAATTAAATTGAGATTAGTTTCATTAGTTGAATGGACTAAAAGATCGCAACCAAGAAAATCATTGCTTTTATTAGAAAAATTGTATTCGTTTAATATGTTTGCAAAAACAGTTTCAACTCGAATCTAAACTCGAGTTGAACTTTTTAAGTTTAAAAATAAATGGAAACTTGTTTCACGTTTAAATATTTTATTCAACATTCAATTATTGATGAAGACAAGCAATTCAAAGTTAAACTTTGCTTATTAAACGAGTTTATCAAAGAATCCACCGAATTTCAGTTTCCATACTATTCAAGGTGTTGCTTATTGGCCACCATTTCACCTCATGAATTTCCAGGTAAATTGGATTACCTTTTCTCTTCATCATCTTATACATTTTGTTCGCCTCCCTTTCCTTGCTCGTCTTTACGAGATGCTCGAATAAGCTCTTAAGATGATTTTGACTGGCAAAACAAGAATCTTCTCATCTCTTCATCTTGATGCTCTCTTACCTGGTCTGCATTTCATATCTTATTATTTTTCATCTTCATTATCATTATCATCCAACACGATGTGAAACTCCTTGTGAAAATGATAACTTGTTCAGTTTCCTCTTCTCAATCAACTTACCTTTTCCTTCTTGATTTCCCTTTAACCTGAATATGAACAAGATACAGTCTATTGGTTGTTCACCTGTACTAATGTGTATTTCAACAAAGATAATGCTTATTATTTAGCCAAAACTTTTTCCTCGTTTTCTCTGCTTCTTCTTCACCATCATTATCATCAACATCAACATCATCAATAACAACAACATCCATGCTAACATCCATGCTAGAATTACTCGTCTTGAGCTTTTTTTCCCATTTTTGTTTCATTCTTTTTGGTAGCAAAATGAAAAGCCAACGATCAATACTTGTGAACAGAATGCTGTTCAACCTTTTCTTCCAACCAAAACCAGGGGAAAGTGAAAAAGGAAGAGAAGCAAGAATAAGAATCAAATTCTGCCAACATCAGTAACACTTTCTTTCTCTTTGCTATCATCATTATTATTATATCTATATTTATGCAATAATAGCACTGCGAAAAGCTAATACATGGAAGCAAAGAAAGCGATTCTGTAATGATTATCTTGACTCTGTTTTATTTCCTTCAGCTTCCAATGAATTTAATGATTACCCTTTTTATTAATACAAATATTAAGGGTCGGTCCGGTAATCATTTTCAATCTCATTTAATGTCATTTAATTCAATATCTCATTAAAATTTTTTATCTTGAAACGATATCATTGGTTTGATTGAGGAAAAATGTTACCTTTGTCATGCTCATATAGTTTAAAGTGTCCGGTGAACATCTCTTTATAATTTTTAATTGAGATTGAAATGATTACCGGACCGGCCCTAAGTTAACCTTTTGCCAATAAAAGAAAAGCCTTGTTCAATTTAACTCTAACACAGTTAATTTAATTTAACAACCTGATAAAGTCATAAACAAAAGCAACAATAATGCAATCAAAAGTGTTACTCCTAATGAATACATGGTCAGGTTGGGAGAAAGGTTGCCATAATTAAAGGAAAAATTAACTAACTATTAATGGTTCATTTAGGTTTAAATGCAAAACAGTGTTTAATTAGAATCAAATCAATTTTAATCATAAACAATCATTAACAAGGTTTCGACATTTTGTAAGATTTGGACTGAAAATGTGGCGATTTATGTTTCAGTTATCGATAGCAATGTGAATCATAGTCACAAATCATTGTAAAGCAGCTTACACAGTCCATGTCAGCCTGCTTTGATAATAAAATAAATAACAAAGAAACGATGAGTCAAACGCCATTTGAACAGGTTGAGTTATGGCAAAACTTTATGAGTTTTAGGTTAGGTTCGGTTAGGTTAGGACTTGTCAGTCTTTTAACCTTTAGTCAACTTGAAATGAACTTGAATCATCAAAATCTTCACCTACAAAAGGTTCATTGTTACATTAATGCAAACCAATGATCAACTCTGACTTCACTCTAAACCAGCTCAAGTTATATTCAACTCTTACTCAACGGAAAAGTGTGCTATCTTGTGTATTTTTATTACTACTTGCAAGTCAATCGGTTAAACTTTGAGTCAAGATTTTGAGTTTGGGGAAGTTTTCGATTTCCATGCAACCGAGCATTAATAGCAATTCATTTTTGAACGTGCTACGAGAAAATGAAGGTTTACTTTCCAAAGTGAAGTTCAGACTGCAAACTAATGAACTTATCGATCGTAAAGTTTCAGTTAAAGTTTACTTTTTTTGATTTATTAATGTTTTTGTCTGTTGCAAACTGTTCATATGAACAAACAAATTAATAACTTTACGCTTTTGTTAACATTTAGCGCAATCAAATGTTTGAAAAGTGTTAAAGCAAACTTGCATGGGACAACAATGGTAATGATTATGACTTGGCTTAAATAATAATCATTTTCAGCTCATTCCAAGGATAGTTACTGTGATTTTGGTTTAATTTCATGTACACTATTTAAAGCTCATGCTAAACATAGCAGGTTATGTACCTTGAAACTGAAATTCCTATCAATTGATCATTTTGACAAATAAATCATTGCAATCAATCATTTTTATTCTTGCATCAAGATTCATCCTTTTCCAATTTCGCCCAAAAACGTTGAGAACATTTTTTGTACCTTCTTCAATTGCAATTAATCAATCATGCCAGAAAAATGAATCATTATTATTGTCAATTGATTTGTCATTTTTGTATCCAATCATGATTCCAGACAAGAGTAACAACCATTTTCATGGTGAATGAAACTCACGAAACTCAACTCAACTCTTTTTTTCCTCATCCTCTTCTGGTTCCTCTTTTTTCATGGTCTGAATTGTGTTACTATTACAATTGACGATAAAGATAATGATGATGATGACGATGGTAAGGTTGGTTAAATTGTTATTCAATATTGGATTCCTTAAATGATACCTTAGGATGAACAGTGAAAGTAAACAATGGGAAAAAAAAGTTGCCAAATAAAAGTCAGTAACTAACTGATAAATTGATTTTGCTGAATCTCTTATTCAATATAATGGTCCAGGAAGCCAGGGAGGTTCTGATGGGTTCAAGAAACAAGTCATAAAAGGTTGATAATCTAATTTTGTTGATGTTGACAAGAATTACGAGCAAAAATTTTCATTCACGTTTCTCAATTTATGCTTAAAAATTAAGTCTCAGGGAAAGCCTTTGCATTTGAATGTCTTTTTGTGAATAAAAAAGTTGCCTTTTTGTACGAATTTGCATCAACCCAAAGTCTGAAGTCTATTCAAAATTTATAGCAAACTTGCAAAAATGAACTTTCACCATGAAAGTTTCATTGATAAATCTTGATGCCAAATGATTTTCAGCAACCAATTTTGGCCTCAGCATCTCAAGACAAACGCAAAAATCTTTATAAGTCTTTGTTTTTGAGTAGGGAATTGATTCTTTTACATGAGAAATAATTTCGTTGTATCTTGAATTGAAACGATTTCCCTTTAATCTTAACTCGATTTTAAATTTGCTTCACAAGTATTGATAAGTTAATCTACTTTTACTTTTAACCTTTTCTTGGTGAATTAACTTTAACAGCACTTTATCCTTCTCAAAATTGTGAGTTAATCTCTCACTCATCAGGGTAACACTTAAGCCTTTCCTTGAACGATACTCTGATTGTCGACTATTATTGCCTCAGATTATCAACTATACACTGTTATTAGATTAAATATAATATCATTGGGAATGAAATATCTTGTTTATTCTGTTGAACAAAGAGGAACAAGAGACGGATGAAGAAGATGGAGAAGATGAAGAGGAAGACAAGTAAGAAAAAAATTGTTATTCTTAACATTCTAACATGAGAATCGTAATGAAACAAAAAAAAAGATTGACAATGTAATGAGAATGATAACAGTAAACAGTGTAAGATTAGTTTTGTATTAATATCAATTATCCTTTAAAGTAAAAAGCCTCAACTCAGACCAAAATGGAAACCAATAATAAAGATTAACGAATCAAAACTAAAATAGAAATATCAACTTAACTTTTATTACTAATAAAACTTGAAGTTAATCTCAACTGATGATGACTCAATAGCAAGCTAATGACATTTGAAACTAATATTTCTTCACATGGAATGAAAATTAATAGCGATTTTTTTTCTTCTTTTCCCATAACTTTCATGAAGCAAGAGCCAGTTGCTGAAGAGGAAGAGCGCAATTGGAAAGGAATATGCATTGCCTTCTTTGTTATAGCGACAATTTTTTCATTCATTGTTATTGCAATAATTATTGTAACTCCAGGTAAGAGCCGAAACCTAAAAGATCATGAATCGACTAAACATGGTCAAGATTCAGTGAAGAGTCAAAATGGCCAAACATTTTTGGATAAACTCTTTTCAGCTAAAGTCAAAACAGATAAAAATCAAAATCAAAATTTCTCATCAGTCGAGTCTCTAGTCTCAGCAAGAAAATCAAAGGGATTTCCTTTGAGTTTTTGAGGAATTTTTAAGCTGATCAATTCTTTGAGTTCACCATAGAGTCTGATGATTCAAGTCGACATTATCTGTTCTAACCTTATCTGTTTTGAATAAGCTATTTTGAACCTTCATCGAAAATTCACCTTCTCAACGGAAAAGGATGAAAACTTTTTTCTAAAATCAAGAAACGAACAATGTTCAGTTAGTTGGTATTCCCTTTTTTCGTTGAAATTTCTGCTTCTTTCATTCTCTATTCCATTAATGAATTTGATTCCTTTTGTTTGAAGATGATGATGGAAACAGAGTGAAACATCCTCGTTTGGTGTTAGAAGATATTGTTTCACCACATTTGCAGCCAAAAAAATTTGATGGATCATGGATTACAGGTGAGTTTCCTTTTCTCCATTTGGCTTGTTCAACATTTATTCAACCTTTGATTATTCCTTAGAAACCGAAGTGGCCTATAGGAATCATGAGGGAAACCTCGTTGTTTTTGATTGTCTTGAAAATTCGACTCTTCTACTTGTTCCAAATACAACTTTTGTAAGAATCTCTTTCGATAAATTGATTTTTTTTCTTTCATTCCTTTGAGTCAATTTGGTTCCTTCTCATTTCAAATTGCATTTCATTTTCTCTCTTTTTTCTTCACCTTCAAAATGTACAACAGTTACGAGAGCAAGTTGACCATTATCGAATATCTGCCGATAAAAAATTCGTTTTATTCATAAACAATATCAAAAAGGTAAGTAATAAAAGTGAAAAGTCATTTAAAGAAAAGTTGAAAGATATTCAACTTGCATTTTCCTTATTAAAATGTGACTTTAAAACACTAAAGTTGCAAATTTCAAAGGCCCATAAATTTTACATTTAAACGTTAAAAGTTCACTTTTATTTCCATGAAATGATAATGAAAATATTTTTCCATCTTCATTGCCTTCAAGGTTTTTCAATACTCATTCATAGGTGAATATAAAATATACAATATAAGCAATGAACAAATTTTTACACTCGAAGTTCCTGGAAGTTTCGAAGGCGATCAACTTGAATACGCTGAATGGGGACCAACGGGCAATCAACTGGTAAGTTAATCTCAAGTAATTGAATTTTTCAACGAAAGTAAAGAACTTTTCTGGCGAGGAAATTTGCTCAAAAGTTCGACTTTGATGTTTTATCACTTTACAGGGAATGGTTCTGATTTGAAAATAACTCTGAAGTGACTTTGAATCTTTCTTTTTCTAGATTTTCGTTTTTCGTAACAACATTTATTATTATCCAAGCATTGGTTCTAGTTTGAAGTTGTTGACCCAATCAGGACGTGAAAGTGTCTATAATGGTATTCCTGATTGGCTTTATGGTGAGAAAATATTGAAGACAAATAAAGCTCTTTGGTGGTCACCTTATGGTGATAAACTGGCTTATGCTTCATTCGATGACACTGGAGTGGACACTATGACTTATCCTCGTTATGGTTCCTTCAGTGATTTAAACAACATTTTCCCTCAAATTGTGAGCCTTAAATATCCAAGAGCCGGACGCATGAATCCAACAGTTTCCGTTTGGATTATTGACTTAAAAAGTTTAACCTCAACTGGTTCATTGCCTGAATCTAAACGTATTTTACCTCCAAGTGAAATGCTGGAAAGGTAAATGTTGAAATGAATTGAAAGGATAAAGCTGTAACTCTTTCTTTCTTTGCTTTTCAATCCAAACAGGGAATATTATTTTACAGCACTTTCATGGATTGATAATCAAAGGTTGGCCCTTATATGGATGAGAAGGGAACAAAATTATTCCGTTGTTAGCCTTTGCAGTGCTCAATCAGATTGGATTTGTTCCAAGGTAGGTGCTTATTTGGTGAATAACATTCAGCTTTTCATTTTTTGTCTAACAATTATCAAGTCATTCTCGTGTGAAATAGCTATAAAGGTGTGTTGACTATTTCAATGTTTGCTTTTTTCACTTTCCCTTTAGACCTACTAATGTTATTTTATTCAATCTTTTATTAAAAGCATTTTTTAAGCTTGTCAGGGTGATGATGAATAATGATGACACGAGTAAAGAACAATTGAATACCATGGGTGTGATCATGAGTTTATTTAGATTGATTTGAAGAGGGAAGAATGGGAAAAATCTCGGACAGATTTAATGTTTCAATATATCATCTCGTTTCAAATATTATCAACACTTCTAGTTTCAATTCAATTTTGATAGGCGTTGAGTTTTCCATAGCTAGTTGCTCTATAGCTGAGCTGATGAATTGATCATATTTAAAAATATAGCAACGATAAATTTCGAATGAAAGGAGGGTGACAGAAAGCCTATGTAAAACTGCCAATTGTAAGCCAGCTATTTGATAGTACCATTCGATAGAGGACATATAAACAAGCAAAAGTCCCCACAGGTATGAATTTCCATGTGCGGACTTAAGGCATGAAAAACGCGTTTGGAAGTCGGAAAAAATAACACCGAGATAACAACTTTTAATAAATATTCGAGGCTTATAAACAATAATTAAACATACCTTTAAGTTTTTTTTGCAAAAATACTTCGTTAGCTAATTAACTAAGTTTTTGTGTATTAAAGTATAAGGAGTTGCCAGATTTGGCAATAAACTCAGTGAGCCAGAGGTTTGACACAGGTGAGGTATAGGTTTTTTCAGATGGCCTTTCACCTGGACTATGTTTGGAAATTGTCATTTCGGACTTTCGCGTATTTCCAGAGTTTGTCGGGTTTATTTTTTGCCAGAGCTCCTTTAGTGTTATCCAGTCATCACCAGTCAAAGTTTTGATGCCAGCATTAACAACTGCAAAATCAAAATCTAAAAGGCGTCTGGAAATTTACTATGGTACAGAGATTAAATCACTCAAAGTTGAACTGATTAAACCATAAACTGATTAATATTGGGGTATAAATATGTTGTGCTTTGCTTCACTAAAGTATTCAATTTACATACCTCGAACTTATATAGTCATCATGTCCATCCTTAGAGATATCACCCCAGTTAAAGCTATCCCTAACCAAACTATTGCCCCCATCAGTACACTTTCCCCACTGAAAAAGGGGGGTTTAATTCAATTAAAAAAGGCAGAGGTCTTTACAACGATGCCCTTTACTTTGAATGTACCAAGGGGTAGGAAATAATGATACCGTTTTCAAAATGAAATAATCTATCGATTTTTGATTTTGTTAATTAAATTTTTTTTATAAGATGAAAATTCAGTTCTTCGTCTTTAATTTTTTGCTAGTTTCGTAGTTTTGGGATAGACAGATAACGCTCAGCCCGATTTTAAAAACAAGTCCATGAAAAAAGTTTTTTAAGGTTTAACATGGCGCGTCTATGGAAAATCGGAAAAACTTGATTTTTACATGTTAATTTTCCCATAGGTTTCAGAAAATGTTTTCCATCAACTCTTTTTAAAAATCGATTTGCGGGCTATTTGTGCGTTCAAAAACTGCGAGCATAGTACCAAAGGAAAGATAATAGACTGAATTTTATCTGTATGAAAAAAATCTAACCCAAAAAATCAAAATCTGACATGTTATTTCAATTTGAAATCGGTATCATCTTTTGCCTAACCCTTGGTATATTGACTCTTTTGTGCAAGTTTTTTACATACAGCGAGACTACCATTGCAAGTAATTCAAAGTTTTCCTTTTAGAAGAAGTTTTTGCCTGCAAAGATTTGCAAATGTTGAAAATCTATGGTGCCGCATCTGGGGATCCTCGTTTATCAATTTATTGTACACCTTTAGCTGTGGTGAAAGAAGCCCGCAAATGTACCAAGAATGGAGAGAAGTTAATGGTTTTAACATCTAGCTTAAATGGTATAAAAAATAATAAGGCACACTCTCGTTTAATAATCCTGCATCGCGATACCTCATATCGTATACCGGTGATGATTACCTTTAAATCAACAGAAAGGCCAAAACAATTCTGTAAAATCCGTGTCTTTTTGATTCTAATATTTAAATTAAATGCTTTCCATTTTTAAGTTGATAAAAATATCATTAACCGATTTCACACAACGTTTAAGTGAAATCAATAGTTAAATTGTAAAATTTATTCAATTATCAGCCTTAAAATATAAGAATAGTTAACAATCGATAATCTTATTATCTAAAATACTGCTTGATCAATGATACACAAGACTGGTTTTAAATTGAGTTTGATTAGCATTACTTTGAATAATAATCCCTCAATTATCAGCATTTAAAGTCCAAATGTATTGATTGACTAGTAATTAAAAATCCCAGAACTGGGATAGTCCGAGTGAAATGCTGAATAATCAAGGTTAGTTTACTGAAAGCATCCAAAGATAATTTGTTTCAAGAAAAGCTTTGGTACAAAAATTGGGATGCAAATTCGGGACGTAATCTTCGTAATCTTTTTCAGCTCCAGTTTTGAAAACAGCAAGCAAATTACGATTAAATTGGTGGATTCTTTGTCTAGTTACAGAGTCCATGAACTTAACATACGAAGGTCTTACAGTATCAGGTGATAAAACTCCACAATAAAATATAATTGAAACACAAGCAGCATAAATAATGGGTATTATATTAACTGGATCAGTTAACAAGCCATTTGCATAGCCAAGACAATAAACGTTTTCAATGCACTTCCATGTTACATAGGTTGATATGGTGGAGTTGGGTGAAAGTGTCATATTAAGACTAGCAAGTGAACCGGCCAGAGCTGCATGCCAACCAGCAGAACCATTGCAACTTGTCCGAAGAGTGCGATTGACAAGACGAAAGGTGGCCACAAAAAGTCCAAGGAAACCCGCGAAACGTACATTTTTACTATTACGAGCAGCTCGCAATACAATTGAAGGATCTTTCATTAAACGGGAAGGATTTTTAACCGAAGAGATGAGAGTTAAAATGGACCAAGTTAATCCAGATGATTTAATGAATCCATGGGCAGTATAAGTGAAACAAGATGAATATGTTTTATGAGGACAGGTTGGATGCGAATTGGTCAATAGCGACCAAAGGAATGATTGTTTTGTTGGTAAAAATTGTTTATTGTTGCATCCATTTGATGTGACCACAGCAGCTTTTGCAAGTCCACTTTTAGACTCTTCCCTGCCATTTAAACCTTTAATCAACAGGCTAATCGGATCATTACCAAGACCTCGGGTCCGATAAAGGTACATTAATATTGTCATTGAAGTTGTGACGATGATCCTTTGGTACCCCTAGAAGTAAGCCCTGGCAGTATCGAGAAAATCATTGCCAAAAAGTTGAATATTAGATATGCTGATATAGCTAGTGGAAGGCAGGAACTTGGCGAGAGAACCTGTGTGGTAAACAGCCTTAAAAAAGCTGTTGAAATTATGGCTGGCCAAAAGAAACTGAAAATTGTAAAAAAATATGACTTTGTATTGAAAAAATATATTCAATAAAGTATTTCTGCGTATTGGTTGTTTTGTTTATCTCCCCTTTTTCTTCCCCTTTTCCTGTTTAGCATGCGCGAGTTAAGGCCGCCTTCTTATGTTGTAGATAGACCTTACTTACTACTGTTTTCCATTGGCGTTGTCATTGTGTAACCCTGTACGAACTACTGAGAGAACAAAATTGCATTTAATAAGTTCACAATCACCGAATCAAACATTCAGCTTATGAGGTCATACTGTAAACTTACAAATCATTATTTACACTATTTGACCATTAAAAGTTGAAAGGTACATTGAAAACAGCTTTTTTAAGCTTTTCAACATTTTTTCAGTACGAAAAACCTTTATTTACATTTAAAATACTGTTTAAAAAATTCGACTTTGACCGCGTTTTTTCGGCCTTAGGTTCGAAATTTTCTGTAAGGTTTTGAACATTCCTTATGGGTCGAGTGTCCTCTATCGATTGGCATTGAAAAATCTCTGACTCAAAAACAGGCAGAATCTGTCACTGTCCTTTTGATCAATGAAAATGCATCAGCTCTTAAATGTATTTAATATTGATGAATTATACGCCATGTCTATACCCCAAGATTCCATTCAGCAGCCAATTCTTTGCATATTGAATCTAGACCTTCTTGGATATCAATCACAAAATAGAAAATATATTGATTGATTTGCACTGTCTCACTATTGTTTAATAGTACCTCTTCATAGAGGGAATGCAAATAATTCAATCCATGATCGAAATGCCAAACTGTACACCTTGATTGTATTCGAGTAAATGAAACAGTGATGCTAAAGAATCAAGTACATGGTCTTCAATTCTGTCCATTTCCAAGCTTTCCAGTTCACTTTGGTGAAATACAAACATGAGATTAGTCACCAGGTAGAAAGGACGGAAGGCCGAAAACCCCTGTGTTTCAAGTAAAAAACATTAAAATGTTAGAAACAAAATAATAAGAATACATCGATGAATAACTTTCTGAATCTATTGTTGAAGCTAATTAATTGATTTGTATTGTAAACAAAATCACAGATTACATTTTTTGACAAACAAATAAAGGATACTTTTCTTATAATTGATGTAAAATCTTTAGCATCATTGTTAAAGATATCAATAGATTTTAGGCTAAAAATAAATTTGCATCGAAAATTTAGTATACGCTTCAAGAAATTGGTGATAATAAATCAATACATAAGGCTCTATGAGAATCTAATTTAACCGATTTTAAATTGAATTTATAAAGATTATTGATGCTTATATGATTATATGTTTATGTTAAAAAATTTTATTATTACATCTTATGTTAAGCAGCAATCAAAATCTCTAGCATCGACAGTTCGGGAACTATACTGGCAAACCGTCGTAAAAGTTAGCTGAATAGCCCGGTATTTTACATATTTTGTACTTCATGTTCAGGTGAACAGAATCAACTTTTTTCGATCATTTTCATATGCTTGTGCTAAAAAGGAAGATTGTCATCAAAGTACCAAATAAGTTCATGTAAAAAACGGTTAGCAATTGAAACTTCCTTAACATTTATCACCGGCGATAAAATATCTTGATACCATATTAGGTCATTTAATTACATTACATTCGCAACAACTCAAATCGAACACTTTAATACAATTTAATTAACCCTATTTTGATAAACTTATTAGAAACAATTTTCCTTTCATCTTACCTTTATATCACTGAAATGATGCATTCCAATTTCCCTTCTCCTTCAACTTTCATTTCATTTAACATTAACAAATCAATGAAGCTGCATGTAAAACTTGGTGTATGCATGGTATTAGTATTGCATTAACAACAGTAACAAGAAAAGGTTTCGACTTATATTTTATTCACTAAATATAATTAGATTTTTTTTCAAATGTTGATTCAAGTTTCTTTTTGTTGCCATCTTTACTTAAACATCTCACCAAACCAGACTCAGTCACAAAACCATGTTAATCAATGAGCAAATATTTGTCTATTAACCTATCAAACCTCATTCCAAGTATTTTCATTTTTCCCATTCATCCGAGCACATCTTTACTCACTTATCATATTAAATATACCGCATAAACAAAAAGCTCAAATTCAATTGTTCCTAATCAAGAAACAATAATCTGTGAATAGAGAACTTGGAAAAGCAGGAAAAGAAAGAAACGAAAAAAAAGTTTCCTTCAAACATCTAATTGCAAATGTATCTCTAATGTAATTATCTCACAACAATAGTAACAAATTCATCATCTGAAAAGATGAAAATGATGATATGAAAAGATCAATAGTCGAGCTTATTTAATATTGATAAACTTGTACAATATTTATCTTGTCTCATCATCTTTACCATCAGAACTTTACCTTTTTTTCCTCATGTTTATCTGAATTTACATTTTGACTATCATCAATAGCTGGGAGTGAAAGGTTATCAGGCAATCATTGGATTGACTTTTGATGAGTAGAGACAAATTGAAATGTTGATTGGAAAATTTTTCAATTATAATGTTAATTTGACCCCAATTTGGGTGTTCAATTAAAAGGTAAAATTAATTTCAAGTGTTTAACCAGTTTCACCCTTTTCTCAATTTTAATTCAAATGTTTAGCTTCATGGTGAGCTCATGTAAAGAGATAAAGTTTTTTCCTTCTTCTTTCCTCTTATAATTGAAATAAGTTTCCCTTCAATCTCAAAGGAGTAAACAATCGATTAACTGTAATAGCTGTTGATGGAAAAGATGAGATTTATTCGGTGAAAACATGGAACAGAAGCATGGTAAAGAAAAGAATAATTGACACAAAATAATATCACTTTGATGAGTTTTCACTTTCATTTCCAATGAACTTGTCAATGGAATGTTGAATGAAGAATTTCTTCTTCTTCTCTAAAAAAGTCACTCTTCAATCTTTAGCTTACAAAGGTTAAAAGTGTCGACTTAATTGACCTTCGTGTTTATTGTCTAGCGAATTGAACTGTTCACGCAATTAGACTTTTCACAATGATCGAAGTTACCTTTTGATCAAGTGATGAGTGATGGCAAACATTAGCTATTGTTAATCAATTAGAGCAAAGAAGCAAATGTTGATAAAAATTTTGTAAAACTCTTTTTTTCCTTCTTCTTCTTCTTCTTCTTCTCATGCCATTCTGTGATTCATTCATCATTTGGTTTTTCCCTTTCAATGTTATCATGTAACATTTTCGGATCCATTTTCTGGTTCCTCATCATCATCATCATGGTAAACTTTAACACAAAACTTTGAATGGAATAACCAAAATGTTAAATCAACCCAATGGCTGAAAACAAAGCATTTGGAGGAAAAAGTTGACAGTGAAACTAAAGGAGGTTGGGTTGAGATGTTTGAAGCTCCATTAATAACAAAGGATAAAAGACATTATCTATTAACATTACCCTTAAGTGAGCCTGAAAGTGGATCATTTCGTCAAATTGTGATGATAACAATTAACGTAAGTATTGCACCTATTTTGCATTCACATTTCAATCCAATCGAGAGTTGATTAATTAAATCAAACAATTTGATGGAAATGAAGTGAACAGTAAAAGACATTTGGAAACATTTGGTTTGAAAGCCAAACTCGAGAGTCCAGTTTTCTTATCCAATCGCAACTGAATCTTGTTCATAATGTAAAAAGTGATTCCAAGATAATCATGATGCTGATATGGTTAAAAATGATAATGATGCAACAAAATAATAATACGCTTGGAAGAATAGTTAATTAGCCAAATCAAATGAAATCCTGTTAACTCTGGCAAATGGCTTTCTATTGACAAGTTTACAGGGATTGTTTCATTGTACAAGATGAAGAGTGATGAGCAAAAATGAAATAAAGAGTTAAGTGTAACAATCAATTTTTGGGTTTAGAGTTGCTTGATCCTCTTGTATGTGGTTTAACGGGTCACTGGTTCAGATTAAAATCATAAATTGAAATCTCTTTTTACATAACATTTCCATCATATTCATCAACGTTTGGAAGCTGTTAAAGGTTTAGAAGAAAAGTTTCACGTTAAATTTACTTTCGATTTTCAGACTTGCTCTTTTCATCTGGAAATTATTCTCGACTTTGAAAGCACGCAATTTGTGTTCTTTAATTGTCTTGAGCTACTATCATTTAATTAGTGGAAATTGCAACGACTTTTACTCCCAGTTAACCTTTCAACCTCGCATTTTCACTCCCATTTCAAGTTTTCCTTTTTTCCATTCTTTCAACTCTTGTTCCAATGGGTTCGAGTTAATGGATGAAATGAATGATGAACATGGTAATAATGGGTTAAACAGGATTGAAACAAAATAAATATTGCAGTTAATTAATGCCAATGTTAACAGTTTCATTGTTGATGAATATTAATGTTAGCTGTGAGATCAACTGTAGTTTTACATTTTACATTTAACAGTAACTTGAGTATTCAAAGTGTCCATTTTGCTTGGATTTCATTTTTGGAGAAAATTTTGTTTTCTGTTTTTCAGTTTGCTTTTTTGTTCTTCTTTTTGTTTAAAGTTAATTCTGGAATCGATTTTTACTCTGAATCTTGGGTGAAAGGAAAGGTGAGAGGAAAATTAATATGATTGAAACAGGAAAGAAGAAGATGAAGAGAAGAAGATTAACTTGATCCGGAAACTGTGATAATGCATTTTGCTTTTTCTTATTTCATGAGACACTTAATATTGACTTCATCTTTTTTGTGGAAGGAAAGATATCCAAGGATCATCAGTTAACAGTCAATGATGATAACAAATCTGGAAAAAAGAAGTCAACTTTGTTCTGAAAAAAGGAGGAAAATGATGATGAGGAGAAAGATTGGGGCAGAAGATATGAAGGACGAACGAAATGTTGAAAATTGAACCATGTAAACAGATAGTGTAAAGAGGCATTGGGAGGGAATTGAATGATGTTATCATTGACGAGAAAAGTATTGCTATCAAAATGATCATAAAGTCAACCACGTTTTCTTGCTCTTCATCGATCCATTCAACGAGACAAACTTTCCTATCTTGGCTTGTAAAAAGTTTGCCAAGTTCAATGAAAAGACAGAAAATTGGCTCCATTTTCATCCAAACAGGTAATCATGTTTCAAGAGGAAACATTAGGAAATTTGGATTGGAAAAGGTTGCAAAGCAAACAAAATATCATATTTTTGTTAAAAAATAAACTGTTTTTTTTCGTCTTCTAATCAAGACGTGAATCCGTTAGTTATCAAATCCCTTAGACTCTTCAAGATGATAAACTATGTGCTTTTTTATGGTCCATTGTGGTCATAACTCAAAGACGGTTTACTATTGGTTTCAGGTTTGATTTATGGCTAACGAAAATTGAGTGGTTGAATTTTTGGTTAGTCGAGTTCACTCGATTTTTAAGTTCATTTTCTTAAACTCGACAGTTCATGTTGTATAAAAGATATGAGTGTTTAAACATCCTTTATTTGGACTATTTTAGTGATGAGAAAACTCGTGTTTCTTCCTAATGATAAGTTACCGACTTCTGGTAAACATCAACCAGAAAAGATAGCAAATATATTAATAATGACCTTCAATCTAGAAATGGGAATCAGATATCAAAATAGTGACTTTGAATGAAATTGGCCTTTAAACAGCGCCAGTGAATGTAGCAAGTCTTTAACTCTTCTGGTTACGTATTTAATCGTATTAACATCCTACAACAAAAGTTGCAAGTTATCTGATTAGTTGCATTCGATTCGGCTTAACAATAGAGCTCGCTGTCTTGATTCCCAAATGAAGAGAGCGTTTGAAAAACGCCATTTATTGTCTATTTGTATACATAGATGAATGAGACAAGTAATTGAATGTACAACTTGTGACGACGAGCCTTTTGTTTCAAAAGTTTTGTGCTGTATCCTCATAACATGTAGAAACATTGATTTTTGATACTTTTTTCTAGTTTACCTTTAATTTACCAATCGAAAGATCCCGAGAGAATCAGATACTCATAGAATCTAATTTTTCTGTGATGGAAAATCTTTCCATCACTTTTATTCGGATGACTTGGGACACTTCTCTCGTTAATAAGTTCAGCAAATATCAATCTGTTATGCGTTAGAACTTTTATTCATTTTCTTTCTATTCTTCCATTCTCTAACTTGTGCATTGGCAAATTATGTCAAGCAAACTGTAATAAGTTTGCATCATTGCCTTATAAGTTTATTAATATCAGCATTCACTGAGGTTAAGAGGCGATTTTTGACGTTTCAAGTTTGATTTCATTGGTGTTGGTTATAATACAATTTTTGACCTGAATCTAGGCTTCTAATGTTTTCCTTTGTGTATTACAGGGTCGAGTTAAAAACTTTTTGACTCAGGGTCAGCAAGATGTTACTCAAATACTGGCCCATCGGCATGACACTCGAACCGTATTTTATGCAGCCACACTGGAAGACAATCCTGGAGTTCGTCACATCTTTAGCATTCCCGATATACACTCTTCATCACCTCGTAATCCTTACTGTTTAACCTGTAACCAAACTGAGAGAAACTGTTCATTCAATGATGCACAATTCAATCCAACTGCAAAATATTACATACTTCAATGTCTTGGAGCTGGAATACCTTGGACTGAGATTCGTGATGTTGACCAAAATGAAATATGTAAGCAAAAGATTTAACCTTCAATTGGTTCACTTAGTTGCATCCTTTTCCCAGTCAAATACATTTACTTTCATTAATCGTTTATCCGACTCAGATTACTCTTGTTTTTATCCCATTCACCTTCCTTTTATCCTCTTTTCCACCCTTTACCAGTTTCTGTTTATGTATGTCATTATCAATCTTGACTACCAATTGCTCATCAATTTGAATATCAGAGAAGATAAAGTTTCATCGATAAATCGTGAATATTTGAATAACAAAACCTTTTCCATCTTTGAATCTTTTTGTCTTTTCCAGTCAATCAATGAGTTTAAATCTCAACAATCACAAAAGACAGAAATGTTTGCATTTTTATTGTTTCTTGAACGTGAGATTTGTACGCTTAAGTGTGAACAAATTGAATCACTTGTGAATGCAAAGTTAAATCTCAAAAAGCCATTTCCACGTCAATCATGATTGGCGTTTGTTTGAAATTTCATTTTCTTCTAATAAATCGAAGTCACTTTTTCTTCGCACCTTTTTGTGAACTTTTTGTTAAGTTAATTAGCTTCCATTAATCTTGATAACATTGATCACAGTATTACAGACTCCGGTTGACAAGAGATTAAAGGAAATTGTCGAGGAAAGAGCATTTCCACAAATGAGATCTTTTCGAGTTCCAATTTCGCCTGATTACAGTGAGTATTTTCAATTTACTAATCCTATCTCATTCCAAGTGATTTTTTAACAAAATCTTTATTCTCACTCTTCTAGCTGCCGAAGTCAGGCTTATATTACCACCAGCATTGAGAGAATCTGAAGAAATTAAATTCCCATTGATCATTGAAGTGTAAGTTTATTGTGAATCTCATCAACAATGGAAACATTTTTTTCATATCCACTAGAAATGGGGAAAAAAGGTCAATTATTAATGGAACCAGTCAGATGGTAATAGTTGAAGTTTATAAACTTGTACAATGAATATTTTTAACCATGCTTCAGTAGCTATTGATTACATGCTTTTCAATATTGAACTCATGAAATGTTCAGATCACATAACATTTGAAATAACTTTTAAGTTTTGATACTTGAAGTGTCCTCTAGTGTCGCTCAAATAAAACATTTATAAGTCTAAAGATTAAAGGGGAACAATGCCATCTATTGGATTTTTATCATTAATCTTTACTGTTTTTTCGTTAACCCTTTATTAATGTTTAGTTGATTAATTCAATGAAAGCGTGTTTTATAAATTTCCATGCTTCTAATGGTTGATCAAATTTTACAATGTTTATTGTGGATGTCAAGTATTATTATATTTTAGCTGTAAAGCTTCAAAATTTTTGTTTTAATAAAACATGGAATTAATTGTTAAATGTTTATCTCAACTGCAGAGGTCCAGAGCCAGGAAATCAAGACGTTAACCGCAAGTTCAACATCGATTTTGGCCTTTATCTAGCAAGTAATCGAAGTTTCATCTATGCACGTGTTGATGTCCGTGGTACTCGATTCCAGGGAAATAAAGTGTTACATGAAATGTACCATAAATTGGGTTCAATTGAAGTTGACGATTACATCAAGGTAGTGAATCATTTGAAACATCATTACCATTTCATTGATCCTGGTAGGATAGCCATATGGGGCTGGGCATATGGCGGTTATGTTGCTGCTGCAGCGTTGGTTCATGGACATGAAAGTATTTTCAATTGTAGCATTGCTGTTGCACCAATCACGAATTGGCTCTATGTAGGTGAGTATCGAGGCGAACACAATCCAGAGAAGTCCAGTTTTTATTCAGATAAAAAAAACTCGTAGCTTTAAATTGACATTTTTTATAAAGAAATATAAATATCTCATTAGCTGCTGATTTAATCAGTCTCTGGAAGCTTATGATATTTGGGTTCAATTAAAGTTGCTATTTGATTAATTTCTAATATTTAATTTTTTCTTTTGTAGATTCATTTACGGCTGAAAGATATTTTGGTGGTCCATGGGTTAATGGTAATTATGCACGTTACCAAAGAGCCGATTTATCTGACAAGGCTCACCTCTTCAGAGGACGCAATTTATTTATACTTCATGGAACAGCTGATGGTAAGTTGATTTACTATTTATTAATGAATAACTCTTTTTTGATAGCTTCCTAATTATTTTCCTCGTCTATTTTTAGATGCTGTGCATCTTCAGCATTCATTTAGTTTCATGAAATCACTCAACAGCAAAGGAGTTTACTATCGTACTCAGGTTAGTAAATCATCGATTTTTCATTTTGTTTTAAAATTACCAAGAGAAAGAAATTAATTATCCTTTTTTTGTGTTTATCCAGGTTTACCCTGACAGTAATCATTACTTGGAAGACGTACGGTATCATCTCTATCACTCAATAGAAATTTATCTTGCTGAAATGCTGGGATTACAGGGTCACCATTCTAGTCATGAAAAATGACTTAAAAGATAGAAAAATGAATATTCATAAACTGTAACTGTTTTGATGACTCTATGGGCTTGATCATTTTTCATTTCAACGAAAACTGGCCAAACTTCAAGTTCAAAGGAAATTTATTGCCAACATTTTGACTCCATTAAAGAGGACAGCTGAATCATGATGGATAAAGTGTCAATTTTGTTGAAGTACCCTTGACTCTTGGCCCAACCGCAGTTGGTCATCTACACTTGTATCATCATATTGGACTATTGACTTCAGTCAATTTGAAATATTTTCCTCTCTCTCACTTTTCTCTCTTCCATTCAAATTGATTCAATAATGTTAATGTGTTACATGAATGAACATGCAAAAATAATCGTTAATCATTTTAAAAATTGAATCAATTTGAATCATCAGTTCATAAACTTTACTATCGACAAAATACTACTATGTAAATGTTATTATGTAAAAAACTTGTTAACTTGAAAAGTTCAGTTTATTAATAGCCATAAATTCAATTCTCAATCACTTAACTGACAAGAAAGAAATTTATTTTTTAGATTTTTTCAATTTGAACAAACAGAATCAACCAATAACCTTTAAAAGCTAATTCATTTCTGTTTAAACTTTAATTAGCCAATTTCACCAAATTGTCATGATGAATGGATCATGATTGATTGCCGATACTCCAACATTTCAACTCAAATCTTTTGTTTTTGAAATTTTTTACAAAAATCTTCAATTTCATTTCAATCAGAATTGTTTTGAATTTACAATTTCCATTTACTTCCATAATTGAAGCACATTATTTAAAGAGCAATAAACATGAAATATATTGATTAATGCAACTCTAAATTGTTTGCATTGATCAACCTAATCATTCACATTGCGATATTTGCAATTTAAAAACATGACAAGTTAAGCAAAATTATTATAAATATCGCTCTTTTCATCATCATATCTGTTTGTCAAAACCTTCAAATGTATCCATAATGTTTTAATTTTGACCAACCACAATACAGTCAATATTGGACTTGACCCGTCTATGCAACCTGCACATTGTCCAAGTAAAATTGAAATGTAAAAAAATTCAGAAATGAATGTATTCCATGGAAAAATGCTACACATTTTCTGTAAAATACTGTCATGTTAAAGATTTTATGCAACTTTTTCATCCTCTTATTTTAATGTAACTATTAATCAGAAAATAATAAATGTAAAATTATCATTCATAACTCACACTCAATATGAAAAAGCTACTCAAGTCACTTATAAACTTCCCCTTAATGCCATTTGCTTTACTAAACTAAAGTCCGTAACTTATTTGTATCCAACATGAATCAATTATTAAGTCAATCAGTCCTTGATAAAGCTGATCTGAAAGCCAAAATAAACAGAAGCTTTAAGACACGGAAAACACGAGGAAGCTGGTTTTTCATGATTAAATAGATATTGTTGAAAATTACTTTGAATCTAGTGTTTATCCAATCTTTAAGTGTTTTAAAGAGTACAACCAAAAACTGATTTAGGTATCGTTCAATATATCCGTTCAAGTAAAGTAAAAGCTAATAAAATTTAAGTTGCAAGCTCTTAGCCACTGAGTTATCTTTTAATTTTCATTACAGTGTTTGCCGGACACAAATATTTTTATGTTTGGGTGGATTTTAAGAATGTATCTGAAAGGCAATTTGAATATCACAAGAGCTGGACAAATGGTTATTCATGAATAGATCATTCCTCTTTGATGTTTACAAGATGAATTGATTTGACTGATAGCAAATAATTACAATTGAGGTAACCTAGAAGCAATTATGAATCAGGTTTTTTGGTAAGCAAACAGGTATAAATGCTGTTAACAAAGTAATGCGAGAGTTGAAAATGTTTTGGATGAGAAATGTTGAACGATTGAAGCAACTACATTTCTCAACATTTTCATGAAAATATCAGAATGAACAGAGTGAGGTAACTTTTTTTGGGCTGTCACAAGTAATGGATCAAGATGGTAAAGATTAGTTTACACATAGTTATGTTGGGTAAAAGGTGAAAAGGTATCACTGGAATCACAGGAAAGTGTCTTTCATGTTTTTCCTCCCTTTCTTCCGGATGATGGAGCAGAAAAAAATTTAAATGGCTTTGAGGTGAATTTTAATTGACTGGTTAATGATCGCTCAATGTTATTGCCACCGATGTTTTTAGCTGATGTTGATGGTGATTATGATGATTAAAAACGATGCGCATATCAATAATGAAAGGTTATTAAATTGAGAAAATGTTTTCTTTTATTTTTTTCAACAGAATGGAGAAAGAGAGAGAGAAAAAGAAAGGAAAGGAAAGAAGACAATTTCAAGACGATGATGAAGGAAAAGAAGACAGAGTTATTACAAAAGTATAAGATTATTGAGAAGGAAAATTATGTAGACTTGATTGCTTACAAATTGTTTCAGTTTGATTGTGGAAAACATTTTATACCAAAATAGATTATTTTTTTTCTCTTGTTCAATTCAACTTGTTTAGTTTCAATCAGATGATTTTTTTCCAAGTCTACAATCAACTTGTTGATTTTTGCATTTGTTGGAAATCCTTTCCATTGGTTCGTACGATTGAAACCAACAAGAGATGAGAAAATATCGTCAAATTTGTAGATTGACCGATTCCGTCTGGTGGTTGTTGATTGGTTGTTAATAAAAATAGTGAAATGAATTTTTGCTTGTGAATCAATGATGATAATGAGAGAATGAAAAGAAACGCTTGATGAGTTAATCTTCTTCTTCTTTTTCCAATGTGAATGAAACGATGAATGATGTGATTGAAGTATTTACAGAATGAAATTTTTTAAAATCTTTCTAATTTAAACCAAAACCTAAATTAAATCATTGACTGGTAAACCCATTCTTAATGACTCTGTCCTTGATCTTCACTGTCACTGGTTGTATCTGTAATGTAAAGAGAAACAGAAAAAGGTTAACAATTTGCAAATTAAATTTGAATCTAAATGACAATTAACTTTATACATTACCTCCTTTCTTTCCATTATATTGGTGCCTTCTTAATCTATCATAGAGATCTTCTTTATTACCATATATACTTGGATTATTAATACCCTGAAGGGTTGCAGTTCCATTGGCATTTTTTGTATTATGAAGTGATTCTTTCATGTAAGTTTCATTATAAAAATTAGGCATTTCCCAGCCATCTTCATCATCATCATAGTAGTGTGCGTACGTTGAATGGTGACTTGGAGCTATACTTTCGGCATAAGGCACTGGAGCACCATAATAAAAGTTTGGTTGAGCTCCATTGGTACTAGTTGAATAAATATCAGTAGCTATGGTTCCTGCTCCTAGGACAAGGGTGAGAAATGAGAAAAAATAAATCATAAGTATTTTGACTTCTTTTATTGTAATTGGAGTTTTGTTTTTAAATCAATAATGACTTTAACTAACCTGGTGTTGGCAAAGTTGGAATGGACAACTTTTTACCAAAGGAACCTCTTGAGGTTGAGGTTCGAACACAAATCATCCAGATGAGAAGAACCATTAAAATAATAAATAAGACAGCAGCTCCAATACCGCCAGCAATGTAAATAAATTCAGATTTGCGTTCACATTTATCACCAAAGAAGTTGGCTGGACAGTCACATTGAGGTCGGTTAGTTTCCGTGTTAACCGAGCAACGTCCACCATTAATACAATAATCATCACAGACATATTTACAGATTTCTTTTTTACTTGCATTAGGCTCATCGGGTTCATCTTCTGGATAAGTTTTACGGTATTTGGGTTTACATTCACAAGCATACGATTGCGTTTCCTTGTGGAAGACGCAATAAGAATTGGCTTGGCAAAGTTGAACCTTTCCGTTAACTAAACATGGGTTAGTACATTGAGATTCACTTGTTGATCCAGTTCGATTGGTTGTGGTATCGGGTGGACATGGGATACATGATGTATCTCGTTGTTTAGAGTCTTGATAGCTTCCTTTAGGACATAATTCACATGATTCGGTTCCAGAGGCACTTTCAATGTGAAGATATTCACCTTCATTGCAAACGGCTAAAAATGGCAAAAAAATGGAATGAAATTTAATTAGAAATGAGAAATGAAGAAAAGGGTACAAATTAAAAGTTGATTAATTATAAATTAGAAAAATCAAACTTACTCAAGTTGCAGTGATTACGATCAGATGCACCAAGGAAACCAGTTGTTTTGCCATTATCACATCGTCGACATTCATGTAATCCATATGGCCTGTAGTAACCGATTTGACATGGTTCACACTCACCGAGAGCAGATAATTGGAATCCAGGTTTACATTCAGCTATAAATAAAGGAGAGAAAAGGAAAAAGATTAATTGGTTTATTCATTATTTGACATGATGTATAACGAATGGAGATGGGAGGAGATAGCCTTTAAGGAATTTATCCAACAATTTTTGTTCAGATTAATTTAATAATGGGGTAAAAAGAGCAATAAATATAGAGAAAACACTTACGTCGACACTCTTGAGGTGAAACAGCTTCAGAGCTGCGGGTTGTCAATCCTTGACCACAAGGGATACAATGGAATGAACCTTCATTTGGCTGATAGAAACCATTACCACAATGGCGACAGATTCGAGCTTCTTCATCATAATACTGACCGGGAGCACAGCGAGCTTTACAATCATTTGGAGATCGTGATCCAGGTCTTGCAGTGATTCCCTGTTTACCAGAGATTACAGGACAAGGTTGACATTCAAGAGCACCAAGTTCATTTTGATAGAAACCAACGGGACATTCAACACAAGTTTTGGTCGATTCTTGATAATAAGTACCAAGAGCACATTCAACACAATTTGGTGCAGCAACTACTTGACCAGGTGGACAAGCAAAGTCAGTAACCAATTGTAATGAAGTTAAATCGGGTACAACATTGGGTAAAGTGTCACGAACATCGAAAATGGCAGACTCATAAACAGCTTTCTTTATTATTCTATCGATAGGAACATTCTTCTCTCCCGAAGATGGATTAGAAATGACTGGATCTTTGTTGGCAGGGAAAGCAACTTCAACAACATAAACATCTTCATCCTCTTCGGTTGTTGATCTTGCTTCTCGTCTAGGTGAACGTTTGGTACATTGAACTTCAACCGTTAAACCGCGACATGTTCCTCTGGTTTCATCGGAACATATTTTCCAGTCTCTGTCAATCTTGAGAATGTTTTCAGCAACTCGAGAATTGAGAATACGTTTACCGGAATCAGAGCAGACTACGGAAGATGGAAGAGCCATGGCAATGCGGAAAATCTTTTGAGCAGGATGAACAGGAGCACAAGCTGGGAAAACAAGAGGTTTCATTGGATCTTCGGTGGGTCGCCAAAATCCTTCTTCACCACAAACGTAATAGTAGGGAATGGGTTGAGAAAAGGCATGGCCAGGATTACAATGGATTTTACAGTATTTGTTCATTCCACCTTTACCCCAATCACCGCAAACCTTTTCACCGCCAATGGGTGGTAAAGGAACAGGACATCTTTCACGAATAACACGAACTTTGAAATCACATTTAGCTGAATTACCAGCTTCATCGACAGCAATGTAAGAAATTTCATAAGTTCCCGGTGGGAATATTTGACCTTGAACAATATCAGCGGGAGAGCGAATAACTTGGACTGATTTAAGATCGTCAACAAATTGTGGTTCTTCCCATTCGACTGCTGCTGAACCGTTTTTACTGTGCACCCAAATGTCTGAGGGACAGTAAAGTATTCTTGGTGGTGTTTTGTCTTGTTCCAGTGTTTTACACTCATCACCAACAAAACCACGATCACAGACACGTTGGCCACATTTACCAGGCGATTCTTTCTCGACGGTTCCTTCAATTCGATCATATCCAGCCCAACGAAGGAGCAAACCATTGAATATAACTGGAGCGTTTTTGCAGCTACGGAATTGTGAGGGAATTTCTGCCGACATGTCAAGGAGACGATTCCAAATATTGAACCTAGAGATTCTTCCGTGGAAACCAGTTTTTGGTACAACATTATTGTCATCGTCCAAGATGGCACCAAGAGCAACCCAACCATGTGTAGGTGTGGATGATAATCGCATTCCAGAGAAAGCATAAGTAACTATACCGGCAACTGCAGTATCTGTGATTAAGGTTACAGTTCCTTCTTCACCATTCCAGAGGACAACCAAGTGATGCCATTGGCCATCGTTAACGGGCACATTAGCCAGGTAAGGAATGAATACATCGGTAAAGTTGTCACCACGGAAGAAAGAAACTGTAATACCTCGCTGATCTCCAGACATAAGAACCTTTTTACCGACTGGAAGGTGAGGCGAGTTTACAGAGTAAAGTGTAAAATAGTTTCCAAGTGAATCGGGTGTGTGATATTGAACCCAGAGAGCAACGGTTAGCGAAGTTGCAGTTTCACCAAATTCAAATGGTGCAGTAAGAGCAGCTGATGAGGATCGAGTTTCATCGTTGATATAAATATCATGGCCAATGTTGATTGATTTGCGACAATCTTCTCCCGTCATGTTGAATGGACATTTACAATAGAATCCATTGGTTAAATCAACACAAGTAGCTGTTGGTGGACAAGAGTTTGGTCCACAATCGGGTACATCAATGTCACAGTTTTTACCCATCCAACCAGGTGGACATAAACATTGATAATCATCACCTAGATCACGGCATGTTGCACCATTGGCACAGACGCCACCATCGAGACAAGGATGATATTCAAGGTGACAACCATCACCAGCAAAACGAGCGGGACAGGTACAGTTAAGGCCTGAACCAAAGTCACGGCAAGTACCACCATGTTGACATGGTTCACCGATACATCTTTGTGGTGAGGTTTGACAGCGTTTACCATCGGTACCAGATGGACAGACACAGAAGAAATCTTGGAATAAATCAACACATTTGGCATTATTGAGACAAGTATCAGGTTCGCAGTGACCAATATCTTGTTCACATCGTTCACCAGACCATCCAGGTAAACAGGTACATTTAAATTCGTTGATTCCATCAACACAGGTAGCTCCATTGAGACATGGATTAGAGGCACATTCATTAATATTTGTTTCACAAAATTCACCGGTAAAACCTTCATGGCATTCACATTTGAATCCATTGTCTTGATCAATACAAGACGAGGTTCCTGAAGAGTAACATGGATTATTGGCACATTCATCAACTTCGGCTTCACATTGAAGCCCAACGAATCCTGGTCGACATTGACACATAAACCCATCAACCAAATCGTAACAAGTTCCACCATTTTGGCAAGGTTTAGCTTCACAAGCGTCAACCTCATGTTGACATAAAGATCCAGTGTAACCAGCATCGCAAACACAACTGTTCAGGAAATAAAAAATACAATTAAGATTCGAAATTTTCACAAATTCTTGTAACTTGAATTGCAATTTTCCCCTTATTGGTCTGAACGATGATTAAAAATTACTTATTTCAATCTTCGTATTCGTGTAAATGTCCCATTTAATCTTATGCATGTCTAAAATTCAATTCTGATTTCAAGCTTGGTCTATGGTTCAAGACTTACAGTTCAATTCAGCTTATTTAATCATAGAATAATTGGAATTCTTGAGTGAATAAATAATTTTCTTTCACAGAATAGAGAATGTCAATTGAAAATAGATTCCAATACTATTAGAATACACAATCAAAGGAATATGGATCGTCAATTTGATAAGCAAAGTGTAGCTGACATTTTCACAACTCACGAAAGTTAAATAAATATCAATAAATGAAACTTGTTAGTTAATTTTTCATGATTTCCCTCATGTTTTGATCGTGCAACATTAACCATCATCAACTGTCTGGTCTATTATTTTCAAAAATATTGAATTTTTCAAGTCACATCAATTCAAGTGTCTGCCAAATAACATGTATTTTATATTGGATTAAAATGTTACCAACAAAAAAGTATTAGAGTTTATCAGCATTATAATCTTGTAGCATTTTTAATGGTTATCATTAGAGTTTGTCTTTTCTTCCTTTCTATCCTGATTGATGAGTTTGAAAAGATGAAATGATTGTGATGTTGAACTTGGCAATTAATGACCCGAGGATAGATTGGTTTTCAAGATACGTCAATTAAAATGATATTTAATTACTTACCGGAATCCATCGACTAGATCAACACATTCACCTTTATTGAGACATTTATTGGGTGAGCAATCATTGATATTTACAGAACAGGATTCACCAGTCCAACCAGGATCACAGATACATTCATGATAGAATAGACGATCAACACACAGTCCATTAGCACAAGGCTGAGAACCACAGAGGTCAATTTTGGTCTCACAGCGTTTACCAGTGAAACCAGGTGGACAAGTACAACGGAAATCGTTGACTAAATCGGTACAGTTACCACCAAGAAGACAGGGTTGCTCAATACAATCATCGATATTTATTTCACAGAATCGACCAGACCAACCTGGTGGACAGTCACATTTGAATCGACCTTGTAAAAGTGATAGACAACGTCCGTTATTTTGACAGATTGGTTCTGAAGCTGCACATGGATCAGAAGTAATGTTACATCCAGGTCCTTCATAGCCTGATCGACATAAACATTTAACTGTTCCTCGACCCGGCAAATCTTGACACATTGCTCTCTCTGGACAAACACCTTCTGTACATTCAGATTTTTCAATTTGACATTGTAAGCCAGTGTAACCACTTGGACATTTACAAACATATCCTTGAGGTAAATCAATACAGGAACCACCATTGTAACATGGATCAGATGAGCATTCGTCAATATCTTTTTCACAATATTTGCCAGTGAATCCAGCTGGACAGTAACATGAGGCTTCATGATTTTGAATTAAACATATTCCACCATGTTTACATTTGAGATTTCCACCTATGAGAACAATAAATTATGTTGAGTAATTGGTAAAATGATTTTTTTCAAAATTGTAATAGATTTTTAAGCAAAATCGTTTGTACTTACATTCAACTGGTGCACAAGCTTCTGGACTTAAAGCTCCTGGTCTGAAAGTTTTGGCCTTAGTATCACATTCTGTGCAATTTGTTGAACCAATTTTATCTTGATAGAAGTGTGTTGGACAAGTTGTACATGGTTCCAATCCTGTTTCAGAATAGGTACCAGGTGGACATTTCTTGGAACATTGGGACACTGAAACAGCGCCGGGAGTAAATGTATAAGTATCGGCGGGACATTTTGCACATTCCTTGAACCCATCTTTAGGTGGAGCACCAGAGAAAGTATTATCTGGACATTGTAAGCAAGGAACTAAACCAGTAGGTGAATAAGTACCATAACCACAAACGGGAACACATTCAGCGAGACTTTTGGATCCTTCGTGACGAGTATAACTTCCATCAGGACACTTTCGACAAATAGGTTGACGAGTTGTATCTTGATAGTAGCCTTTGGGACAAGAAGTACATTTGTGAGCTTTTGTGTCAGCAAAAGTACCTGCTGGACAATGAAGACACCGTGGAACGGAAGCTAAAGGTGGGCTAGATCCTGCACTAGGAGCAGCAGCTGGAATGTTGAGTACTTCACCATTCTTACAAGTGAATCCACGTTCAACTGATGATCTGAGAGCTTGTATACCAGGACAGGTGCCTCCAACTTGGGTAGCTGAAATGTTTAATATTGGTTCGAGAATAGCTGATGTTGAAGGAACTGATAAATCAAAGATGACTCCCAAAGTGTAACCACAAATTTCATACAAAGAAGGTTGTCTAACTGCTGGAATGATTCTGAGAATATATTCCATGGTTAACTGATTAAGATTGTCTTTGGGAACAAAGGCTGTTGTATTGAAGAACTTAATTTCCATTTGAACATTGATGGCAGAACATCGGTCAGATAAAACTTGGTTCAAAGAGTTGTAATAAGAGGCAACATAATTAACATATTGTTGTAAACAAGTTGGTGGTATAAAACCGCCGGATCGGTATTCAATTTTGGCAGCAACATCATAAGCAGCTTCATCGGTAGTTTCTGAAACACAGTCTGGAATGATTGATTCAGGTGTCCAAGGACCTCCTGATGAACATTCGTATGTTTTGGCAGCAGCACCGTCAGTGAATCTGAACCCACTTTTACATGTAGCCACACATCGGTAACCAGTTCCAGGTTCATTGGGAAGACATTCAACAGCACCATTAAGTGGAGCTGATAAAGACCAAGAAACGCAATTGGTTGCTTGAACGGATACTTGGAAATGACAGTGAGCTTCATTGCCAGATGGATCCGATGCAATAACAGTAACATTACGATAAGCTCCTAATGGAATAAGAGCAGTATCGGGAACCAGAGTAATTTTAACATCACCCGATTTATCAAAAGCCTTAATTGATGAAAGAGTATCATTGAAATTGACTCGATAAGCTTCTTGTTCTTCAACCAATTCAACAACATAAGATTGTGGACAGGTGAGACTTGGTGGTGTATCATCCGGTACAGTAATGTTGATTGCACAAACAGCTACATTACCATCAGTATCATATGCGATGTACTCAACAACAGTGTTTTTAAAGACAAACTGAGGAGGTTTAAATCCTGCAGGTCGAACTTCAGTTCTCACAATAAATCCTGAATTATCCTTAGCAACTGGTATTGTGTAATTGACCGGTAAAAGTCCAGTGGTACCTTTTTGTACCATCACTGACCCTGTTGGACAGTTGACAAAATGAGGTGGTTCTTGATCAACACAAGCTGGATAGCCATCATTGTAACCCAGTAAAACTGGATCTTTGGTATCTTCACAACCAAGGAGTTCAAATTTGAGACATGGATTTTTGTGGTAAGAAACGATTCCAAGAATAATGAATCGAGCAGTGATTGACATGGGTAATGGAATGTGTGTCAATTCACCGTAGTTACCGGGTTCAGCACTTGATAAGTTAAAGTTGGGGAAGTAAACAACGAAATTGTCTGCTTCTCGATTCTTGTAAAATAGGCGCAATTCAGTTGGTCGACCAACAACATCGTTTGTAATAACACCTTTAACCAAAAGACCTTTGACTCTATAAGATTTACCCAAATCAACTGTCACGTAGGTGAATGGCTCATGTTGACCACACCAACCTGTTGCTGAATTGAGACGAATATTTTTAGCCTCATAATTGGATCTTTGTGTAGTTGCATTTATTGCAGAGTCTGGAATCAATCCTGAAGTTATACCAATGGGTCCAACAACTTTACATTCAGCTGATTTAACACAAGTGATTGGATCAGTTGAATAAGGAATGTAACCCGGTTTATTACACGAAAATGATATTTGAGATCCTTGTTCAAATGAAAGAGCTGCTTGTTGTCCATCTGGAGGATGACCTGGGTCAGCACAAACTGGACCTTCACAACGTAAATCACCGAAATCCCAGATACCATCAGGACCACAACGAATAACATTATCATTACGTGATGTTTTGCCGGCTAAAGTAAAAGTTTCCTCACAGCCAAAGAAGAAAGAGGCGCGATATTTGGTATCAGCATAAAATCCATAAGAGGCACCAGATGTGTTAGGAGGTATTCCACAGTCGACACGAGGACAAGATGGTGATGCACCAGATAACCAAAATTCTGGATGACTCATTTTAGGATCAAAGACACATTGGCGGAATGATGATGATGCTGTACCACGCAATGGTTTACCTTCTTGATCACATTCAACAGTAACATTGGACAGATATGGAACCTGATTTAGTTTAGTTGATCTATCCTCACCGTATCGGAAGTTTAGACCAATGGAAGGATCGTCTTCGAGAGTTGGACAATAAGCATAAACGCACTCAGGAACTGTTCCATTCCAAACTCCGTTAGATGTACACAATAGGTTGGATGGGCCAGTCATAAGATAACCAAAGTCACAATGGAATGAAATTATGTCACCAAAGTAGTAATTTTTCTTGGTTGACAAGATTTTACCATTTGTGGGTGGATCAAGTTTTGGACATATTTTAGGTACACAAGTTTTATTCAATCGATACTGGTCACCCTCTTTGGTTCCGGTTTCACTTGGAGGTATAAAGAAGTTAGAGGTTCCATTGCGGGTGTACAACTCATAACCAGCATTACAGAAACAATTAAATGATCCTGGTGAGTTTAAACAACGTTGATCACATCCTCCATTTTTAACCAAACATTCATTAATGTCAATACAATCTTGTCTTGAACAACCCATCAATTCAAATCTCATGCAAGGAGCTGCAACATATTCCATGATCAACAGGCGAATGTAACGGGCTTCCAATGGAATTGGTAGATTAACTATAGATAAACCTGAACCACCATTGGGTGCAAGACGGAATTGTACAGGTCTACTAGACAAGTCAGCGTAATCACGGAAAAGATCAGTCAATTCATTGGAGTGTTGAAGACGGACAGTGACTGGGAAAGCTGATGATCCATCATCACGGGTAACTGGTTGAATACGGAATCCACGGATAACTGTCTGAGCTCTCAAATCAATTTGAACCCAATTTCGTCCTTTCTCAGGGATGGCACCACACCAACCTCTATCACTGTTAATACGAACTGAATTCTTAGAGTAACCTGGTTCAGATGGACTTGATTTAATAGAGCCATCTGGAACAACTCCTGAACCCAATCCAAGATCACCAACAGGACGACAATCAAGATTAGGCTCAAAACCATCTTTGCATTTACAAAAGAATCCTCCGGGTGTGTTGGTACATTGAGTTGAAGCTGAATCACAAGCGGCAGGAGAAGCACATTCATCGACATCTTTACACGTTGGAAGCTCTTCAAATGTTTGATTGGGACCACAGATGATATTTGGTTTACCAATCAATTTGTAACCTCGATTACATTGGACTTTAGCTTCATCACCATAATAATACTTTTTAGATTGATCAATAATAAAACCATTAGTTATTTCGGGTAAAGTTGGACAGGTGGCTCGTTCACAAGTTGGTGATGGGGCTGACCATGAGCCAATAGATTCACAAATGATAACGGGAACACCATTTCGATGATAACCTGGGTCACACTCAAAGCGAATTATAGTTCCATAAGATCTACCCGAGCCTACCAGAACTCTTTGCTTAGCATGAGCAACCTCTTGTAAAGGTGGACATGAGGATGCAAGGCAAACAGGAAGTTTACCCCAGTGACCATCTTCACCACAACGAATAGTTTCAACTCCTCGGCCTGAAGGGAAAGCAAAACCAGCATAACATTGATATGTAGCTGAACCACGATACGTAACATTGGTTGCTGCCACAGCAAAACCGTTATCAATTTGAGGAACTGGACCACAATAACGTTCTTTACATGACGGAATCCTTGGTAAAGACCAGACTCCACCTTGACGACACTCTGTAACCAAGCGAGTTGCTCCATTGGAAAACTCTTGGCCCATTGGACAAGTGAAAACGACTTTAGCTCCAAATGTTGATTCTCGACTTGAAGCCACTGCATTGTCACCAATTTTAAGAGGTGGACAATCAGCACTAAAACGTGCAGACCAACCACGAGCCGTATTCAATAGATTACTATCAAAGTCAATAGTCATTTTACCCGAGCTTGCTGTTAAGGTTAAATTGTTTGGTCGAGTTTGTCCAGCAAAACCTTTGGCAGGGTGAAGAGGAGCTCCAGAAACAGCATCATGACCATCATAAATTGAAACTGTATCATCAGATGCAACCTCAAATGAATCAAAGATTAGTGACATGGAACCAGAACCAGGTCGAGTCAATCGATAGGTACAGCGTTGGTTGGCTGGATAGTCAGAGACACCATAAGCAGGAGAAGTGATGTTTCCAGAGTCACTTTGATATTCAATTTCACATCCATAACGGAATCTGATGGCAAACCCATGACGAGAATCACCAAGAACAGTTTGGAAATAAAAGTAAACTCGATTCGATGTGGAAACTATGAAACGATTGGAAACACTATCGATGGAACCAGATAGCTTGGCCAACAATGGATAAGATGAACCTGGACCATCACGAAGATAGATGAAATCTGTATCTGGTTTCAAATCTAATTCAACAACTTCCAGTGTAATTGTTTTACCCTGTGGTGCGGTAATAATGTGAACACACTCTAACCCTCCAGGATAAGGTTCTGGATAAAATGGAGATGTGATTACTTGAGCATTGGCTTGAGCATAAAGTTCACCACCACACTTGATTGGTTCAGTTTTCCATGATGCTCGGAATCCTCGTTTCTCAACGGAAGAATCTGATCTAAACTTGACAATCATTAAATTGGATGCAGTGACAAACGTTCTTGTGGACATGTTTTGGGCTCCTGAAAGGGTTGCAAGGGTTACAGAGGTTTCCTCGGTTCTACCTCCAGATAAAATTTGAACAGTATCAAAGTTGGCTTCTGTTTCAAATTCAGTAAATTGAAGGATCATTCCAGATCCAATGGGACCTTCTAGAGTCCATTTACATTCTGAATTGGGATTGTATCGATTTGGATAATGGGGTGACTGTACTTTATCACCCGAAGATTGAAGGTAATAATGGCAATTTCGTGGACAATCAATTTCATCTGATTTATCTCCACAATCATCTTGACCATCACACCGCCAAGCTTCATTAATACATCTACCATTTGAACAAGCGTATGAACCTAATGGGCAAGCCTCTCGTTGACAAATAAATGTCAACAAATCTTCACATGGTGCTAATTCCCACACTTGTTGCGGATGGGAAGAGTAAGAAGATAAAGACGAAGCTGAAGGTGAACTTAATGAGTTGTCTATTAAAGGATAAAGAGACGATTCATCAAACGTTGCCCGAACACAGTCACCTTTAGATACATCTGGTTCATTGAGTGCCCAAAATCCTACATATTGTGAGGTGTATTTACCACTTGCCGACTCAATGTGGTTAGTGGATAAATTTTGAATTGTATGATAACCTGTTGTTGATCAAGAAACAAGATCAATTTTAAGCCAAACATCGGGTAATACACCAACAACCAGATAACCAAATAAAGATATTATTGACCAGATAACCAAAATAGAGAAGGATTAAATAAGGATTTGACCATTTATGCCATTTTAACAGCAGTGTAAAGCGATGCAATTGAAGACGTCAAAAAAGAGTGTGATAAACATAAAATGGATAAAGGATAAAGAATAAAGGTGAAAAAGATGAAATTAGTTCAGTAGGATATTTACGTGGAGATGATAAAAGGAATTTGTTTCATCATAAATCAATATGGCTTGTTATTTACCAATAAATAGATATTGGTTGTATAATAAAGGGCTAAAGTGGTCAATAAACAAGCAAAAAACTGGGAGAAGGAAACAAACCGGAATTTCATTTTCTTAGTTTACTCACCAATCCAGTAAGATTTTGATGGTGAATCCTTCAAAAACTGGTATGATAAGTAGCTGGTATAGTTGTTTTGACTATAGTCCTGAATAAAGGCCAATTCACCACCATACCTATTATCATGTAAACAAGAACAATTCAGAGGAAATGATTAGTTAATTTGCTATACTTTAATGACGATGAGATGATGCAAAAAAATGGTGAAAAAATGGCAAAAAAGCGACTCAAAATATTGTTTATTTATCTTGATCAGAAAAAATCAAAGGCCAACAAGTTTCAAGTTTAACAGGTTAACAAGTTAACCTTTTTTTTCAATTGCTGCTGATTAACACACAAACGTACCCAAAAAAAGCTACGGAAATGAAGAGATTTATTTGTTTGAAATGAACTCATATGATAATAAGATGAGAAGGAGAAGGAAAAAAAAGGTGACAAAAATAGCTGAAACTGGCCATTTGTGATAATCAGTTGCTAATCATCTTGAGCATATAAGAGAGTGAACCGGAAATTTGGACAGGAAAAATGGGTGTTAATGTCAGACAATCTTGTCTCATCTGAATTTACCTTGAAATTATTGCAACAAACCTGAAAGATTCAAAGTAAATTATAATAATGAATAATAATATTATTAATAACACCAATAGTAAACATAAATGCAATAATAATGCTAATCAAAAGGAAAGGTCAATCTAAATTTGAATTGATCTTGAATGGAAAAACTTTTTCATCTCATCAGTTCAACTGATATACATTAATGTTTAATGCTTGTTTAATAATATCCGATAATAATCTTATTAATAGTTAACTACAATTTATTGTACAATAATAATTAGAATAATCAGCTTTTTCTTTCAGCTATTCAACCTTTTTTTCATCATCTTTCCTTTCATTTCACCAACATCATCTTTATCCTCATCTTTTGAAATCGGCGTCAAAAAAAAGTACAACAAGATGATCAAAATGAGGCCAAGGTTTAATCAAATTGGCTCTCGACCAACAAGTACAACAAAAAATTGATGATCGGTTGGTTAAATTTTGCTGTTCCGAGTATTGAGGTTATCACGAAGTTAATCACTTGTCTTATTAAAAATGATTAGTGTTTCTAGTGCCAATCAAACAGTGAAAAGATTTCAATGTGTGCGCCTAACTATGGACAGTTTATTGTCAAATTGTTTAACCGAAATCATTAAACTGTGGACAAGCAAACAAGACTAATTAAGCAAGTAAACATGATAATTTAAATGGAAGGCCCAGATTAATAAGCAATCAATTGAATCGGATTGTGTGTTTGGTTAAGTGTACCTGTTAAACTGTAAAACAATTAACAAATTGTAACTCGCAAGAAAAATGGTTTAGATTGAAAAACGGAAAAATATTGACCAAACATTGTGCCAATTTTACGGGACAACAATCACAATCAAGTTACGGATCAACAGTTGAACTTGAAGATGATGGAAATGTAAAGATAGAAATAATTTCCTTTTCATTTTAAACCAGAATATGTTCAATATGAGACTCAATGATTAAACCAGTAAACATGAAGAAGAAGCTTCTCTTCTCTCATTTCCCGAATTGATTAAATTTTTCTGATCAGATTTTTGTATTTCAAATCAACAGGAAAGAGCAGAGAGAAGAAGAAAGAAGCAAAAAATGAGGAAAAACTCAACCAAGCAAAGATTGTGATTGAAAGCAACAACAGTTGTCCATTGAATAGCAAAAAAAAACAGAGCCACCAGAAATGAATCAATGATGGAGATGAAGGATTTTAAAGTCAAAAACTGGTGTTCAAGTGTATTAAAGTGATCCATAACATCAGTTGAATTGACTTTTTAGTTTTTTTCAAGATGAGATAAAGATGAGATTCCTGGTGAGGATGAAAAAGGCTCAAGTATCTTAAATCACTTGGATAAACCTTTTGCTTCATCAATTCACATTCTTATCAGTAGAATCTTGGAAATCTTTAAAATCACCAAAATCTTCAGAAGCACCAGATTTACCATGTTCATCAGAAGAAGAAGTAAAAAAACCGGAAAAGACTTCCCATTGATTTAGAGTCAACATTAATCTAAACGTGTTATCATTTATCCTTTAACCACTCTTCTTGCTCTTAAGTAATCTGGTTCATTTGATCAACTTAACCATTGTGATAATACAAGGACTCTAAATCAATCGTTATTGGATTAACTGTTAAAGTTGCCTCAAAATGACCATAAGATTCATTGGCTTTAATCTTGAAAGTATTAAAGTGAAAAAAACCAGAGAAACCAGAAAATACAATTTTCCAGTAAAGGTTAACGTAATCTGGTAAAACTGGTATTTTGCTGGTTGCTGTTAAGTATAAAGGATTATCAGTTGAAAATTATAAATAATTGAAAGGGACAACAATTTATCATTTAATTGATAATAATTACAGCCAATGACCGGACCAAATGAGCTTTTAAAAACAGAATCACAAAAAGCACTTGTCCATTGAAAAGGATTGAAAATCAATTAATCAAACAAAAAATAAGCAAAAAATGAGGTTTAAATTGATAATTATGCCCATCATTTAAATTGTTTTAAATTAATTGCATCTTTATTGCGATTAATTAAAAATAAGAAAACATTAAACACTCTTGTCTCAACCTTTTTTTCAAACCTTCAAGACAATTATGATTTCATTTTTTCTGTTTTTGGTCTTTTGGTAACAAAATGATATCATATTTTCAGAGTTGTTCATTCAATTGAAACTGAATTTTGTGTTTCCAATGAACCAGAATGAACAAATAGAGGATCAAAGGCACAAACATTGAAAACTGAAAGATTCAAATGAAACGCGCTTTGATCAAGTGATTGAAACTCAACTCAACGGGTAAACGTGCAAAACTGAGAGACAAGTTGTTTTAATAACAATTGAAAGGAAAAAACAATCATCAAGGTAAATAGCAAGATGAGAAAAAAAGGTAAATTATGTGTTGAGAAATGTAAAGGTAAGAAGAGGCTTGAGTCAGCGTGACCCAGGTAAAGTCATTTTCACATCCATACATGAAAAGGTAAGACTAAAGACGAGTGAAAAACAAAACTGAGAAAACTTGTCTTCAAGTTATCATCATTTTTTCATCACAACAATCATCTTGTTTACCATGATTACAATAGCATTTATTGTCTTCCTAATGTGGATCATCATCTTAATCATGATTCATTTTCATTTTTACCTTTTCATCGTCAACACTTTACTGGACTCTGTAAATTGGCAAAATCAATCAACTATTGAATCAAGTGTAAAAAATGATTGGAAAAGATTGAAAAAAAGATTGAAAGAAATACAAAAAAAACGGAAAAGGAAACTTTTCTCAAGCTGAACAGAGTTTCATGATTAAGACGAGAAACTGTTGAGATGAAGACAATGAACATGATTTATTGTAAAGAAGAGTTGAAATGAAGAAAAAAGGTGTCAGATTAACTTCTTACTGTGAAAGGTGAGGTGAAAAAGGCTGTTCATTTTGAGACTCTTTCCATGGACCATTTTTGGAAATTTTAATCAACACAAAAAAGAAATGAAAAGAAAGCCATTTTTCTGGTTTACATCTCTTTTTGTCATCCAACCACCTTAATATATTCATTTCAAAGTTATCAATATCAATTCATTTTCTTCCGGGTGGCAATCAGAGATAATGTTATCATGAACAGAACCAACTTGGCAACAAATACATTCAACACTGTACATGCATATAAATATGGTAACGGTGGTCAATCCACTTTCCTCATAATCATCATAATCTTTCTTCTTATTCCAACCCTTGTGTACATTGGTTGAGTTAGCCGCAAGGGTTTCCAATGTTGTTGCTCTGATGAGAAGAGCGATGATCTTTGCAGAGTTGAATCTCTTCCAACATTAAATAGCTTCAGGTGAGATTTCATGATGAAAATTCAATTGAAAGTTTCTGCCAAATTTTCAATGTTATCACGGAATTAAAATTCATTAAAAAAATGTCAATTGTCAAAAGACATGGAAAATTGAATCTTTTTTTGCTTCAAATGTTGAGATTCAATTATTTACATTTTTCCTCAAAATTTTGCTCCGATTTTCATCATTAAGTCTTATTGATTCATCATTGACTGATCAACAATCATAAGAGTAAATAGAAATGATAATTTTATACTTTCTCAGTTTTCATTATTCACTTTCACAGGTCAACCTTTTTTTCAACAATTACAGTCAACAATAAACATTAGTCCAGTTTGTAAAAAATGGGAACAATTGAGTGAACATTCAACAATCGCTAATCTCAATCATTGTATTAACATGTAAACTCCTTTTTTCTTGCTTTGTTCATTTACTATTCAAGAATAATTAATTGGTTGGAAAGTTGATCAAAATTGATGCAAAAATTCAATCATAAAGATTGGCGTTTTTCCTCAACTTTCATTGATCCAGAGTCTCAACCCTTCAGCTTCTAAGTTGATTAACAGTCGAAATGAACAGTTAATTAAAATATTTCCATTCACTGATTTCCCTATCATGAAATCCTGGAAAAGTGACCAATTTAGATGGTTTAAAGTGTCAAATTAATGGTCAGTTAACCTTAAAAAATTAACATTTAATATTACAATAGAGAGACAAAAATTGGTTTAAATGATCAACAGATAAAATGTAATAAAGAAAGAGGAAAAATGATAAATTGAATTGTAATCTCAACATCAAACTACCAAATAAATGGTTTGCAACATTTGATTAACATTGATAATTGGAAAGCTTTTCAAACTGATCACATTGATTGTTGTATTACATTGACAATTGAGATAAAATGATTTGGATAATTACTTTTTCCTTCTCGGACAAAAGATCAATTTCAAGTTTGATTGTAATCAAAGTTGGCCTTAGATTATCAGACTGACCAGATCATGTAAATGGAAGGATAAAATTGGTTTTAAAGTCAATTCCAAGTCAACTTATTAATAATATTGTTATTAGTCTTTGTTTTTGTCGCCTTTCGGTCATTTTTATACTAAAAGGTTTCTTCCAATGTTAGTCAATGTTCATACGCATTACCAGTAATGGTGGTAATAGCCTTTTTACTGGACATAATAATTGGTTGCTCATCAATTTAAAGGTCAATTCGAAGAGTTTAATTCAAACTGGCTCAAGGCATTTAACATTCATCTTTAAATCATCTTCATCAAACATCATCAACGACTAATGATTAAGTCTTATTTTTGTCTCCTTTTCATTACTTTTTTTGTTGCTTTTTTTCAACAACAAAACCAAGTTTTAAGGTTAGTCAAGAGATTGTTTTTGGAGAAACATTTTTCGGTTAAACTTGACCGGTAAACAGGTTAATAAGGTTTATTAATATGATCAAAATGGGAGAAACAATCAATGAACAGTTAGTTAATTATGATTAGTAAAATGGAAACTTAATTAATGATGAAATGGCCAAGTTATAATACATTGTAAAGCGTTTCATTTTAACCCAAATTTTTGTCTTCAATTGTCAATGGGATTAACATTGACAATTGTCCGATACTTTATCTGGTCAACAGTCGGTTTGTCTTAAAATGTTCAATATTTCAATATGATAATGAACATGATAATTGTACTTTAGCCAATCAAGTAGTTCAATTGGAATGGTTATTGAAATATTTTTATACTGACCCTGAGCCGTTTGAACTAATTTCATTTTCAGCTTAAAGCAAGAAGTAAGAAAAAATAATTTTGCATGGAAAATGATTGAGAATGAATTTCAAATGAAAGTTCATTTTTTTATCTAAATTTTGGGTGTTTCTGTTGGATGTCTTAATAAAGTTGAAGGTGAAAGCTAACCATATCAATGGTTATCAATGAAATTAGGTTTACATTGGATTTTGATTGATTATAATAATTTACTCGGTTTGATGTTGAAGGTTTTTTTTGATTGAACAAAATGGAATTTTTTTCTTTCTCTTGTTTTCTTTCAACAATCAAGTTAACAATACATTATGGATTGGTTAAACATTTAGGTCAGTTAATATCTAAATTTTTGATTACTAATTAATCTTTCATTCTATTTGGCTTGGTTTTGTTTCTAATTAAGTTTGGTGTGGGTAATTATAAGAAAATAGTGAATAGAATTGATTTATTTTATTGGGAATCATCACTTTAAATTGACCGCTTTCTATTGTTGGTTGTCATTGTCACCAGGTTTCTAGCGCGTAAAATGTGCTTTGTTAAGTTAACTGTTTAGTTTACAATTTTCAATTAACTGTTAATTTTGGTATTTATTTTATTGCTAATTGTTATTCTTAATTGTGTTTACAAATTGGCGACTTAATGTTAACCTGGTAATTTACATTTAGAAGGTAAGACTGGAAATTTGTGTTCTCCTGTTTACCGGTTTTCACCCAGAAATATTTTTGTCAACTTAACAAGCCAACATTTTTAATGATCAATTGTTAACTGACCAGTTGCTACAATTATTCAACTAATGTGATTTAATTTGTGATAATTAGTTACACAAGGGTTGATATTTGATTCTTACCGGTAAACAACTGGAAAGTAAAAGTCTTAATCGTGACATTGCTTGAGTAAGGGCCGATCCGATGAACTAAAATGTTTGTCAAAATGTTTGTTTATTGGCAATGTTTGTTAAAATTAATCAATTTTGATTAATGTCATTTTAAATCTTAATTAGAAAGCGCCATCTTTTGTTTTTTAATGATTTTAAAAGATAACTAAAAATAATTTATAATCAAAAGATAAGAAATTTAATCTGAAAAAATGTAAAGGCGCATGAATGAAATGATTGTTAATTTTTTGATCGGACAGTGTTAATGTTGATGACGTAACAAAATCAAACAAACATTGCTAACTAACAAAGATTTAACCAACATTTTTAACATTTTTTGGTTCATCGGATCGGCCCTAAATAATAAATGTTTCTCTTATTTTTAGGTTTTCTCGAAATTTATTGGATATTGGATTTGGATTTGATCTAATTGGTTTTTACAATTATATTATTGGTTTTCTTGTCGTTTCTCGCGAGCATAAACTCTACAAAAAAGACTATTGATTGAATGTCAAGTAGCGGTGAAATACTTGGTGCAGTGTAATGTACCAAAAATTGATCCATTGAGTTTCATGTTGAAATCATTCAAGTGTTTATTGGTATATTTTTTGTTGCTGCCAAACATTTGGTTAAGGTGAAAAAAGATGGCTTACAAGTTGATGATCATGGAGACAAAGAAGCAAGGAAAATACTACACCAGCAAAATAATTTTAGACAAGATTTACAACTGTAGACAAAGTATTGGAAATCACAAAGGGTCGAGGTAATGAATGTAAAACTTGTTTACATGATATTACAGAAATACCAACAGCAGTTGATCAAAAGTTTACATAACCATTGAGAATCATTAAGACGATGGAATAACTTCAAGGCTCATGGTAATTTTCAACAAGCCATCATGATCTTTCAACAAAGGTAACCTTTTTCCAGTCAACTATACAAGAAGTTTGACAAAGCAAATGGTTTGCAAAGTCAAAGTGAGTATAAAGTTGTGCTTTAAATATTTGAATATCAACTAATGACAATAATTTAACATTTGATTACAATTTAGTTATCTTGACAGGAAAAAAAGGACAAACTTGAAACAAAAAATGGCAAGACTTAAAATGGTCATCAAAGGACTGTTTTGATGGCAAAAATGAAGAGTTACACCTTAAGGAGATATAAAAGTTTGGTTTTGTTCATGTTCAGGTTCCCATGAAGAAGCAAAAAAAAAACATCCCTTCGAACCAGAATTTTTTGTTATTTTTTCTCCATCTCATACCTCAACAATAACAATGCTTGTCCCTTGATTGTTCACTAAGATATTGATTAATATTGAATGGTTGAGACTGAAAATAATTGAAAACAGTTTGATTCACACAAGTTTCTTACCTCATGACAATCAATGATTTTACGATGTTGAGGTAAAATCCTAATTAAACGACTAGATTTTGGACAGACAAACTGAGCCAAAAAAACATTTAGGTTACCTTAATAGGATTAGTTGATTGTCTCTCTATGATTAGCGTAAAAACAACAACATTACTGATTGACAGATATTTCCGCAATTTTTCGCCTTTCTTCTCTCAATCATCCCTTTTGTAATTGGTCTTCATCATTTATCATCATTTATCATACTTTCAACCGATTCAAGTTGATAATAACAGAAACAAATCCTAAAAGGTAGACTGGACCTTTAGTGGACATTGAGTACTTGCCAAATATTGATTGAACTCAAGACAATAACTTATCAAGTTAAAGACGTGTTTTTTTCATCAAAATTGTGCACAATCGACTCGACTTATTGTTTTGTTATGAGCAAAAATTTGCAAATCGTCAAATCTAAACACTTGCTAACAAACAATTTGATTGATCTAGTAATAAGGATGAAAATTTTAATCCTTTTCCCTATTATAACCTAACTAAAGTTGATCAAAAGATTCATTTTTGCTGGTAACAGATCAATGTTCATCAACTCATTTTGCATTATTATTGTTACAAAAATTTGTTTAAACTCCTGAACTTGCTGGTGAAGTCACTTTGATCCTTTGCTTTTTTATATTACATTTCACCTGAATTATTGGGTTGTGTAAAGGATTGTTTTAAGGTTAAATTGACTCAAAGTCCAACCGATCAAAGCTGAGCATCATCGGGTTATTTTGCATGAGCGTGACATGAAAACGTTAAAAGACTGACTTACTAACCATTGTAATGATTAACTTTGATTTGATCCAAATAAACAAATCATTTAACCCGTATTTTCGGGTTAACAAAATTCAAGTCTTTGATCATCGATTAACATTAACATTGTCAAAATTAGATTCACAATAAATGCCTTCATTTCAACAACTTAACATTCAATTTTGAGTTATTTGTTTTACAAAGTCATTGAAAGCTAACAATCAAAATTGATAATCAACCTTGCAATTAGCTATTAAAAAATGAAAATTAAAGTTGCTTTGCTGGTAACAAAAACCAGTACAAGAGCACTTTACATGTAATAACATTAATTGTTGAATCTAATTTGAGTCTAATTTTTAGTTAATCATAAATGGATGCAATGAAAAATTGTTTAATTTTACAATAATTTGAAAAATGGCGAAAAAAAGAGTTAAATTGATTTTTAAAGGTGCAATAATCAACTTGAGTTAATCAATTTCAATTTTCAGTTTCTAATTGCATTGAAGAGAGTCAAAAGAAACAACAAAATCATAATCAATCTGTAATGAATCAAACCCTCTCTCTGGCTACCATCATGATGATACTTTTATTGCTATTATTATATCATCTTCAACAACCTTACCATTAACATTATTTACAATTATTATTTACAATGAAACTATCAGAAAATTATCTTCCGCTCCTACTTTTGCCCCTTTCGGCCTTACCCTTAACATCATCATTTTCATCATCAATGAAACTCGGTTTGCTTCCCATTTAACCTTTCCTTGTTATTTCAATAATAATACAAATTAGCTTTAATTTCAATTCAATGTAATATTATATGCAAAACTTGTCAACTTGTAAACATTATTATTATCATTTAGCCTCAACTATTAACTATTAACATTAGTTTCAAGAATAATTTTTCATCTGCTTTTCATCTACCAAACAATTTTAAGGAGAGTTCAGGGCAAAGAATAGTTGAAATAGTTTTTCAGCCTTTATTGTTGCTAACATTTTATACTTGATTAACAATTTTAAATCATTTATTGGTTTAATCTTGCTGGACAATTGAAGGTGCAAACAAAAGATTTCACTCTTAACCTGATTTAAACCACTTTCTTAATGTTTTCATCTTGATCAACATTCATCATGACTGCTCATTGTTCACGTTATCAACATTCACTGAATCTTTCATTATTGATAATCGTTTAGTATTGTTTGGCCATTGAAAAGCAACCAAAGAGTAAAACCCATTTTTTAACAATTTAACCAGAAATTCATAGAAAACCAGATTTTTTTGGTTTGATTTGTAAACCAAAAAACAATGAATTTTAAATTAAGACAAAAGATGAACATAATTTTTAGTGTTTGAACTTAAAGTGATACAAGTGTTTTACATGTCAAGTTCATCGACTTTCCTTTCTGCCCAATCGATGAACCTTTTATTGATTCTGAATCCTTTGGACGGAATATCGAAATGATCATCATTTTCATCAATAATTTCAGAATCATGATCCACATGGGAAGCTTTTTTTCTCTTTCGTTTCTTTTTCCTTTTCTTTTTAGTTTTCTTTCTTTTCCTTGTTTTTAAATTGACAGAATCGTTATCATAATCATCATCATTCTGATCAACTTCAAGTTGATCAGCGAATTGTGAAGACACTTGAAATGATCCCATTTTGGTCCACTTTTTCTCATGCCAATGTTCCTCTTCCTTTTCCTCGTGCTTTTTAAACTGTTCAGCCAAAGAAGAGTCGGGCTGGTTCAATTTGAACTTTTTACGACTTCGTATTTCAACGTTATACTGGTGCGGGAAAATGTCTGAATGAGTTGAAATTCCTCTCTCAGATTGAGGAACAACAACATAATCACCCGAAAAAGAGCCCGATGAATCATCAAAATAAGATCTTTCATCATGAACTTCATCATCAACTTCCTGTAAATCATTGTCAAGAGGTTCACTCATTTTCAGGGGCGACTTTTTCTTTCCATTTCCACGAACCGATTCCCTCAAATGAGTCCTTTTAGATGGTGTTTTGGGTACTCTGGTCAAAGCCCCAGTCAGTTTCCTCGACTTCGGTGAAGCCTTTGCACTAGAAGAGATTGAACCAAACGAAGAGTTTTCCTCGTCAAAAGTAACTCCGTAGTCGCCCTCATTTGGATCCAAATCTTTATCCCAAAGAGTCTCACTGTTGCCGTCAAACTTTTCTGGTATCGAAAGGTAAGATTGAGCTCGTTTACCAGTCAATGATTGTCTTAGTTTTTTGCTGATTGAATGATTGGGTGAACGACGGATTACTTTGACTTGTTGCTTTCGTCGAAAGGGTTTCAATTTTGTTCCTGCTTTGACTTTTGTTGGTTCAGATAGAAGTTTGGAATCATCAAAATGAATTCCATCAGGAATTATTGTATTCTTTTTCCTTATACTCATCAACTCATCAACATGACCCAAAATGCCTAGATCAAGGCCTGCAGTTGCTTGCATTTCGGAATCGTAATCAGAATCGGTAATCATTTGATTCTCGTTATCATTGTATTCACCATCAGTTGAACCTCTATTTTGCTCCTTCTTTTCACCATTATCATCTTCATCACTATCCATTTCATCCTCAGTTTCATCTGCAGATTCATCGCCAGATTCACCATCATCTTTATCCTTTCTTTTATCATCAACTTTACCTTTTCTTTTCTTTGTTCTCCTTTCTTTTGTCTTCCCTGATCTTTCCATTTCATCTGTATTTCATGAAAAGGTTTTCAACATTTTTTTCAGTCAATCTTATTTTCGCACATTTTCACATTTACCTTTCACTTTTCAACAACTTACCTGATTGACTTGGTGAACGAGATTTAAGAAAATTTGAAAATGAAACTGATTTAATTGGTTGATGGTTAGACTGGTGTTTACGATCAACAGACAATTGCTTCTCAATCAACTTCCAATCATCTTCAATTTCATTCAATTTCACCGAACGTATTGATCGACGTGAACCATACAAACGATTGTAGTCTCGTCTTGAAGTTAATCCCATGGTCAGAACAAGATTGGAGCAAATAGTAGTTCCAATTAAACACATGATAATAAACACTTTGACCGTAGATGACATTCAAACAAGCAACTGAATCAACCAATTACACGAAACATAATGAAACCTTTAAAGACAAAAGCCAACTGACGAAACATAAAGCAATCAAATTTAAATTTGGCCAACAATTAAGAAGCGAAAAAAAACAGAAATTAAATTCGCGCATCCAAAAAAGAATCCAATTAATGCCAAACGTTAAAAATAATCGCCATTAGTGCGATCAAGAATCAATAAAAAAAGGTAAATTTACAAATCGATTAACAAAAAAAAGGTCATCAAAATTACCATCGAAGCTTCAAAAGAGACAATTAATCAATAACTGACTCAGATTGATGGAAAAGATGAACTTGATAAAACTCATGATCATCATTATTATTGATATCATCTGCTAATAGACTAAATATTGTAATCAATAAGATTGATTAAGAGGGTTAAAGTAAGCCCCTAAACAGGTAATGAAGAAAAATGTAAATCAATGTTAATTAAAGATTGGAAAAGCGTATTATTAGATGTTTCATTATTAAATTATGTATTAAAACTAGATTGTACGTAGGCAAACATGATGGTTGGAGAGTAAAGCGGAAAACGTTGAAACCTGTTCTGATGGGTTAACGTTTCCTTGACCTGAGTCTGCAAGTAACTGGCACTAAAACTCATCTCTCACTCTCGTCTTCATCATCATCTTCAACATCATCTTCAACATCATCTTCCCCATCATCCTCATCTTCACCATCGCCATCATTTTCATCATTCTTCTTCTTCTTTTAGCGCCACATTTTTGTCTATTGAAACACCATTTAGAGATAAAGTTGACCGAATTTCCTTGGCATTCCTTACATCATCCGAATCTTCATGTTATCATCAATTTCTGGTTTTCTCTTTCATCTTTTCTCTCCCATAAATTCAATAGCAATTCATCTTGACGCATTTTCTTCCCATTTTTCATCCCTTCCAGGTTTCCTCATTTCTTCCCCTTTAGTAAACTTATTTTTTTTACATTTTTTATTCATCTTTTTTTAACCGTTTCAAGTTCACCAGCTCATCAATAAAATAACCATTTTCATTGGGAAAATTCAGTCAAAAATCAATCATTGAAATTGAAATTTTTGCTCTTCACAAGTTTATCCTTTTTTCATTAAATTGTATCAATTTGATGCAGGTTTAGGTCAATGTTTTGTAATACCAATGAAAATGGTTTCAAGTTGAATGAAACATTTTTCAGTTGCAACTTTGGGTGAGAAGTTTTTTTAATTAAAATGTTCAACAACTCATTACCATTAATTAAACATTTTGATACATTTAATTGAGAAAAGAGATTCTCAAACATTTTACTCAACACCATTAGCCATCATTAACTGTGAAATGGTCTTCTAATTATATCCTAGTTTATCAAGCTTGTCATCATTACTGATCAATGGTCAATCGGCTATTAAGATTCCAGTAAAACACAATCTTTCAACATTTAAAATGGTTAACTTTGTTTTCAATTGACAGCAAATGAATTCATTTTACCGACTATCAAAATGAATCAAATTAAACCAATTCTCATGAGAATCAGTTTCAACATGAGAATGAAACAGGAAAATGAAATCAACTGATGATGTGAATCAGTTTAAAGTGTCTCAACATGGATTAATGACAACTTTTTTTAATCAAATTCGCTGATTCGCTGATTAAAATCAATTATTCTGTTTATTACAATAAAGATATTTTTACTTCTTGAATAGCAATTGAATTTACTTTCAATTGTGTCTTTCAATTGTGAAAGTAAATTCAAAGAAAGAGATTTTTTCAAAATTCATTTTGACCATTAAGTGATGACCAAATGACCAGAAATGTGCAACAAAAGTCAGGTTAACATAATTAATGAGCCAATTTGGGTTCACATTCAATGATATTTTGAGGTTTCCAAAGTTTTCATGTTTAATTGAAATTGATTAACATTTCCATGTCAAACTGGTTTCAATGCTCATGTAGCTCAATGTGATTAATAGATTAACAATTTTTTTAATCAATCAAACTTTTCTCATTGAGGCAACCAAATTAATCAAAAATTTATGTTCAACTTCAGATCGAGATTCAACCAGATTAATTGACTAGTTTAAGCAACAATCAAAAATAGGTTTGAACAAGCAAAAGAGATTCATTGATATGTTGATCATCATTGATGACAATTAAATTAGAAACTGAGTAAAACTCATTTTTAAACATTGATTGATTATTCCATTATCATAATCAAGTTGAACTGTTAATTAAACTGCATTTGTAACGATTTTGCATCTTTTGCCCAATTTTCACATTCAACTGCCAATTGGAAAATTGATTTACTTTTTTGCTTCCCAATGAGTACATTTTTCATCAAATGCACCTATTTTCCTGTTGAAAGGTGAAACAATTGAAAGGATTGAGTTGAGATCAGGAAGAGGATCATGATGAAAAGAAAAGAAAAAAGTCTGAATGTAATGAATGTTCCATCTGAAACAGTTTTTTTTCAATGAACATCATTTAGCAAAACAAATGCTTTTAACGAGACAAAATTGCGATAATTATGCTTAAAATTAAATCAACTAATTGCAAGTGTGAAAAGCCGTGTTTAATTTGATTAGGTGAGATAAACTGGATTGGATTTTGATAATCAATTGGACAAAAGTCGGAAGGTTGAATCGAATGTAAGAAAATGAGAAAATTGATCAAATTGATTCACTTTGAGTTTCTAAATTGTTAGCTTCTAGTGAAATTGTGATTTTGTAAAATGAGAAAAGAAAGTTTTTTTTGACAAATGAAAATGTTGGTTTGCTTTGAAAAGGCAATTTTCATAGCAATCAGTGAAGATGAAGTGTGAAGAGAAACAGAATTTTTAAGAGTTTCAAAGTTCTGATTATTAAAGGTTGGAGAAAATTGGAAAACTCAAGAGAATTTATCTTTTTCTTTATTTGCCATTTTCCCTCGTCACAAGCAACTGAACAATAATCAAGTTCAATGTTTTTTCCCTTCGCAATCAAAGAGTAAACTGAATTGTTTAGTGTCCATCAAACATGTACATCTGTTAATAGGGAAACAAGTTTGACCTTTTACTTGGACTGTTATTAAACCTCTCAATTAACCAAATTAGCCGCTAGTCATTAGCAACAAATATAATTGTCATTTGTCAACATTTGATTAACATCATCATCATCACCATTTAAAGTGAATTTGAAAACATTTTGTCAACATCTTAACTAAACTCTAGACAATCAATCAAAATCACTTAATGATTGATTCCATAAATTGCAATAAAAGGCCAAAAACAGAAATCAAATTTCACCATTTTAAGACCAAAAATCTGATAAAAATTCAGAATTGTTTCTGTAAATGAACTTTAATCAAACTATTTATGATTGGTTTAAACCAATTCTGACATCGACTTGTGATGCTAAAAAATGGATCAATTTGGTAATAACAATAACGGCAGACTTAAATGGTGAAAAGTGAAATCTGGTTCATGATAAATCATCATTTTTCGGAGTCATTCATTATTCATGCAAACTCCTTCACAAATTGATAATCAAATAATAAAAAAGCTTTTAATGTTGAAAAGGTTTAAACATCAGTTGGAAATGATGGAAAAGTAAAGAAGAAGAAAAAAACGGATTCGTTATAAATAAAGCAATATTCATAACAATCATGAAAATAATCAGTATAAATAGATTTTTGGTGTAAATAAGAAAATTTGGAAATTAAATGATACAGAAAATAAAGTGGACACACAAGACTGAGAAACGTTTTTCCTGTTTATCATTCTTGTGATATCAACGTGCGTTTCATCTCACGAATCACGCAATCAACATTTAGTACCATATATCAATATAATATTTGGTACTATTGTTGGCTTTGTCTACGTGCTTATTTGCCCCACTTAAGGTTGTAATTGCGCTTGTGATACAGTAAAGCCGAGGTTCTTCTTGTTGACATTTCAATTGTTCAATAGCATTAACTATTCAATGTAATTTCAACATGGACTGTTAGTGGATTCGTGAGTGGATATTGAAATGCTCTTTTTCATGGTCTTAACATTCAATATCATCTAATAATGGGTTTGCAATAATGATTTACCTTTATTATTTCAATACAAAAGGGCTTCCAATCAGCCAAATCAGCATTTCCTTTTAACCATCTTTAACAAATGACACATTTAAATGAGAGTCTCTCGGTTGTTTCATTGATTCCAACGATTATTCATCTATTTCAACATTCATTTCTGAATAAGGAATATTAAGCCTTTTGAATCTCATTTCAATAAACAAGTCAACTATTCACATTGATAGTAATATCATGAAAAGTCAAATAGATTATTGTAAGTGAATGACGATCATTTAATATCGATTTGATTCCAATCAAATATTTAACCTTATTCAATGAATATATTGAGTAGGTTTCAGAGATTTCATTAGTTTGATAAAAAAAACTTATCAAACTCAACAATCGTTTCCACCAATTGAATCGCATTTTCATTGCAAGTTTGACGTTTAATGTTGAATTTAACTTTTCATTTCTTTAACTCGTTGGTTTATTTGTATCAAGAAACTGGTTAAATTGTATTCATATCGATAGCTGACTAAAAAGGTTTGATCCAATTGACCATTTAACGGCCGAACGAGTTGAACACAGTTTTGGTCAACTTTAAATTAAATTGTTTATTCGTGACTTTATTTCATTGCAGCATTAAACATTCAACTCGATGATAAATTTAAGATGAAACTCATCTTTAAATGGTCTGCTTTGAATGTTCAATTGAATTGACTACAAATGAATTGGACTCATTCATGGATAACTTTTTTTCTCAATATTTTTCCCTTTAATTTCGTGATTTGTTTGGCTAAATTGATTGTAACACACACACACATATTCAAACGTTAATCTGATTCATGAACTGTATTATAAGTGAATTCAAATTGTCATGTAATCTGATTGATTCCGCTTTTCAAATTTAAATCAATTGAGCGTACAGTATTAAACGGATTATAAATGCGTTAACCATTAAATCCATCCATCGATTCATTATTAGATTTACAATCAAAATGATAACATCAGAAGTGATCAGTGAAAAGTGAATAATACAAAGTATTTATCAAATAATATAAATATAAACTGAATAATCAAATGAGAACAATTTGAAAAGAGGAAAAAAGTTCTGCTGCTGATAACAATAACACTCATTCCCTGAGTAAACTTATCATGTTGTTGAGAGAAGGAAAAAAACACACTGAAGATAATGTGAGAATGTGAAAATGATAAGTTCCAATAAAGTGTACTATTCTTAACCCTGACTTGTTATTAAAGATGGATATTATATTACAGAACTGACAGTTTAGATGAACTCTTAATTGTTAACACACACTGTTAAAGGTTGAGCCAAATTAAGCTGATTATTGTAAATAACAACAGAAAGGTTAAAAAATGGAAAAGTTTTTTTTCTGGTTAATCTCCAACCTGAATAGTAATGGGTATAAATGATGTTAAGATGAACATGGTGACAAAGACGAAATGATGTTGGTTTCGCTTTTTCATGTATAATTTATGAAACTGATTATCTATTTTCAGCAAGTTTACTCTCTACTTTTATTCATTGTTAAGGACATTGAAACACAACTAAAAGTTGACCCTTGTTTAGATGATTAAATGTTGTAAGTGGACTACATTTAATTGAACCTCAACAAACGTACTAATTGTGGCGATGATTAATCTAACGATTTCAGTCTATTTTACATCATCAGTTTGCATTATTATTGTGTCAAGAAAGGCGTTAAGTTTGTCGTTTCGATTACAAATCACAGTTAGTCAACTCGAGCTGATTTCTTGATAAAAATTCAATTTTAATCAGTCCAATGGATAGTGGACTGGTTGACTTGCTAAGCTAGTTCAAGTGTAAACTGTCAAACCCTTCAACCTTCATCGTCGGGTCATTTTATAATTCATTGCAAACCAACTCATATCAGCTAACAATTGAATTTTAGGCAAAAATCTTTGAAATTAAAATTTCATCTTAACCCATTCTAGAGCTGACTAGAGTTGATTTGATTACAATTGACATTTCATCAAATATTGATTTGCCAATTGGCTCGTTGGGCACGTCAATAGATTGACCAAATCAAGTATCAATGACCATGTTATCTCATGAGATAAATTATGCGTTCAATGATAAATGTGATCTTATGCCGATCTTATCATTACCTGTCATTCATTATTCCTTCCGTTCATTTTTCTCTCTCTCTCTGCCCGACTCTCTGTGGTTCAAAATTGAGGTTGAAAGTTTGGTTTTCAATTTGGTAAAACAAAATGATGTAACCAAAAAAATTTGACCTGACCGGTTTTTAAGATGGAGGATCAACAAATTTTAGCTCTTCTCTTCTTGTGATGGAAACGGAAATTGAAGTTTCTTAAAACTGAATCCAGTCAGACAGGTTACCACATCATCTCTCTCTTATTCCTCTTCCTTACTCACCTTACATCATCATCACCATTATCATCACCATTTTTCTCTCTCTTTTCAATCTAAGCTTTTTCTGGTTTCCCTCTACCTTAACCTTTCCTTTTGCTCTCCAATATGTTTACAAAAGCGTTCAATAATTGGTAGCAAATATTTTTACCTAATATTTAAAACACATACAAGACAAGTGGAAACATTTTTCATTGCCTCTGATAATTGCCGATAATTCTGATGTTCAATGAATCAATTGATAACGTTTAAACGTTGTAACAGCAAGAAAACAATTCAACTTGAAAGTGACAAACGATCAGCAATACATGAAATAATTGAAATTTGCCTAGAGTCAAAGATTATCAGTTTCACAGTCAACTGATTACTTGATTATCTTTTCACCCAAAAAGCTCTCGATGTTGATTTACATTTTATCTTGACTTCTAGCACAATATGGAAACGTGTTGGTTCATCACAACGTTAACCAACCATTGTACAGTTGATTAACAAAAAAGGTTTGAAAAAATGAACAATCAGTTAAACACTAAAATTGGACTCTTTTGATTAACTTGTTTGCTCAATGATCATGTTTGTTTTTTTTAAAAAATTTTCATCTTTTTCTTTCTTCTTTTGTACCTTCAACTTGCTTAATCATGATTATGCTGATGATAATGATAATGATCATCAGCAATTAACCTTCCTTATCAAAGATGATGATGATAAGAAGATGAAGATGCCCCTGGTAATATTAATATTACCATCTATTATTATATTAGGAAAAGCATTGAAAAATTGGAGTCTCTTAAAAGGTAAAAGACTGGGATAGAGAAAGTTCATTCAACTTGTTTTCCAGTCATTTCTTGGTGAAAATGAAAAATTATTGGAATGACTTTAGGCAATTTTTTCGTTCAGGAATTCATTTTATCTAATAATATTATTGGAAGGAAAGAAAACGGCAAAAAAAAACAAGATAACTTGTTTCATCTTCTTTGGACTTCTTTTGCTTTTTTTGAAACTTACGTTTGAAATGAAAGGTTTTTTTTCTTGCACAAGTATTGACAATCTGAGTAAATTGTTGACAATCAAGTTTCAATTTTCAATATTAAACTTGTCATCAATTGCAATGAAAACAAGTTGTCTCAAAGTCTCACGGAAATGTTGGGAAAAGCAATTTAAGGATTTTAATTAAATGTTAACATTTGATCAACATTGAAATCTGACTTTTACTGGACAAGTTGAAGGTTTCAATAAATGTTTAGGTTTCACCTCATTTTAGGTGAAGTTTCATGTGAATCGATCAACATGTTAAATTGTGTAAAGAGAAAAATATTTTCGATTCTCTAATGTAGATCAATGTTAAAGGTTTGATTTGTAAAATTGGGTAAAATTTTCATGTGAATATTGTGTGAACTTTATCTAGAACTATTAACATGATGATTTTGATTCACATATTTGATAAGAAATGAATGATAATTTAGGTTTCTCTTTGGGTTTACTTTTTGAGGTAAAATTGCCATTAACTTGATTGTTGTCCCAACGATCATTGGCATCATCATTATCATCTTTTAGCAATTGAAGATGTAGGAAGATGATTATGGATAACAAGGTAAATAAAATTCCCTTAGGCAATGGCAAGGTTTAAAATAACACGTCTTATGAGTCGTTGCTTTTTTTTGCTTGCCATTTCTCATCATCATTAACATGGTAATAATAATAATAATAATAATAATTTTTTCACGCTCTTCTCGGCTCTTACCTTCTACATATTTCTTTGGCACGTCCCCAGGAATGTCTGATATTGAAATATTTGTAATATTGAGTTCCAAAATTGTTCCAACCTGTAAGGCTTTCATACAAGCTTTGAGGCTCGATATGATCTGGTTGGGTCACTGAATACGGAAAAGAAAAGTAAATCAGAAAAAAAATGTTTCACTCAATATGGTTTGATGGAAGGTCAATAAGCTTGAATTTATAGTCGACTGTTCTTTGGTCAAATGACCATATTTGACCGTTTTTTAATGGGTAAATAAGAAAGCTTCATCGTTCTCAGAATCATGAATATTGTAAATTAGTGTGTGTGAAGTATCTCAACTGATTAGGGAAAGGTGACTAACTTGTTGAGGTAAAAACCTGTTTCTTTGCATAATATTACATCAAATATACAATGGAAGGTTGAAATGATGGTGAAAAAAGGATTGAGGTAAAGATTAAGATTAAGATTGGGTTCATTTATAGACTAACATTTTAGGTTAGGTTAACCCAAAGAAATGGACTGTTCTTGGGAAAAAAGGCTTAATGTGTCTACTTACTTAAACATAATGGTAAAAAGGCTATGATGAGATGGTGAATGATGAAAAAATTCATGATGCCTGATGACTGATCAGTTCTGATCTCACAAATCACTTATCCAGAATTGTAAGGAAACATATAAAAATGATAACAAAACACGCAAGTTGTTGGTTGAAAACAAAAAGTTGATAATCCTAGTAGTTACACAGTGATGCACAATGAGACAGCAAACAACAACAAACTGTTGACTTTCTTGTTGGTCTGCTGTTTGTTTCTTTGTTTTTGGCTTTTCTTAATAATTTAATTTATCTAAGGATAAGCCCAAAGTTAATTCCAGTACATTCATGACAATGGTTGAAATTGAGTCAAATAGTAATAAAACACCAATCAAATGTAACCAAATCAATAATATATATATATAAAACTTATATATACTTAATATAAAAATTACAAAACTATTACAAAAATACCTATTCTCACAAGTCAAAAGGTAAATGGTTACTTCAACTGGTTAAAATGATGGCGGATCAAGGTACTAACCTTACGGTGAGACTCATCGGTTCAACTTGTCAGTCCAAAAGCAAAACCAGTTTACCTAACCAGCAAAGCCGACTCGTTAGACGCCATCTATTGATTAGGTAGCCAACTGTGTAGTTACGTTCACTTGTTGGGTTCACATTAAAATGGGTTTATTTTGATTATTAATTCCTAACCTTTTTTAAATTCAACATATGCCAACAATTAAAGTATAAGTTGATTGTCAGTTTAATTTTTCTTTTACTGTTTCTGTTTAATTGGTCATTTATAGCCATTACAATACAAGAGGAAACCAGAAATTGAATTTTCATCGCTTCTGTGGTTTACTTCAAGCTTCACCCTTTTGTTATGATTTTACTTGAAAGTGTCATTTTTCAATTCATCAATTAATTTTAATTTTTTGTGAATATTTTACTTAAAAAGTTGGAATTGTTACTCTGAATCGACTTAATATTTGATAATCAATCTTGACTAACTCAGATCACATCTTAATTGTGCTTGCCTTTCAAATGATTTAAGATTCGATGAGCAATTACGATTTTCAATCTTTTGACTTTACATCAATGACACAATGATGCATGATCAATATCAATATCAGTTTAAACTTGGCATTGAATATAAAAATGTGCAATTTTCAAAAATATACAATTCTTGGGTCGAAATGCAGTTTTTGTCGATAAAGACGTCGTGTTATTGAGAGCAATATTTTTGATGAAAAATTGCAAATGATATTACGATTAGTATTGGTTTGGATTAACATTCCTATTTCAAGATTTTCAACCAGCATGAGATTTTTATTAAAAAATCAAATCAGAATTGAAAGTTGCCAATACAATAGCCTTAGATGTTATCAATTCCTTGTCACAATAATAATGCAAAATAAGCCAACTAAACGCACGCTAAACCTTGATTCAGTTAGATCAACTAATAAGCAATTTGACACAGTCTTTAGAGTTGAATCAATCTTTTTGCTTCCATCACAATGCTTTAAACCAACTGATCAAGTCAACTCAAACCAGAAATTAACTAAATCAAAGTAACGATGTTATTGATTCAATTTTGAATATGAGGTAAACTGATGAAAAGCAGTTGTTTTAGGTTGAAGCAATTTCTTAACCAATATAAATATAATAACTTGATATTAAACTTGAACTTTTTCATGTTAAACATTTTGAGCTTGAAACCAATCTTTTGCCCAAATCGTTCAATCATTAATGTTGACTAAATCAACTGAAAGCATCAAAATTATTCCTTCAATTAGCTTTGGTCTAAACAAGAGTTTTGTCCCAATAATGTAAAATTAACCCAAAGAAGTGGATTCATTTGATTCTTAATGTTGTCTAAACATGTTTTTAATTGTGTCACATTTGACATCTAAAGGTGAAGTTACATTGAGTTTACCCTTCAACAGTTTCCAAACATGAATATTAAATATTTTTCATGATTAAATTGCGAAAAGGCGGAATTGAATTGGTTTAACAATAAGAAAAACGTTTCCATTATTGATGGTTAAAGCAAAGTAACGATTTTAAAACATTGAGACTTTTCCCAGTCAATATTGCACTTTAACAGTTAATTTGAACCAAGACAAACCCATTTCATTGATCATGAATTATTGAAATGATTATCAGACTCAAGTGATGATTATGCAGCTACAAACATTTCCTCTCGTCTGATTTGGTGAAAAATGAATTGAAATGATGAGATGAGCAAATCAAAAAAAGGCTCTATTCTGGTCAAAAATGAGGCAAAAAATAACCTCAAAATAACTGGTTATTTTACAGCAAATTCAGGGTCATTTTTTTCTCTCTTTTCCCTTCTCATTCACCAAATCAATTTCCGATCATTTTTTTGTCTCTCTAATCAGATTCTTCTTCTTCCTAGTCGTATAAGTTTCAGTATGGTTATTACAGAAGGTAATTGTTAAAGGTGAACCAAAAAACATCGTGAGACAAAAAAGCTTGAAACGTGATTTTGATTATAAAATATCATCTAATATTTTGAAGTTTCTCAGTTTTTTTTGTTTGAAACTTTCAGGGTGAATTAAGGTTAAATCAAGGGAAGAGGAAAGTCGGTATAAAGTGAAAAACTAAACATTTTTCAACATCCGAACTTCCATATTGTCCTGATCATTCCGATAATTTTGATCGCCATTTTATCCAATAGTTGATCAAATGCTTTTCCCAGACTCAAAAGGTTGGCTAGGTTGGATGGTTGTGAAAGATCAATTGAAATTTTCAGTTAATCGCATTCATTTTGATCCAAGACAATGACAGCGATTCTGGAATATTTGATTCTAATAAACAAATGATCAAATCAAATAATCAATTTAACTCCTTTGAGTGTCAACCCATTTTGCATTATAGTCAATCCACATTGAAATACCCAAACTCGTAATGAGAAAACCAGAAAATTGTTTCTGGAGTCTTGCAATCATAAATGGTTGATCTTAATAAACATTCAATTTTGCTTGACTTTGGACAAAAAGAGTTACTTGAAAGCTGAATCCATTTTAAATCCTTTTTAAGAGTAAAGTTGATCCGATCTTGTAAACATTTAGTTTTTAATTTCAATTGTAGACAAAATTACTTGATTATTTGACCAACACTTGAACATGAACATTAATTATTGCAAAATGTAATTGTTGGTCAGTTGGTTTCAATTGTATATTCACAATTGAAGATTTCCTTTGAATTGTTACGATTGTTAGTTGAAGGTGGACTGGATTAAACTCTCCATCTGAGCAAATTGTTAAACATGATGATTGATAATACATTAAATTGTTTCACTAACCCATTAAAATGTAAACACGCTAAATGACGAAGATGCTAATTTGGTTACATGTTGAACCAGGTTTACAATATTTTGCTATTTATATTCACGTTTCCTAATCCCAATCAATCTTCATCTTTGATTGTGTAACTATATTGTTTCAATGAAACCAAATCAAGAAGACAATTAACTTAATCATCTGGAAATGTTCAACTTTCACTATTCAACAGTTACATATGTCAACCCTTACAAATGCTGTTAATCCAATGACAAGCTCAATTTAAATGGCTTTAATGGTTGTTCAATTTTCACACGATTCAATTTTAACTATCAAATTAATATCATTGCTCATCATTGAAATCAAATTAAAGTTAATCTTTCTTTCGTGGTTAACAAGCAAACTCATCAATCTAAACACATAACAACAATAATGGCTTACCAAAGTTCCGTTCCTAATACAATAAAATAATCTGAATTTCCTTTTCTCTATTAATTTCACCATTGTGCGGTCACAAGAAAACACTCATTTTATCATCAAAAATGGTCTTTCAATCTTCTAATGTTTTTCTTTGCGGTTCACAAGTTGTGATTTATGGCGTCAACAAGAGATCAGTTCTAGATACAAATCTTTTCCTTGGACCATTCGACTCTCTCGCACTTCGTCTCGACCTTATTTGGGCAATCGCATCGACGATTGGAGCCCATCAACCGATTTTTTCATTTACATTTCCTGTAAATTTGTCGGGAAACTTAAACTTCCATCAGATCTCCAGCAATAGCACTTCTAGTTACATAACGTGTTCATAGCCGAGACTACTACTACTGTGTTCCTCTTTCGTCCGAACTTTTTGGGATAATTTGAAATGGTTGGAATACCCGAAAGACACTTATCCTGAAGCAAAAATTTCAAAAGATTTCGATACAATTACAAATCAATTTTTGATCGATTTTACAGAAAAACTAAAGAACAATTACAGAAATAACTCAAAACAAATCTCGATAAACATACCTATTTGAGGTAAAATCCAAAAATGTTTATCCTCTCGGAGGTAACCTTGTTCTGCTGGTCCATGATGCAAATGCTGACTCTTGGTGGTCGCTCATTGTTTTGGTGGTTTCAATGGCTGTCAATGTTGACACTAACAAATTCACATCGATCATGACGTTCACTTCCTTCGATAAAGTTGTACAATAACGAATTTTGCTCGATGAAAATCATTTTTATAATTTCTCATCAAATTGGTTTAACATTGAAATATGCTCGATTTGCATCCATCAGTGAGATTAATAGGTTCCATCACAAGTTTTAGCTATTAAAATTGACAAGGTAACATGATTCAGTTTATTACATTGAATAATAAAGAAACCGATTGACGTTATTAACCAATTCCTGATTCAGTTTCTTTAATCTTCAACTCTTCATTTCCTCAACTGCTCACCTATTCAAGGGTAAGTCAGTATGGTAAATAGCGGATTATGATCCATTAGCAATTAAAACTGCAACTGGATTCGCAACTCTAATTAAGGACAACAACGTGTTTAAATTGAAAAATATCAAAAGCTTTTCAAGTTGTTCTCAAAATGCCCTGAAAAGGAGAGTTTCATCACTTGATCCAGCAATTTTGATGAGGACATGAATAAATTAAAGTGAATTAACTTGCTCTTCAACTGAAATTACAAACTGAATGTTTATCAAATCAGCTCAATCAAAGTAACTAAAGTGATGAGACTTTTTGAAACAATTTTCTGGTTACAATGAATACAAAACAAACTGATTAACTTTGATTGCTCTTCCAATTGAAAATCCCAAGTCCTGAGAAAAGTAATTTTCTTTGATTTAGTTACAATCGAATTGCCGCTAAAGAATTTAAAATAAAATTTGAAATAATTTACTAATCAGCAAATTGAATGCTACCAAATGTTATTGTAAAACATTGTCGATTGTTGCTATTGAAGTGTTGAAATTAGTCTTATTTTTAACATCAGACTCTTGCAATTTTTCATATTAATCAACTTGCAACAATTGAATGTATTAATTATCAAGGTTGATTAAACACATTGTAAGGTAAAGGTAAGAAAAAAACAATTTGTATTGTTGGACGAGAAAAAAAAGATGTTCATTTGTTTCCATCAACATTGGTAAAGCAAATAGAGCAATATGAAAGTGAATATTTGCCAAACAATTGTCTTAATGTTTTCATTTTTTAATTACATTTTTAACTCTAAATTGTTGAACAATTTGGAAACAGAAATCAATTGATTTATAAATAAGTCAAAGTTGAATACAAATTGTGAGTTCAATATTTGAGTGTTGCTTTCAACTGATTTTGATAAAGTGAAATGAAACATTAATGCAAATGTTGACTCTTTTAATGTGTTATCAAGTTAATTATACTGATGATGTTGATTGTGAAGATGATTTGTGTGTCTTTAGTGTAACATGTTTGTATTATTAATAGAAACGTGTTAAGATGCTGATGAGGACAGAAAAGTGAATAATCAGAATTGAATTGTTGGTAAAACAAAGGTAAAAGAGTCTCTTTTCTGTACCTTAACTGATCAACTTTAATTAGCAATTGTAATTAAAACTATTAACAAGAAGGATGATTGAGGTTGAAAAGGTATGAGATGAGAGGAAGGTAAAGAAGTGAAAAAAATGAGATTCTCTTCTTTTCTTGGCTCAATTTGTAGCGACGTGATTAACATTGCAGTTTATTGTTGAGGAAGCTGATGATTAGAGTTATTGTTAACGGTACAATTAAAATTGTGTTGATTGTAGCCAATTGTTTTACCACAATCAAAATGCGCTTCTTCAAGATTCATCTTTTTTTTTACCTTTACTTTTAATCTTTACATTTTTCATCTCAACACACAATCGATCGTTTTAATTGTTGCACTTTGTGATTATCAATTGAAGCCCAAAGTGAACCTCAATTTTGTTGGCAAACGATTCCTCAATCAAGCTCAACAGTTGGATTAATTATTGGTCTCACATTCACGGTCATATTTAGGCTAATTAAGAGACGTTTGTTTGTTACTGTATTTACCTTTTGTTTCAATGGTTTGCTGGTTTCATTATTTTAAGTTAATCATTTTCTTGCTCTTCACTGATTATCATAATTGTTGCCTTTCATTTAACCCAATACATCTTTTAGTGGCATTGCACAGTTTACATTGTTTAGCATGGTTAACTTGATCATTTGTTGTGTGTGTGTTTCATTGTCGTTCAAGTTTACTATTTGATTAGATTAATTTGTTTCCTTCAATTATTTGGGACACTTGATTGACTGTAACACTTTATATTATTAATATTGTCATCTCTCTTTGTTTCCTTCAATTCATCCGATTATTTGATTAACCAAATTGTCCTCTTTAATGGGTAACCAATTTTTACCTCTAACTTTAATTTTGTCAATCATATTAGCTTTACTATGTATGCCAATCGGTTCATCAACAATAACAGCTAATAGTTTATCATTACAATAGAATGGCGAGTTTCATGTTTTGAAAAATTTACGGAACAATTTGATTCTTATTGTTACAATCGGATCAATTTTAATGGATATTTATTGTCAATTTAAATTTTTCATTTAATTTTAGTTTATTGGAGTCAGGTGTCGAACTCTATTGGACAAATTTTGAAATGTTTTGATTGTTGAGTCGATGTTGGAATCGATTAGCTTTATTAATCTTAAGTTTAATCAAAGGATTGGATTTTAGTTTAAAGTGATTGTCTTGACATTGAACGGCTTCTCTAAATGCTTAGATGTTCAGTCTTTCTGTTGGATCTTTGGTTTTCTTTAGCTTTCAACTGTCAAATTTTCAATGTATAGCAAAATTTTAGATTCAGTTAAGGTAATCTGCATAACATGCATCTTGATCGTGATCAACAACAAGAAAAGTACATTTATATCTTTTTCAAAGTGTCACTTCGATGTGATTCCAAGAGCTAACGCAATGGCTTTTGAGTGCGTCACAGAAGTGTAAACAATTCTTTAACAGATATCATAAAATAAAATTTCCAGGATAATAATGATAACTTGGCATTTGGAGCTGAAATTTTTCCAATAGTGTAAAATTTTCCAATAAACTAAAGCTAAAGCACAATCTAGAAGTGCAATTCAAATATATTAATATATAAAATAAATCAATTGAATACAAAATTGAAAGTTATTTCGGTGAAATTTAAAGTGAAACAGATTTGCTCCTCTAAACCATTGACAATAATTTTACTTTTCAAATGTAATTCACTCAATTTATTGCATCAAGTTTTGACTAGATATTTGTATTGAAGCACAACTTATACAAAAAAATACAAAATCATTTTATACAAAAAAATAGTAAAAAAATTAAATTATAATTAAAAAAATCGTAAAAAATTTTGCACTCATAGAGAAACATTGTAAACAAAAAGTCATTAATCAATTGAACCTTTCAAGTATCCCAAGCATTGGTCCATAAACTTGTTCATAGACATTTTTTGCCCAAATGAAATCCAAATGGTTAAACTTTTGATCTTGAACCAGAAAATCAATGTGAGGATCTGTAAATAAAAGTTTATTTGTAAATTAAATTGAATCAACAATCAATTTGAAGCTTACGTTTCAAAGAGGCTTTTAAAATTTGGACATCTTGTGAGTCGGCAAAGGGATCATTATTTGATCGGATGAGGACAATATTTTCCGATTGGATTGCCTCGAGATTATAAGCTGGAGGGTAAAGTGATCCATATCTGAAAATGTTGCCGAAAAATCCATAATCGAATTTGAGAAAATTTCTATTTAAAATGTTTTGTCCAAAATGCAACAAATTCCAAGCCGAGGTTCCACCCATTGCATGGGAATAATAAACTGGTGTTCGAGTGTAATTGAACTGGTCTGGATCATAGCCACAGAGTAAAAAGAGTGCAGAGCCACAGACTTGACGGACAATCCTTCTGCCGCAAACCTTTTCAGACAAAATGTCAAGTAAAAAGCTGGGAAGTGAAAGTTCACCTCCTAAGGTCTTCACCAACCTCATGGCACCAGGAATCAAAGTAATGTAACGAATAGGAGATTTGATATGTTCAACATGAGCGATTGGAGCCAGAGCAACAAAAGGTTTCACTTTGTCCGTATATTCAGGTCTCTCAGCCAACATGCCAAACATGATTAAACTTCCTTGGGAATGGCCAATCCATCCAAGATGATCTGGTCAACAGAGTCACAAATTGTTTTAAAATTTCCAAGTTGAATGAACATTGAAAATTCAATTTCAATCTTTTATTAACTTACCGAATCCAGTTTTGCTTAAAACGTAATCAATAACTGCTGGACAATCATAGGAAATCATTTCATCGAAAGATATTTGCCAGAAACTTGAATCTAACAAGAAATGATTAGTAAACTTTAAGAATGAAAAGTAAGTGGAAAATGATTTACCCTGATTTGGATCGAGAGTTGTGTGATTTTTGGAATACTTGTTTCCTCTCGAGTTTGGCATCCAAACATCATAACCAATGTTAGCCAAAAGAAAGGCCAAGTTGCGTCCTTCGACAGTCAAATCAACTGAAACTGTTTCATTTGTCCAATCAGCAGCAAAACCGCCATTCGAGTTGGTCAAGAAATGGGTTGAAGAACCTAAAAGTCCGTGTTGTAAAACCAATGGTTTAATCAACTTTTTGCCCAATCTTTTGTAAACTGGATTAATGATGTGATGAAGGGCAAGGATGTAACCATCATCAGTAGTCACAAAATGCTCTTCACAAATGAACTTTCTAGATTCAATCAATTCACATGGAGTTCGGGAAAAGTCTGGATCTACATTGGATGAAAACAACAGTTGACAGTGGCAGACTCGAGGCAAGAGTAGCTTTAAAACGAAAACAATTGAACACAATTTTAAAAGTAAAATCATAATTGCTGTTAAATAGTCGCTAAATAGTCAATTGACAAATATTGAATCAAGTTAATCACTCATCATTGGTAATAAATATGGTGGTTTAGACTCACTCAAGGTTATCAAGTGATACATTTATTGACAAATTTTATCAATTATAAGCCAAGTTTCCTTGAATAGTCAATTATCAGAGTTTAAATTTATCTGTTTAACATATATTCTGGTGGATCCATTGTGAAGATAAATTATGAACATATGATTGAACAACTTGAAATCATTAATGTCAACTGATGAGAAGTGTGATTTTGATGATGAATTTCTAAGTAAATCAATAAATTGTTTTTTGGTAAACTTGAAAGGGTGTTTTATTACGACTTGTTACACAAGATAATCACATTATGATATAGCAATTGTAAAACTTGAATATTCATCGATTACTTGGAATAATTTACATTCATTTCTGGTGTTGAAGAGCAATAGAGTTATAATTAAAGGCTTGGGATGATTTGAGAAATTAATTGTTTACAAATTACTCTTTTTGATACTTCTCATGTTAATGTATTGTTTCAATTTATTATTCAAGGTTTTAAATTTACGTCAATTTGTGTTTGCTTGAAATAACCTGGGAAAACAATTGATTAAACATGTACAGCTTTCAATAATTTACTTGTTGGGAGTTAACCATTTTTGGGTCCATTTTTGAAGTACTTTTGGGTAATTTCATAGATAGATTTACCAAAATATTGATAGCCTTCAGTCGAGTAGAGATAAGACAAATGAGTCCAGTTGTCGTAAGAAATGATGTGGTCGATGAAAGATGTTCCTGGAATTGAATTAAAGGTTGAAATGGGTTTGTTTGGTTTGGGTTTGGGTTGAACTTACCGTTGAGAGAGTGTCTCAGTTTGTCGACACTTTTCTGGGTTGCAAGGAAATCTCCTCGTGAACTTATCAATATCAATTTTTTTGTTTTGATCCGATGGAATGGAAATTTTGGAGGTTCTCGAGATCCGTACAAGGCTAGGTTTTCATCTTCTCCGTGATCGAAATAGCTAATGTGATCTTTTATCACTGATTGAGCAAAATGACCAAAATTTTTGAATGACGTTTGCTCTATTGAGCTTATGTAAACGGGTAATCGAGATAGGTTTATCTGTTTGTAGTCAAAGCCAATGACGGAATCGAAAATTTGAAGGCAAATCAGTTGGTTGAGCGGGTTTTGACAAAATAACCCACCAAAGGCATTGATGTAAGCAAGGCCTGGAGGGAATGCAGCTCTTGGAGCACCAAATAAGTCAGCGAGGATTTCCAATCGAGGAAGCAAGGCAAAAGTGCCTTTTATGTCTGCTAAATAACCAATTGGTGCGGCTAAAAATATAAGGTTATAATTTGCTTCAAAGTCAGGCATAAGAGACAATTGAATGAGGATTATTATTGTTCCTTGTGAATGGGCTACAACTGAGATTTGGTCTGTAATTGAAGGTAAAGATATATTTAGAAATCGATTTCGACAGAAGTTCATGTTTACTTGGACTCACCATACTGAGTAACATTTTTAATGTAATTAACTGTGGCGGGCACATCGTAAATGGCCATTTCGTAAAAGGTGAAATCCCAAAATTCGTCATCTGAAAAAAGATAAGTCAAAGGGATTGAAAATGGGTAAAAGAGGTGAAAAGTAAATCTTTACCAGTATTTGGGTTGAGCTTGGTGTGATTGGTTGAATAAGTTGTTCCTCTTAAATTTATCAACCACACATCGAAACCCAAATTGGCCAAGAAAAAGGCCAAAGCTGGTGAAGTGTCGTTTGGTGGGTTTCCATTAACCCAATCTTTCATCTGGCCACTTGGTTGACTGTAGAGCCAGTTTGCACACGATTCAAGAAAACCATGAATTAGTAGAAATGGTTTTCGCTTTTTTCCAGATGAAATTGCATTTCGATTTATCATCCGATAAATTTTTAAAATGTAACCATCGGCTGTTGTCACGAAATGCACTTCATATTCAAATCCACGAGACGAAATCAGTTGACCACAAGTTGCAGCTTCATCTTTGTCTTTACGCAAAGGTCCCATAATGACTTGGGTTTTAGCAACTGTTGGACTTTCATTATAAGCCTCGATTATTGAAGGATTATCCGAAAGTTCACGAAAAAATTCATCATCAAGCAAATTGTCTGCTAGGGTTATACTGAGGGTTAAAAGAAAAGTTGTGAATTTAAGCAAATAATTAAGTTTCATCATGACTGACATTAGTTAATAGTTGTTATTGAACTGATCGAGGTAAAGTTTACTCTCGAGTTAAAGTCTGATCAAATAATTTATTTGAATGATCAACAGCATTTCAATGAGTATCTTAGCTCGTGTTATCCAATCATGGAAAAGCTTAACCAATATTTACCAGAAGTTCATTAATATGTGTCAATTTAATCATTTGCTTTGCAGCTTGCGAGCTTTTCTGAACAATGTTTTCTTAATTAATCTTGTTGCTGACAATCGACTAATATCTCATGAAAATGGCTTCTGAAGCTTTCGTAATTTCCTGGATTTTCACGCTTTCTATCTGTGATCAACTCAACATTTTGTAACAATTATGGTCGATTGTGTCCTCATCAATGATTAATAAATGGTAAATGATGGATTATCGAAATTAGACTCTCGCAAGATTTGGTTTTGGTTTGGTTAGACTTTGAATGGCCTCCGTCAAATGATATGTATGAGCTGTTGATGTCAAACTCGTGATATCAAGCGAAGAGTCGAGAAGAGTCGAGACAGATGGCAGTAATTAATTGGTCTGTTCCTAAAGTAACGAATGAAATATTATCAATGTTGCAATAAATCAGGTGATGAAAAAAATCAGATTTACTGGGATTCTCGGTAACTTGAGCAATTTTTTTAATTGATTTCTGATGATGCCATATTGGTAATTTCAGATCCTTCGCCAGTTAATTTCACGATGTTATAACTTACGATACTTTAGCTATTGATTAGCGGGTTAAAGTTAGTGACCCAGGTTGAAGCGTTTACGCTGATAGGAACTTGAAGCTTGTACAGATGCTAAGTAAAAGTAACTCTAATAGTCGCGCTTTATGTCAACAAAATCAAATTTAATCGTTAAAAAATAAGACAAAAATCTCATTTTATTATAAACTCAATAGCTACAATAGACAATAGGTGGTCAACTCGGCTAATTATAAAAAATTTAAACACTTTGCACCTTTAAATTGTATAAATCTTTAATTAATAAGCAGCTTTAGGAAAATCAATTGATATTCAATTTTGCCGGTTGTTATGTTAACATGTGAAGAGTTGAAGAGTTGAACGAAACTTGGCAACAGTTCAATTTATAACTGTTGCTTGTCTTACTTGGAACCCAAATATCTCAGGAACCACCTAATTCCCAGAAGAAGTAAACACAGTTTTTCATGGCTCAACATGCTCTCTTGAATGACAGCTCTCATTGAAATCGGTTTCTGGTATTACGATTACTTCTCATGTTAGTTGTTTAATAATTTCTCTGTTAGTTGTATCTTTTAAAACATTTGTTTAATATTAGAGGTAAGACATTTTGAATTGTGGTATTTCTATCAAAAAATCTGATTCAATTTTTATTTTATTAGGTTTCAATTGTGGTTTCAAACAAGTTATTGGTTTTTAATGGTCAATTATGGATCACAGCAGTGACGAGGAGTCACCCAATGTTTCATATCCAACTCATTCGTTTACTATGGTTGTTGGAAGTCAAACCTTTTAAAACGGGATATTGATACAGAGTCAACTATTGTGACCGTTCAATTGAAAGTAATGTTAACTCAAAAAATCTCCTGTTTAAAATGGACATTTATGGCTTTTGTGGCTGATTGTGTTTATTGTGGTTTTTAGTATAACCTGAAAAAAATCATGAAAAAATGAAAAACTTTTATTTTTGTTGCCAGGCAACGTTTATGCACTAACTAGTCGGATCCGATCATTGAATCGTATCTGTTTCATTCTGGTCTAACATTTTTGTTTGTACCACCATTTTGTTTTGTTTTTTGCAATTTCGGCCTTTTGCCTGATTAATTTAAACTTTTACTTCGTTATTTTATTTTTTTACTGCTCCAACATGTCCACAAACTCCAGTCAGGCGACAAAAGCCTTCAAGCCCAAGCAACAGTCTGGTGACAAACCACAGCTACACCTTCACAAGCATCAACATCAACACCAGCACCAACATCAGCATCAACACCAGTCAAATCGTAATCCAGGCTTTAAAGGCAATAATCCAGGGCCTAGTAATGGTGGCAACAAAGGTGGTCCACATAAAACGGTCCATGTTCATCATTTTTACCATAAAGATGGCAAGAGTAATAACGGCAGCGCCAACAACAACAACAACAACAGCAACAACAAAAACAACAACAATAGTAACAATAACAACTTCAAGCCTCGACAACAACCGCACAACAATAATCGTCAACAGCAATATCAACAACGACCACCAAACCGACAAAGGCAACAACCTCCACAAGAAGAACCAAAACAAAGTAACATCTGGGGAGAAGTATTAGGCCAAGTTTTATCCTCAGTCGTAGTTGCAGTTGTCAACGCAAAAAAAGATAGCCGATGAATTTTTTAACGAACTTTAATTATCTCAACTCTTATCCATTGACCTGTCCTGTTCAATCCTGTTCAAGTGTCTTTAAGACGTAAATTTTGAGAAATTAATTGAGTTTATACACAAACTGCACAAAATAATAATTGCCTTGTTTATATCAATTTTATGCCAATAAACATTTATACGTGTACAATCAGTAAAAATAGTACTCATTAACTGCTGAGATTACAAGGCATTAGTCTTATGAATATAAAGCATCAAATGAAGATGATGAGAGCGGATCCCATAGAGCATTTGCCTCCTCACCGATTTGCATGAAATTTCGTATGATGATAGAGCACATCACGGTCTACAATATTATCAAATAAGACTTTTAGAAAACGGCAAACAATCGAAAAAAACTTGCATGTATTTTTGAGGCCAAACCACTTATACGATTTTGATTTTGATAAGCTTTTTAGGATCCGTCATTACTCAATCTTTCAAAATTTTTTCAGTGAGATCCTAAATAATGGGAATACTGTGAAATGGCTTATTTTCATAGCTCTGTTCTTAGTTTTGTCCAGTGACAATTAAAAATGATTTTACTTTCGTTGGTGTTGACAGCTCTTTGCATCTTGCAAACTCATTCAACTTCCCAATCAAGACAGTTTGTTTCACCAAGAGCTAAATTTAATAACCAAGTTAATTTTATTAAAAGGATCATTGGAGGAGCACCTCCAGGTTTACCTGAAACTGTTTACTTCTATGAAGATTCATCTAAACCCGATTTGTTCAAATGGAGACAAATGTCTGAAATTTACTCGTTACTTCACGAATATTGTGGTCAATTTAATGTTAATGATAAAAGAAACAATTTACTATCAATGGTCGCAATTCAAGATTGCCATCGAGTTTATTATTAGATTAATAACGATATTACAATACTAATTGAAATTCATTTCAGTATTTCTTGATTTCTTTGCATATATTTCTGGATTATATATTTTTTGTTAAAATTGACTCGGGTTGTCCAGCATTTTCTGTATCAATGAATAATCAAACCAGTTGATTTTTACGATAAAGTTGAGATAAACTTGATGATTTTCATTGCTCATCGGGATTAACTTCCTTGCTTTTCAATACGACAGTAAAAAATTAAGAAAAGATTCTTATGGTGTTTCTGTGGAGTTGGAGGATGCTGGAGCGGCTGAAGCTGGTTTATTCATTGAAAAGGGAAAACGAGGAAATGAGATTCTCTCCATAAAACTTTTTGAACATGGTGGCCGATGGTGGTCGTGGTGGGCTTGTGGTGGTTGAGGGTCAACTGAAAAGAATGGAAAATGAGGATGATGATGATGGTGGTGGTGGTGGTGGTGGTGTCCGAATGGAAATCGTGGGTGATGATGGTGATGATGATGGAAATGATGTGGTGGTGACGACAGTGGACAGTGATGGACCATTATTTAGATGTTTGCAAATATTCACTCAAAGATGGATTTTTACTGGATGTTAAAACTTGGTTGTAGCGTAAACTGGAATGTCTTCAATTTGGGAAATGATCTGATTTTTATACAGAAATACGAGACCATTATCAACACTGATTTGACATTGATTCTGATTGACTATTATAATCCAATTTAATCTATGTTGCACTCAATAAGATTGATTACGAGTTAGCTCAATAAAAGATTAACCTTTGGTTCTGTAGTGATGCAACATTATCAACAGTTTTCACTCATTTACAGTGATTATTTAATAATGTCCAGCGACAACAATTTTGAGCTTTTAAATTGTGCGATTGTGAGTGCACTCAACAATACCGCTAAACCTTTTTTTAATGATTTAACTTTTAAGTTGTCATTGCTTTAAACACCCATTTTGATACATTCAATATAAGCTTCCTTCTTGGTTAACTAGACTACAGGAGACATGAGCGATGAGGTAAATATTGTTAATGTACCTGAGAAAGTATTGTTTTATGGTAAATTTATCAAACAAAAGATTTCAAGATAATCATGAATTTGATCAATTAAGTGCTGCTAATTTGTTATCTTTGTTATTTTACAAACTCCTGATAAGTAAGCATTAGCAGTATTATTTAACTAACTGCGGCGAGAAGTTACATGATTTATTATCGAGGGCGAAGCGCGAGATCATATAACTTCGAGTAAAAAACAAAGATAAATATCTTGACTGGCGTTGAGCTTTGCTTTCACTGATTAACTAATATTACCTTTTCAAGTGCAGCTAAGATTAACTATAGCTGAGTTAAAATGATGAAATATAATCATGAAATTAAAAGTCATGGAAATGTAAATTCAATAATCAAAAAAGAGATAGAGTGGAATTGAAAGACAAAGCTCGCAAAAATTCATTTTTCTTGTGACGATTACGGCCAAACCATACAACCGATTTCAATGAAATTTTGCCCAACAGATAAGTAGACAGCACAAAAAGGAGTAATATTGAATTTTTTCAATGGGGTGTGGAAAAAATTGGAAAAATCCACCTTTACTGAATCTCTTCAGGCACTAAACAGTTAGCTAAAACAGAAATAAACATGAAAGTTATAGCTTAATCTCAACATCAAGTGAAGGGTATGACGAAGTAGACAGAATGAATTACGACTGTTTACCTACAACACCATCTCCATTCCCTAACTTCAACATTCAAAGCACTAACTTTACTGACCACAAACCTCAAATCGGCAATAGAAGAGCAGAAGAGGTCCTTAGAAAATCTTAAACAGTCTGTTGAGTATACCTCGATCGATAACTCACTTTGACCGTCTCAAAGACCGTCTCACCCGAAGAAAGTTCATCGTCCTGAGAAAGAATGACATACGAATTGTCACTTTTTTTAACGAGGAGCTCAACTACTTTACGGTGAAAGTAGCTCATTATGTATACGAAGATGTAGTGAAACGTGCATTAACATTTAATGATTGACCATTAACAGATACTGTTGAGCAGGCTCTTCCTACAGAAAGCTATTCGACATAGCATGTTACATCACTGGAGAGCCAAAGGTTGATCTTTGATTGCTCTACTCGTAAACAATTTTATTGAGTGCAAAATGGTTGTTAAACATAGATTAAATTTGATCATAAGGCTAAAATCACATTATCAATTAATAGATGAGCTGTTATGGTGATAATTTTATTAGTCAGAGTCAGTTAATTTTCGCATATTTCTGAATAAAAATCAGATTCTTTTCCAAATTCAAGTCAATTCCAGTTTACACTACAACCAAGTTTAACATCCAGTAAAAATCCATCTTTGTGTGAATATTTGCCAAACATCTTAACAATGGTTCATCACTACCATCCGCCATCACCACCACATCATCATCATCATCCACCACCTCCACCTCACCACCACCACCATCACCCACCCCATCATCATCTTCCACCCTATCCAGTCCAACCTCACCCACCACCACCAATGCAACATCACCATCACCATCATCCACAATTTCCAACGACTGTTGTTGAGAAGATTTCAGTTCCTTTTCTTCCAATTTCAATAACTAAAACAATTACAGTACCTCCACATCATCCCCACCATCCGCCACCTCCACCTCCACACCACCACCACCATCATCATCATCCTTACTAACTTTTTTACTGAGGTCGTATAAAAAACAAGGAAGTGAATCCCATTGAGCAATGGAAACCATCAAATTTATTTCAATTTATTATTTCAAAAATCAACTGGTTTGATTATTCATTGATACAACAAATGCTGGACAATCCGAGTCAATTTTATCAAAAAAACATAATGACGTTAATGATGACAAACCTAAATTCACCTGTTATTAAAAACTGAAATGAATTTCAATCAGTATTGTAATCTTTTCTAATGTTATAATAAACTCGATAGCAATCTCAAATTGTTGCTGTCATTCATAGTAAATTGTTTTTTATCATTACCACTAAATTGGTCACAATATTGGTGGAGTAACGAGTAAATGTAATTCATTTGTCTCCATTTGAACAAATCGGGTTGAGATGAATCTTCATAGAAGTACACAGTTTCAGGTAAACCTGGAGGTGCTCCTCCAATGATCCTTTTAATCAAATTAACTTGATTGTTTAATTTAGCTCTTGGTGAAACAAACTGTCTTGATTGTGAAGTTGAATGAGTTTGCAAGATGAAAAGAGCTGTCAACACCAACGAAAGTAAAATCATTTTTGACCAAAACAGAGCAAAACTAAGAACAGAGTTGTTTCCAAAACAATTGACTGAAAAGATTTGAAAGTTAGCTTTAAATTTGATTTAATTCAGACACTCACTGAAAATGGTAATCAATTTGATATGCAAATCGCGAATTATCATAATCATCTTTATAAGGCAAGTTTCCTCATTCAATAAAAGGTTACCATACATTGGAGTTGATTTATTGTTTCATCCAAAAATTTTCAATGCAATTTTCAGTGACTATTAGTTTACATTAATGACCATTTAACTTTCATATAAGACCAATTCCTTAATCGATTGTATGGACTCTATCACAATATAATGATTGTAAATAGTGTAATTTGTCATTCCTTGTGAAGATGATGAGGCTAAATAGTATTACATGTTGTTGAGTGGATCGTTTGGTGAATACAGATAAATAACTTTACAAAGATTAACAACGGAAGAATCTGCTAAATAATCAAATCACTAGAAAGTTGATCAAAATGATAAGTTGATTGTCAAACACTTTGCCTTTCCGCTGATAATGGTTTCTTCATTAACTAAGATCAGTCAGCCAGTTTAGTGTTATTTTTGAATTCAACTCTGCATCAGATTGGATTGCAAGTCAACTTGATTTAGATTTGTTTTTCTGTTTTGTGTACTTTTTATGGTCAAATCTTCCAATTTATTGTATGGTCCTTAAGTCAATCGTCGCGAGTTGACCAGTTTATTCAAGCTTGTATTGAGATTCGAGATTCCGTCGCTCTAATATTTTTGGATAATTGGCGTTCCATAAAGATATAATTTATTTATATTCATCTGTTAACCTTTCTTCTTCGATTAGTATTATTTAATTGTCAATCATGGCCTCTGTTAAGCTTGTAATCTTAATTATTTCATTATTTTCTTTCGTGAATTCTCAAAAGTCATACTTTTTCAATCGACCTCAGCAAAAGCGTCTTCAATACTTTGATGGTAAGTAGAGCTTTGTCTTTCAATTAAACTCTTGTCCTTTTTGGTTCTTGAATTTCCGTTTCCATGGCTCTTAATTTCCATCATGATTATATTCCGGATTGGTCCAATTTCATCATTTTAAACTCAGCTATAGTTATCACTTGAAAAGGTAACATTAGTTAATCAGTGAGAGCAAAGTTCAACGCAAGTTAACATCAAGATGACAACCACTTGATAATTATAAATGTGTAATAACCAACTAGAGATAGAAACGTGAGATTGTTGATTGAAATCAACTGTCAGATGAAAAAGATCCAAATCTTTTTATCCATGATGGTTCCATATTCACACAGAATGATTAATTTTGGCCTATTCTTGTTCCTCATTGTCTTATGGCTTTATTAGATTATTTGATGAACAATGACGATAAAGTAGTTATTATTGAGATGAATGACGGAGACTCTCAGGAATCAAAGTTAACCAGTAAAAGTGGCAAGATTGTGGAAAACAGCTTTTCAACATCATCTTCAACAGAAAGTGCGCCTAAAATAACAACATCAACTCAAAGTCCAGAAAATAAAGGTAAGAATATTATTATTCATCGTAAATATTATTCATCAAACTCCTTGAATCATCTTGAACGAGCCATTTTAAATGCAAGGAAAACAAATTCAACAGTAGTGTGAAACGATTAACGATAAAGATGAGTATAACAAATGTGTGAAGTACCGCAGAATGTTGATTAATGACCTTAAATGTTCCAATATTAATGTCCCATCCTACTTTTTGATCTTTGTTCGGAATGGGATGGAAATTTAATATCGATGATGATAGAGTTTGTGATTGGCCTCTTCATGTGAGATTAGATGCAATCCAGATTGTAATGGAAGAAGCAAAAGGAACAGAAAATCCCAGAAATCCAAAGAGTATTCAAAAGCAGTAGCAGATGATTGAATAAGCATTAATCTGAGCATAAAATGCTTTTTTTGTCGAGTTCAATCATCTCTCCTAGATTGATTAAAGATCACAATAAACACATTGCAGGTTTATTATGTAATGGTAACTGTTGAAGTGATTCAATGAAGATATTGGCATCTGAAAAGTTTTTCTTTAAAGTTTCATCATCTTTTCCATGTTTTTATCCACCAGAGGATCTTGAAGCACTTAATTGTTGCCATCTAGGTCATTTAGCTGGAAATCGAGGTTATCACTGTCATGTTGGCTTTTACTCTGCTCGAATAATGCGTAGAAATGAGAATCGAGCTCATAATAAGAAACTTTACTTCAATGGTAAACATCGGGATGGACTTTATGGAACCGAAACCATGAGACGATTTGAATATTGTATTGAATCTCGAAGCAACATGTTCCATAAATGCTGCAAAATTGCCTCCAGATTTCATAGACACGGACCGAGATACGATACAGCCAAAAGGTTACATTCTGGTTAAACTGTGGACAAAAAGAAACGATAATTAGTCATATTTGTATCATCACATTGTTATTGAGTAAGGCAACTTTATATGAATGATTAAATATAATAATAATTTTGTTCAGTAATCGTTGAAACAATCATGCTTATGTACACACCATAGTTACCTTAAATTGATTAGTGGGAGATAAACCATATTTTTGCATCGTGATAAATGATTAAATTGCCATAAAATTGCTTATTTCATCGCTGAACTCAACCATTTGACTTATTACTTATTTTGTTTTATATTTATAATCAAGTTTGGTCGCTTATCCTTTGGTGATCCTTGATAAAACAAAAAAGGAAAATTATAACAAAAGCTTGGACGATTTTCTGAATTTGATCAATTCTGCCAAATCTATATGGAGATCAAATAATCTTTATAATAGTCACCAGGTTTAACAGATTTTAGTAAATTTGTAAAAAATAATTATTAAGTGATTACCTTGTAATATAATTGCTCCATTAAGATTATTATGACCCACTTTTACTTGCTTTTACACATCTGTCTTTTGTATTCGTTTGATGATAGACGGTTTTTAGCATCCATTTGAAGTGAAGTTTCAAAGAGTTATCCATTTGCAAAACATTTCACCTCAGCTTGTCAGGTTGTCAAAGACCAAGGATAAACAAATGCAGCATTTATAAGCTTTAAAATAAATATTACTGAAACATGATATTCTTTAAAGATACTGTAAAGTGTAGGAGTGATTAGGACAAAAGCACACCAAAGTGAAATTGAAACTTCTTCCATAATATCAGCCGTTGATGTTTATATTATCTAATTGTTTCTTTAAATTAATCACTCCTACACTCGGTGAGAGTAAAAAATTGAGTGGATCCAAGGCCGATCGGTAAGTGAAAATTTACGACCAAAAGAAAGTGTTTATCGAGAAAACTCATTCATTCAGTAAAACAGGCAACCGACTAGCTCTTCTGGTGTGTCCATAACAGAAAATCAAGTTATCACGGTCAACGAGAAATGCAGGAATCCCTCAGAACTGCTCATGAAACATTTCCAAAAATATACAATTTGTTGCAGAATCTAGCCAAATCGTGCTGTCAAAAAAGAAAGAAAACAGTTGATAATAAAATAACAATTTTCATTTGATCAAACGTTACATATTGCTTATCCAGTAATCAGGTAAAACTTACACAAGAAGGAAATGTTGAAAACATGATCACAAAGAGCCGTCTATCAATAGATGCTGTCTAAGTTGATTTAGAGACAGTTGAAATCATGAACATATTAAAAACTTATAAAACAACAATGAGAATTGTCAATCTCAACAATTTTTACTTAAAATTATGATTATAAATTATTTTAATTGAAATAAAAATTGATTTGCTATACTGATATTGTTAATTGTCCATAGATGGCGTTATCGGCACCTTTTTTACTGTTGGTTTTTGAATTACGGTTACTGCGCATAGAGCTGAGTCCAGCCAACATTTGTATTTTCATTATAGAAGCTGATTGACAGAGAATCAAAATATACGGCTGAATAAAAAAATAAATAAAACGGTTTTTTACCTTGTTTTGTATAATTCATTTATCTTGTTCTATCAAATTTCATTTTAAAATGTCTCTGTCAGATTTAGATAAACAAATAGAACAACTTCGACGATGTGAAACTATCAAGGAATCTGAAGTTAAAGCTTTATGCGCTAAGGCCCGAGAGATACTTGTAGAAGAATCAAATGTTCAAAGGGTTGATGCTCCTGTCACAGTAAGTTGTTATTGCTTTTGTTTCTTTATTCATTTATTGATGTTGTCATTTTTCCCTCTTTTTCTTAAAGGTTTGTGGTGATATTCATGGACAATTTTATGATCTGATGGAACTTTTTAAACAAGGTGGAAATGTTCCAGATACAAACTATTTGTTTATGGGAGACTTTGTTGACAGAGGCTTCTATTCAGTTGAGACATTTCTTCTCCTTCTAGCATTAAAAGTATGTATTATTTTTGTATAGTTATACAATATGATTGAAATTAAAGGTTGAAGGTGTATAGGTAATCAATTAATTACCATTTATGTCTTATTATTGCAACCTTCAATTTCCATGGTCAAGTTAAAATATTTATAATCAACTTTATTTTCTTTTGCCGCCTCTTCATTCCTTCCTATACTTTCTACTTTGTATCGCGATAAAGGTCAGATATCCAGATAGGATAACATTAATAAGAGGTAACCATGAAAGTCGTCAGATCACACAAGTCTACGGATTTTACGATGAATGCCTTAGGAAATATGGCTCTATCACCGTATGGCGGTACTGTACTGAAATTTTCGATTACTTAAGTTTATCTGCAATCATAGATGGAAAGGTATGCTCATTTTTTGTTGACAAACATTCACTCTTTAATCGATCATTTTTTATAAATGATATTTCAATGCCCATTCCTTCAGAATCGCCTTTTGTTCCCTGTTTTAATTTTAATTTTTGATTTTATTTCTATCAGATTTTCTGTGTCCATGGAGGCCTATCACCCTCAATTCAAACCTTAGATCAAATAAGAGTAATTGATCGTAAACAAGAAGTTCCTCATGATGGTCCAATGTGTGATCTTCTATGGTCTGATCCGGAAGATACTCAAGGTTGGGGTGTTAGTCCACGAGGTGCTGGATATCTATTTGGAAGTGACGTAGTAACCCAGTTTAATGCAAAAAATAATATAGATATTATTTGTAGAGCTCATCAATTGGTGATGGAAGGTTACAAATGGCATTTTAATGAAACAGTATTAACAGTATGGTCAGCTCCTAATTACTGCTATCGCTGTGGTAATGTAGCCGCTATCTTAGAGTTGGATGATAATTTACAAAGAGATTTTACTATATTTGAAGCTGCTCCTCAGGTATGTTTACCCTTATACCAAAGATTATAAGATATCTTTTATATTTTTCACATGAATTGCAATTGACTTTTATTCTTCAATTTTAACAGGAAACAAGAGGAGTCCCTTCCAAGAAACCTCAACCAGACTACTTTTTATGATCATGAGATTGGATATGGACACTTAAGCTTTAACGTTTAATGAACATAATTTTCGTCAAAAATCAACTCTCGCTCTCACTCTCACTCTCTATCTCTTTCACTTTATCATTCATTTAAATAAATTTCAATTTTTTTCACATGCGAATTGGTTTTTTCTTTAAATTTAATGAAAGATATTATCAAAAATTTGTTTCAAACATTTTTCAACATTAATCAAAATCAATTAGTATTATATTTTCGCTAAACATTAGCTGCAGATTTTGCTGTGTTGTATTGCTTCTTTTTATTGAACACCAGCACAACCGTAGACTTTCTTTTTATGGAGAGCTTTCTTGCTCATTTTGCTTCATCTTCTCCCATTTCATCATCTTCATTTTCCAATGAACGCATATCAAAACCTTTGCTCATTTTAGTGACAATTTCAGCGCTAATATATGACGACATTTCATATTTTTCTGGGGGCTCAGTGACATAATTTATATTTCCGTTGTTCCAATCGTTGATGACTTTTTTAGCCGCAGATTCAATATCGACAATTCCATCTTTCCTCAAGTAACCAAACCTTCGAGCTACCTTAGCCAAGAAATCAGATGAATCAGTGAAGTCAGGCAATTTATATAATGTCATTAAATTTTCTTTCTTTATCCGTGATAAAATAGCTTCAATAGGCTGAACTGGGTCATCTAGTTGTTCAAATGGAATACAATTCCTTAAAGCCAAGACAGATGCGAGAGTCTTATTATTATCAATTACATCCTTGAAATGCTTTTCACTGGCATATACGATTCCAGGACAATCTAACAATTCAATGTTCTTGTCGAGAACAACTTTTTGGGCCACTTTAGTTATTCCTGGGACAGCTCCAACATTACAAACTTTAGTACATTTTAAAGTGTTGATAACTGAACTTTTACCAACATTTGGTAATCCAACAACACCAACAGTTATTGACTTTTTTATACCTTCACTCCTGTATTGAAAGATAAAATAAAACAATGTCAAATATTGATTTTAAATATAAACAGGAAATTATAAGGTAACTTACCGACAGTAATTCTTTAATAAACTTACAAGATCTTTAGCACCACACTCTTTTGATGATGACAATAGTGCTTCAGTTGTTTGCAGCACACTTCTTTTAGCTCTGGCCAAATGATTTTTTTGTTTTTGAGTACTGGCTTTGAATGGTAAAGTTGGAAACTCTTTTCTCAGATATCCAAGCCATGCAACTAAATTTTCTCTTGGAACTAAATCAACCTTGTTTAAAAGTAGAATCAACCTTTTATCACTTGAGACTAACGCTTTTTCAACATCAGGACAACGAGTACCAAGAGGATCACGAGCATCTAGAACTTCAATCAATACATCAGATCCTTCAATAACCTTCTGAAATTCTTTGTGGTAATTTTTTAAATTTGAAACAGAAGATCCACTAGTTGAACACTGAATACCATCACTTTCCAAGTCAACTGCTGAAGAAATAATGTCCACTGATTGTTTATTCGCTTTAGCAGCATCTTCAATTTGTTTTTTCAACAGGAAAAATCTGTCTCCTTTACCGAAAATACCTCTTGAAAGCAAAAATTCTTTCTCTTTGCCATTCTGGCGAATTTTTTTCATTTGTTCACGTAATGAACTACGTGAACTCTTTTCCTTTTGTATGGCACCTCGGAATTCTTTAATCACTTCATTTTTAAAGGGTAAACTATTAGGTATTCCAGGGTCTTTGGGATTTTTTGTGGCTTTGAATGATTTTTCCTGTTTTTTGAGTTTCTTTTTTTGGTCCCTCACCTTCTTTTCAATTTTGTACCGCCGCTTAGCCAGCATACGTTTGCTTTGTTTTTTATGAAATCCTTTACTCATTTTGTTTTTAACTTAAACCACACAAAAATAAAATTGCTGTTTAATTTAATTAGATGACACAAAGCAAAGAATGAAATAGTCGAAATTTATTAAACCACATGTGAGTTTTCACTTGTAAACAATTTTAGGCACCAGTCGGTTATTGGCAACCGGTTACTTGCTGGTTACATTGAGAGGGAAATTTGAAAAGAAAGTAAAGAAAACGCTACGAAAAAAATTAAACACGATATGGAATTAATGGAGGTTAAGCTTAATTTAAATTAATACTTGTTTCCATTCATTGCCAATAATTCGACTAACATCACCAAAATTACAATCAGGATTGGCTTGGATAACAGATTTTCGGACTTCACCAGCAAAAATTATGTATCCAGTTACGATAAGTTTACTTCCCTTTTTCCTACTAATGAAAGGAGTTGACAAAATAGGTGTTTCTGATATCAACGAGGAAACATCATTTGACTCTTCATTTTCCGTATCTATAGAAGGTCGGAATGGAGTATGTGGAGATGGAGCTTCACTCAAAGACAGTGGATCTTTCCGTGTTAAGAGAGTGGTTCGCTCTGGCATAGATTCAGTTCTAGCTATGACTAAAGGTTTACGGAATAAAAATTTTTCATCTTCAGCAACTCCTGGTTTATATGGAGCGACTCTCCTTAAAATTATGGGAAGTTTAATGAATTTCTTATCATTTTCAAGAAACTTAAATTCACAAATGTAAACATCTTGTTCTGGAATTTCAGTCGGTCTTCTAGTTATATAATCTTTAAATTCAAGAACAGAGCATTTATCACATATGCTAAGAAGAGGGTTTGTATCTTCAATTGAGCTGAGAAATACTTCGTTTGGATAAAACATTCGAGATATGGATAAGGGCAGTTCTCTGGGTTGCACAAACCAAGGACCATGGAAGAAAGCATTACCATCTTTATCAACCCACATTCGATCAATTCTGCAAATGAGATTACGTCCATTATCAGTTCGCACATAACAACAGTCTCCTAACTTGTATGAACCTGATGGAATAGTGAATTGTTCATAATAAATAGCACCTTCTCTAATTGGCATTACATCTCCAGGTTCAATGATTATGTTGGGTCGTTCAATATCTAAAAGTTTAGGACCATCATCATCGTCATAATCACTTATTAATTGTTCCTCTTTACACTTTTCTTGCTTGTTGTCCTTAAAAATTGAAGGTACTCGGATCATGGGTAAGTGTTGCTCTCTGGGTATTAATGAATGGTCATTGAAGTAAGCAAGCGAATAAAGTACAATTGTAATTCAACTGAATCTTCGAACGCTTGAGGATCAACACGAGTATTGCGTCGAGTTCTTTCAAAAACATCAAACATGTCTTGTTGAAATCGATCTAAACGACGATATCTTCTTTTTTCGAGATTCTTCTTAATTTGATCTAATGTTGAAGGACGGCTGAAAAACAAGAAATGGTTTTTTCTTCAAATTTAATGGAAGATATTATCAAAAATGTGTTTCAAACACTTTTCAACATTAATCAAAATCGATTAGTATTAAATTTTTTCTTATATATTTTGGGTTTGCCTTTTTTGCCATGTGAAACATTAGCTGCGGATTCTGCTGTGTTGTATTTGCTTCTCTTTTTTTGACCACCTGCACAACCGTAGACTTTCTTTTTATGGAGAGCTTTCTTGGATATTTTTTTTACTGGTTTGCCTTTTTTAGGAGTTTCATTCTGCTTTGTCTCATGTCTCTCATGTCTTTTCTCCATTTTTGCCCCATGTTTTTCATTTCGAAGTTTCTTTATCCTTGCTATCTTACTGAGAACATATTCTCTTTCACACAAGGCTTTTTTTACTTTTAACATAAGTTGATCACTCTTGGCCATCTCGGCGAAATAATTCTCAGGCCTTTTTGTTGGTACATTGAGGGAATGCAGTCTCTTTAAACTCTCTAGCACTGAAGCTTGTGCTTGACGATAGCTGAAAATAAATATAAAATAAGTTAATTAAAAGAAACATGATAAAGAAAAAAAGACTTACAAATGCATTTCTCTATTGAAATCATGGTCAACTTCATCATCCACCAATGTTTCTGTGGTAGGGTTTGTTTCAAGGGTTTCAAACCAATCATAATTTAAATTAATTTCCTTCAATTTACGAAGAATGGCGGCTTTATTATTAATCATTAAACCAGGATTAATTTGAGACGAAAACATTTTTAAATTAAATTAAGAAGAATGTTGAAAAACGTGCTGAAAAGTCGGAACTTTTACTTTTCTGGCTGAAACATTTTATTTCCACACCGCTGAAACAAAAACAAACTAAAATTGGAAAGTGACATCTATGGCCGTATATATGTACTTTTTCTAGGTATCACACTTGTCTTTTGATAAAGTTTCTTAAAGCCCATGATGCGTTTGATCACCATGATTACCCTCTCCATTGGCTAACCAATTAGAGGTTAAATGGTCTCCATTTGGTATGGGTGTATTTCCAGGAGTTGCGTTCAGTTGTTCATAATCACAAACGTCTACAGTCAGGTTTCAATCTTTTAATGTATTGAACAAATATATTCGGACGAAAAAGGTGAGTACTGGTAAAGATACGAAGAGTGGGTCTTGATTGACTGTAGTTGCTGAAAGAGATGAAAGTTTCGTTTTTTAATCATAGAGGAAATTAACGTACGAAGCTCCTTTTTTCACTCGAGCACAGCCATGGTAAAGGCATTGGAAAACTGCATCTTTATCTTTTAATTCTCCATATGATCGCCAAACATGACCGTGTGGTTCCGCATTTAGATGATCATATAAATCAATAGGATCTTCACATTGGAAATCACATAATCACATCTTATTATTATTTATCTTCCAGTGGCATTTGTAAACGCCTTCCTAACCCAAAAGTGATTGAGGAAGTGATTCCATTATTTCGGCCTCACGAGCTGTAGATTGTTTGATTCGTTAGCTGGATATAATTATGTACAAATTGTATTTAATTGTTTTGCAGTCGCAAAGAGAACCCGATTTTAGCTAGTTCAATGGCATAATCAAGTCTTAGATAAACAGATTTATTTCATTTAAAAAATTGAGATCATTTGGTGATTAAATTGAGTTTAGACTCATCTTGATTAACAGTGACTCAGGTAGTGTGAGGCATAATAAATTGATAAATAAATTGGTTTGAAAAAGCATTTATGAATCTTGTTTAATTACCCATTTTTCATACTGAATTTAAAAATGTTAGACATTGAAGATTCGTACTTTCGATTATGAAAAAATTACAGAAATTAAGACGAAAATTAACATTGATTTGGCGAGTGTTAATGCACTAGATGAAGAAGCAGGTGTAGGTGCTTCTAATCTGAAATTTGCTTCATCAAAATAAACAAATCTATCGTTTTCAGTTATCTGTAATTCATAAACTGTTTGCTTAGGATTTACAATTCCATAATTACTATCCAATGAATCAGGCAATGACCAGCGACACTCATTTCCACCGATTTTAACATCGTGAACTTGTTTAAATATATTGAATGAAGCTTGGCCATGCTTTGAATAGGCGACGACGATACGTTCCTCAAAATTGCACTCAATATCTAGACTTATGTCATTCATTAGGTTAACTGAAACCAATCTTGGAGCTTCTTCATTGACTTTCAACAAGAAATCAGCCGATTTATTTCCTACTCTAGCAACCAACAGATACTTTTCCGATCCAACAGCTTTGTATTGATATCCATCGACAAAAGGCTCAACACTTTTAGGTAACTGACTGTAGTTAGCTGCAGGAACAGTAACAGTTTGGGTCAAGTTGTAATAGATTTGGTAACCACGGTCTGAGATATAGTATTGAGGTGGATCAATCAAGTCGTATGGAAATGAAGAGTTGTTTATATCCAGTGACCAGGAACAGTATTTTTGCCCTTTGATGTAAAGATCAGTTCCATTGATCTCTGGATGAGTCTTGTTCATATCAATAATTGTTTCGCAAGGATCACTACAAGTGTACACAACATCGGAAGCATCTCTGGTCAAATCGATTCCAATATTTTGGTTCATTGTAAGATTGTATGGATAAGATGTTACATCGAAGTAAAATTTGTTATCAAATTGATCCATTAGGTCTAATCCATGGGCTATATAACATGATGGATTGTCAATCATGCAAAGAACGTTTAAACTGGTTATGAATTTGAGGTTCGAGATTGGACAAGTCTTGTTGAAACATTGTATCCATTCAGTTGAATTGCTGGTCCATTCGGCTGTAGCTGAATATACGAAAAGTAAATTAACAAAAATGGTTAGCAAAAACATATCTAAATTGGGTTGTTTTACAATTCAAGCAAAATACTAAAGTTGACAATCTTTTCTGTTACCGTTTTAATAATGTTTAGTTGAAATAAAATTGTGATCAATATAAATGGAAATTTTATATCAAACAGTCGTATTAAAAATAGCATGGAGAACAATAGGATATCTGATTGTTAATCAGAAATCAAATTAGTCAGTAATGGCATTAAAGCGATAATTTACTTGGAAATACAATCAAAGTTAGGTTAACCTGAGATTTTTCAGTGTTTTTCCGTTAATTTTGCAATGGTCTAGTTGAATAACTTGATTTTTTAGTTGTTTTTTTATTAGTAAATCAGATTAAATCATTTCCGATCAGCATTATTCACGCTTTTTAGATGAAAATTTGGAATAATGGATAAATCGAGAAGTTAAGGTTACTTTTAGTCTCTAACAAGAACTGATGTACAAACAGCAACGACTGTAAAAACGCCTTTTTCAATTGAATTAACTATTTACTAAGAGGACACAATTGTCACCTTTATTAACAAACGTAGTTAATTTTAAAAATTATTTCTTTCAATTTAATTAGTTTAGACTCTGTGAGTTTGTAAGGCTTAAAGCTGAGTGCATTTCCGTTGTGCTAAAATAAGCAACACCAGGATAATCAGTTTGATAAAAAATCTAGTCCTGAAATTGTACAGAAATTCATCGAAGTTTAAAGACCCTGATTTCATTTTAAATTTTCAATATCACAAACGGATTCAGTTTTTATGGCCCTACATACTCCAAATCGTCTGAATCCAAACCAAACAACATTACTCTTTGGCCTGAGCTCTTAAATGGGAAGGAATGATTTTGTAAACTCAATTTTTTGCTCATTTAGGTCCATTTATGCATAATGTAACAATTGCGTCTTTTTAGTAACAGCCAAGAAATTACATTGAAAAGCGCAATAGCAAGGCGTTTTTTCAGTCGTTTATGTCAACAACTATTAACTCAAATAAAGATAAGTTTCATTCAATTATGAATATGCGATTGTCTGATTAATTTTTCAATGGATTTGACTTAACTAGGTTTAATTCCAAGTCATGATGATCTCACCAGAAGTAGATATAATATTAATTGAGAAAGGGAATATTGGATGAATCTAATCGCAGAATAGAGGAAAATAAAATCTAACATGATAAACATACCTGGTAACATAATCTGGTATATGTATTGAGGGCCGAAACAGATATAAATTTTGTTATTTAAAATAACATAATATTACCTTAGGTTAGGTTAATAAGATTGGTCTCATGATACAGCTTTATCTTCCTTCTAATGAGTTATTTTTTTAGAATCGAAATAATATTCAGTAAAAATCTAGCGAAAACACAATTCCGAGTGGAAAATAGTAAATTGTGATTTTTTGGTTTTATTTGAGTATAAGTTAAGATCTATTCTTTACATGCTACGTAAATTGTAGAGCAAAGTATAATCTTATGCAGAAATCATACAAAAATTCAAATCATGGAGCTTTCAAAACAAGTTGACCGAGAAAATTGTTAGCGTAAGAACCAATGTAGAGAATTCGTTCTCCATTTTCCTTGATAACATCATTGATTTCAGAAAGTGAATGGATATAACCATCATTGGAATGAAGACAATTGAGTACATTTCCAGCGGCATCAATTTCAAGGGCCATTGAACGAATGTGTGTTTCCCAAAAAGACAAAAGTTGACGTAAAGACTCTCCCTTTTCAATCAATCCTTTATTGTTAATCATTTTCCCGATGAATTTGAGTGTAGAACCAATCATGCGATAACTTGTTAAAATGAACATTCTCATTTTAGGCTTATCTGTGTAGAAGTCATAAGATATTGGTGTACTTTTCGTTCTAGGAGCACTTATGGCAATCCAATATGTTTCCTTGTCAGTCCGAGAAGATCTCCTTATGTTATCTGGTTCACCGGGTAAATTTATGACTACTTCGGTGGTTCCTTTCTTGGGTCCGGTTAAATAATGCTTTAGTATTCTATGATTACAGAATTCACCAATCAATAGTGCGTCTTTGGCATCAGTCAACTCGATTCCATTAGGGAAAGCTAAATTATCCACAACAACATCAACTTTACCAGTTGATTCAGTGTATCTTAAAATTCTTCCAGAGTCATCCAAGCTCATAACCAAATGAATAACGTGGTGTAGATTCCATATTATACTTCCATCAGTCATGTAAATGAAATTACCGTCTGGTTTTTCATCGACCACTAAGTCATCTAGGAACATGCTTCTGTTGCCGTTAACAGGTTGATGTGTGTCATATAACAGTTTAGTTTTAGGTTTATCTTTGCCATCAATGTTGACTACTTTAACCAATCCATTAAAAGTATCGACAGTGTATAAATCTCCTGATGATGTTACTCTAACACCTAAAGGTCGTCCACAAGTTGCATTATTTAGTTGTCCGTTACAAGAATCAGGGCCAAATTGAACTACAGTGGATAGTTTGTCTGAACCTTCGATCCTTATTATGCGTCCATCAGCTGTTCCAGTGTAAAGTTTATCTTGAAGAAAATTAAAAGTGGCAAGTTAATAAAAGCAACATAACATTAAACGAAATCGATTTAAATAAAAATGAATAACCTTTGTATCTTGCTAGGCTTTCAGGGCCGGGAAGTATTCCAACGAAGATTTTTTCCGCCTCAAATAAATCATTATTTTCAGCAAATGGCCCATCAAAAGAGTCAAATAAATTTTGTCTGTTCCATGAGATATAACAAGTGGAAATAGAGTGAACATAAGAGATTAAGAGCACATAACATACGACATACAACACTTACTCTTTTACTCGATATCCTATTCTTTGATCAATCGATATGTAAAAAAATATTACAGCAATCAGAACCAAAATAATCTGATTTGAAGATACTAAAGTGGATGTAGTTTTGGGCTTGCTTCGTTTGTTGGTTTTAGCCATTCTTGATTAAATATCTTGCTCGATACCTATAATAGGTAAATTAAAAGTTGCAACGAAAAAATGATCAATAGGAAAGGCAAGAGCTAGCCGAATTAACACAGAAAGCTAAATGTACTCATGAGTACATGGTATTGCAATGGGAATTGTATACAAATGATTTTATAGTAAATCAGTTTTATTGCAAATTAACGATACACAGTAATTTGGAAACCAGTTTGGGCACTCGATTATCCTCTTTCTGTAGTTGAGCATTTGTTTGATGATTGTTGGATCAAAAATGGTAAAATGTATTAACTTTAATAAATTTTTTAACTAACCTTTTTAAATTGTAGGTTTTGTTGGTCAGCTGTTAATGTTGACCAAAAATATTGTTTAGGAGGGAGATGAATGCAATTTAATTACAAGAATGAAGCACAATTAATAAAAGTCTGTACATAAAACATTGAGAACGGAAAACAGATGAGAAAAATAGACTGAAAGCGAAAGGCCTTGAACAAAGAAAAAACAAGACTAGACAAATTATCTTTCTTTTATTTAATCGTTCATCAAGCTCTCAAAGCTAGCAACAGTAATCACTTGTATTTGAGATTTAATCATAAACATATGTATAACAACTGAACTTTGTTGACGACATGGCTCAATTGAAGTACCCAATCTATAAGGCATGATAATACATTTAAGAATCTTGCATTTCAATCATCTTGTCTAAAAAATACTGACCGTAATTTAACAGGAATTGTGTGAAATAACTTACAATTATCTTATTACGATTACGTCTAGAAAATTGATAAAGTTTAACCATTAACCTTTACCATTGATTGAACATTTACATCTTAATCAATTTTTCAATTAGCATTGAGATGAGATAATAGTGACTTCTTTCATGCAAATTCCTTTATTTTACATCCTAACGAAGCTGAAATAAATAAGCTGAGACGAATTACAATCATTAAACTGTTTATTTAATTTGGTTCTCATTCTCTTCATATCGAAACATTTAGATCGGAAAATTGCGAGAAATCCTAAAAAATTGAAGGATTTTCATTTTATTTAAGTCAATACAATGTATAACACAAAAAATATGAAAACATCAAACAATTTTAAGAGTCAGAATCTGTAACTAGTGAGGCATCAGAATCAGCACCTTCATCATCGTCATCATCGTCATCATCGTCATCTTGATCACCATCATCACTTTCTTCGTCCATTTCTTCCATTTCATCATCTTCATTTTCTAATGAACACATATCAAAACCTTTGCTCATTTTAGTGACAATTTCAGCACTAACGTAGGATGACATTTCATATTTTTCTGGGGGCTCAGTGACATAATTTATAGTTCCATTGTTCCAATCATTGATGACTTTTTTAGCCGCAGATTCAATATCGATAATTCCACCTTTCCTTAAGTAACCAAACCTTCGAGCTACCTTAGCCAAGAAATCAGATGAATCAGTGAAGTCGGGCAATTTATATAATAACATTAAATTTTCTTTCTTTATCCGTGATAGAATAGCTTCAATTGGCTGAACTGGGTCATCTAGTTGTTCAAATGGAATACAATTCCTTAGAGCCAAGACAGATGCGAGAGTCTTATTATTATCAATTACATCCTTGAAATGCTTTTCACTGGCATATACGATTCCAGGACAATCTAACAATTCAATGTTCTTGTCGAGAACAACTTTTTGGGCCACTTTAGTTATTCCTGGGACAGCTCCAACATTACAAACTTTAGTACATTTTAAAGTGTTGATAACTGAACTTTTACCAACATTTGGTAATCCAACAACACCAACAGTTATTGACTTTTTTATACCTTCACTCCTGTATTGAAAGATAAAATAAAACAATGTCAAATATTGATTTTAAATATAAACAGGAAATTATAAGGTAACTTACCGACAGTAATTCTTTAATAAACTTACAAGATCTTTAGCACCACACTCTTTTGATGATGACAATAGTGCTTCAGTTGTTTGCAGCACACTTCTTTTAGCTCTGGCCAAATGATTTTTTTGTTTTTGAGTACTGGCTTTGAATGGTAAAGTTGGAAACTCTTTTCTCAGATATCCAAGCCATGCAACTAAATTTTCTCTTGGAACTAAATCAACCTTGTTTAAAAGTAGAATCAACCTTTTATCACTTGAGACTAACGCTTTTTCAACATCAGGACAACGAGTACCAAGAGGATCACGAGCATCTAGAACTTCAATCAATACATCAGATCCTTCAATAACCTTCTGAAATTCTTTGTGGTAATTTTTTAAATTTGAAACAGAAGATCCACTAGTTGAACACTGAATACCATCACTTTCCAAGTCAACTTTTGAAGGAATAATGTCCATTGATTGTCCATTGGATTTAGCAGCATCTTCAATTTGTTTTTTCAACAGGAAAAATCTGTCCCCTTTACCATAGATACCTCGTGAAAGTAAAAATTCCTTCTCTTTGCCATTCTGGCGAATTTTTTTCATTTGTTCACGTAATTCATCACGTGAACTCTTTTCCCTTTTCATAGCACCTCGGAATTCTTTAATCACTTTATTTTTAAAAGGTAAACTATTGGGTATTCCAGGGTCTTTGGGATTCTTTTTGTGTTTGTGTAATTTTTCTTGTTTCTTGAGTTTCTTCTTATGATCCCTCACCTTCTTTTCAATTTTGTATCGCCGCTTAGCGAGCATACGTTTGCTTTGTTTTTTATGGAATCCTTTGCTCATTTTGATGATTTTTAACTTAAAAAGCACAAAAAAATAAAACTGTTTAATTTAATTTGACTGGAGACACAAATCAAAGAATAAAATAGTCAAAATTTATTGAACCACATGTGAGTTTTCACTTGTATACAATTTCAGTCACGTGTATAGAGACCAGTTGGCTGTTGGTAACCGGTTACTTGCTGCTTGCATTGAGAGGGAAATTTGAAAAGAAAGTAAAGAAAACGCTACGCAAAAAATTAAATACAATATGAAATTAAGAAGGTTAAGGTTCATTTAAAGTTAATACTTGTTTCCATTCATTTTTAATCGACTAACATCACCAAAACTACAATCAGGATTGGCTTGGATAACAATTTTCGGACTTCCAACTCTCCTTAAAATTATGGGAAGTTTAATGAATTTCTTATCATTTTCAAGAAACTTAAATTCACAAATGTAAACATCTTGTTCTGGAATTTCAGTCGGTCTTCTAGTTATATAATCTTTAAACTCACGAACAGAGCATTTATCACATATGCTAAGAAGAGGGTTTGTATCTTCAATTGAGCTGAGAAATACTTCGTTTGGATAAAACATTCGAGATATGGATAAGGGCAGTTCTCTGGGTTGCACAAACCAAGGACCATGGAAGAAAGCATTACCATCTTTATCAACCCACATTCGATCAATTCTGCAAATGAGATTACGTCCATTATCAGTTCGCACATAACAACAGTCTCCTAACTTGTATGAACCTGATGGAATAGTGAATTGTTCATAATAAATAGCACCTTCCTCAATTGGCATTCCATCTCCAGGTTCAATGATTATGTTAGGTCGTTCAATATCTAAAAGTTTAGGACCATCATCATCGTCATAATCACTTATTAATTGTTCCTCTTTACACTTTTCTTGCTTGTTGTCCTTAAAAATTGAAGGTACTCGGATCATGGGTAAGTGTTGCTCTCTGGGTATTAATGAATGGTCATTGAAGTAAGGCCAAACTTTGATCTTCTTAAGAGTTTTGGTTCATGTAAAGTATCGAGATTCACATACGTAAACATCACAATCCTCAAAGCCTTCCGGTTTAAGTTTAAAGTAGTCTTTCACGAACATGATGAAACACTTTCCCGCAACTTGAGACAGAGGTGCATTATTGTAACTATCACTTTTGAAGACTTCTTTTTCCAAGAACTTTTTTGAAGCAATATGATAAGTTTCATAAGGACGATAAAACCAACATCCATAAATCCATAACTGACCAGCTGGATCACGCCAAAGTTTTGAAATATTTATTATATGAGGATCCATACCTTTCTCTCTTGGCTCAATATAATACATTATACCAAAATTTATCGCAATTTTCATCTGATTTACCTTTGAATTAAAAGTGTCATTGAAAACATTAACCATTCGATGAAACAATCAAACACAATGAAGTTTCTTTTAGATCTAGATTTATCAGATATTATCACGAGTAATCTTTGAAAAAAATCACTCCCAATATATTTTCTTAATGTCAAAACTATTGTTTTCACATCTAATCGAGTGTAGACTAAATATGTGATTGAGCTTGTTGGATTTGCCAAATGTATATTAAACTTAATTAAACTCTTATCTTGATTATTTAGTACAAACGGACTCTGATCTTGATTGATCGGAATCTCTTTTTTATTGTATACAATCATAAAATTCACAATTAAATGGTTCAAATCATTTATGCAAAAAAGTCTTATTAATGTTAAGATGAGAAAACTAAAAACTCAAATAAAATTAAGTCCTGACCTGTGGTTGAAATTTGTGTTACAAAAAGGTTGATGTGATATAACTCGCTTAATTGTTAATCAATTTACTTCATTTTCATTTCTCGAGTTATTAGCTTGTCCTGACATACAATCAATTTTTGTCATCAGCTTCATCTGCTTTGAATTCAGGATTAGCTATGAGGTGTTTAGAGTACTCGGAATCAAATTTTTGAGACAATTCTTGATTCTGTTGTTCAAGCACTGGGTATTTTGTACCGCGCATCTTCTGACCAAAATGAGATCGAGGTTTGAACTTTGAAAGCCATTTCATCGAATGCCGGGTATCAGTTAAGTTAGGTTCAGTACTTAGGTCCCTAGAAGTCTATCAGATTACAACCCTTAACATGAAAGTCTTTTGCCCCTTATTAATCATCCAACAAAATCAAATCAACATAAACCCGAATCTCTGATCAAATCATGTCCATCATTTATGGCACAGATAAGGACATAACCAATTGACACCAAAAAGACTTAAACCCAAAATTTAAAATCTTTAGCTTTTGTCACTTTGATATTTCCATTCAGGGATGCAAAAAAGCCTTGCTTTAAGTACAAGAAAGCTTTTTTTGTTTGAGTTGAGGATATTTTTGTTGCTTACATCAAATCTAGTTTATTTGAGCAATTAAAAAGTTCCTTTGACAAAATTTAAACTTCGATTTTCAGAAAGGTCTTTTATATCACTAGTACTCACGAACTAAAAGCACTATAATCAGCAATCGAAATAAACTTTTACTCGATATAAAATTATCAATTTATGATCGATTGAATGGAAGTTTAATGAATGTTTTTATCATCTTCAAGAAACTTAAATCACATCGGTCTTTTAGTTAAGTAATCTTTAACTTAAAGAACAGAGCATTTATCATGCAATCAATTTTATTGTAAATTTATTTTTAAAATACATTTTAACCAAAATTCATAATTTGAAAAATGGTTGAGATGACATAGTAATAAACAGTTAATAGAGACTTAATTTGGTTTAATCAGAAGTAGGTACTCTGAAATTATATTTATCAAAGTAAACAAACATATTGTCTTCAATTATCAGCAATTCATAAACTGTTTCCTTAAGATTCGCTATTCCATACAGATTTCCGAAAGAATCAGGTAACGACCATGTACACTCATTTCCATTGACTTTATTATTACTTAAGCTAGACCATATATTGGCCTTTTCGGTAACAATATCTGCCCAACCATATACGATTCGCTTCTTGAAATCGCAATCAACATCTATACTCATGAGTGTGTCATTCTTAAGCTTCACTTCGACCAATCTTGGAGTTTCTCCATTAACTTTTAACAAGAAATCAGTTGTCTCATTCACTCTTCTAGCAACCAACAGATACTTTTCAGACCCAACAGCTTTGTATTTATATCCATCAACGAATGGTTCAACACTTTTAGGTAACTGACTGTGATCAGCTGCAGGAATAGGTACGGTTTGGGTCAAGTTGTAATAGATTTGGTATCCTCGGTCCGAGATGAAATATTGAGGTGGATCAATCAGGTCATAAGGGAATAGGTTTCTAGGATCCATTGACCAGGAACATAATACTTTACCACTGATGTAAATCGCAGTTCCATTTACCATTGGATAAATGGTATCATTAGTACTTGTTTTAGCGACGGGACCACAAGTAAATAAAACATAAAACAAATCATCTTTTTCTTGCCAATGAATCTCGTTCAATCGGTCAACACCAGTTACGGCGGATTCCAACGAAAATATAATTGCTACATGGTTATAATTTGGATAGCTCATTAATTTAGACTCTGATGGGTCGTATTTGGAACTTAAATCGTATGGATATTTAAGATTTTTAATTGGACAAGAATCATCAAAACATGATTTCCATTGGGCTGTAGTTGTCGTTGTTAATTGAAGCACAATTGAGGCAAATAAAACAGTTGACAAAATCATACTTCGTGTCATTATATTATCAATTGTAACAAAAATATTCAGACAGAACAAGTTTGTTCACTTTGGTGGCAAAATATGTGTTTAATAGTCAAAATCGTTGATACTTTATACCAAAATTTATCTCGCTTCTCATCCGATCTATCTTTGAATCTTTGAATTAAAAGTGTCATTGAAAACACTAACCATTTGATGAAACAATCAAACACAATGGAGTTCCTTCCAGATCAAGATTCATCAGATATTATCACAAGTAATCTTAGAAAAAAATCACTCCCAATACTTTCTTAATGTCAAAACTATTGTTTTCAAATCTAATCGAGTGGAGTCATTTGTTTAACACAAACTAAATACGTGATTGGGCTTGTTTGATTTGGTAATTGTAAATTAAACTTAATTAAACTCTTATCTCGATTATTTAGTACAAATGGACCCCAATCAAGATTGATCTTCTCAAATCAACTCTTTTTTTATTGTATACAATCATAAAAGCCACTTTTAAAATGCTCAAATTATTCATGAAAAAGGCTTTTTAATGCTAAGGTGAGAACTAAAAACTTAAATAAAACTAACAAGTAACTTGTAAGTCTTGACCTGTGGGTGAAATCTGTGTTACAAAAAGGCTGATGTAATATGTAATATAACTTGCTTGTTTGTTAAACAATCAAAACTTTATTTTCATTTTCTGAGATACAAAGTTATAAGCTTGTCCTGACATCGTTTGTTATTAGCTGAAAATAACATCACCCATAAGATCGCTAAACATGCCAGATGAGGCTCCGCATTTAGATAATCACATGAATCAATAGAAATCAATCTGTACTTTGTAAATCACATAATCTTGTTATTATTCATCTCTTAGTGGCATTCGTAAACGCCTTCATAGCCCAACAGCAATTCCTGGTTTATATGGAGCGTCTCTCCTTAAAACTACGGGAAGTTTTATGAATCATTTTCAAGAGACTTGATTTATTACATCGATCTTTTAATTATTTTAATATATTTAATCTTAAACTTCAAGAAAAGAGCATTTTTTCGTGCAATCAATTTTACTGTAAGTTTATTTTTACGATGCATTTTAAACAAAACTCGTAATTAATTTAGTTTAAACAGAGGTGAGTGTTGCTATTTTGAAATTATACTCATTAAGATGAACAAACATATTGTTCTCAATTATCTCCAATTCATAAGCTGTTTCCTTAAGATTTACTGGACCATAAAGAGTATCGAAAGAATCAGGTAATGACCATCGACACTCATTTCCATCGATTTTGGCATCTCGTATTCGATTCCATAAATTGTTTTTTACCGCATAAATTTTTGCATATGCAGTTATGTCTCGTTCCTTAAAATTGCACTCAATAACTAGACTTATGTCATTCATTAGGTGAACTTCAATCAATCTTGGAGTTTCTCCATTCACTTTTAACAAGAAATCAATCGACTTATTTGCTTCTCTAGCAACCAACAGATACTTTTCAGATCCAACAGCTTTGTACCGATATCCATCAACAAATGGTTCAACACTTTCAGGTAACTGACTGTAGTTAGCTGCAGCAATAGGAACAGTTTGGTTTAAGTTGTAATAGATTTGGTATCCACTTTGTGAGATGTAATATTGAGGAGGATCAATCAGTTCGAAAGGATATGAAGAGTTGTTTATATCCACTGACCAGGAACAATATTCTTTACCATTGACATAAATCGCGGTTCCATTTATTATTGGATAGATGTAATTATTAGCAGTTGTTTTAATCACAGGACCACAAGTAAATAAAACATAGTAAGTGCCTCTTCCCCAAGCAATTGCGTTCACTCGATCTATACCACCAGATTCGGCATATCCCAACGAAAAGGAGACTGTGTTTTTATTTATAGTTGAATAACTCGTAGATCTGGTATCTGATAGGCCTTGTCCTTTTTTAGAAGTTAATTGGAATGGAAATTCAAGGTTTTTTATTGGACAAGAATAATCGAAACATGACTTCCATTCGGCTGTCGTTGCCGTTGTTAATTGAAGCACAATTGAGGCAAATAAAACAGTTGACAAAAGCATATTTTGTGCCATAATATTAGGAATTATAACAATAACTACCAAACTATTTACTCACTTTGATCACAAAAATTTGTGTTTAATAATCTTACATCAAGCAAAATCGTTGATACTTTATATGAAAGTTTATCTTCATTGCCATCTGATATGAATTAAAAGTGACTAATGAAAACATTAACCACTTGGTGAAACAATTAAACGCTATGAAGTTTCGATTCAAGATTTATCAGATAATATCATGAGTAACATTAGAAAAAATTGCTACCGATATTTTCTTATTGTTTAAGCAATTAATCACATCAATAAGTTTCATTGGCTTAATGAGTTTAAGCTAATTCTCTATCATCTTCCTAAAAACGTATAACTTGTCTGGAAATCGAAATGCGCTCTTGTACAAAAGAAAATTTTATTTCCAGAAATGAGTGCATTATTTGATTGCTCACAAGTTACACAAAAAAATTATTTGATAAAAAAACCTGACTCCATAACTGTACGAAATCCGTTTTAAGCCTCAACTGTGAACTCGATCTGATCGATAACTACTGGTAATAAACATTTTCAATTCGACGCGTAGACTCAGTTTCAATGTCCTTACAAACACACAAAGTCTCTACTTCAAAGTTTTTCAGTATATCCTTTAGTCTATCTCCTGATATACTCTCCTTTCGAAAACTGGTTCAGCCCAAGTGGAATCACGGCAACTTCAAGAACAGAACATTTTATAACGTATAATTTTATTGTGAATTTATTTTCAAGATATATTCCAATCAAAACTCATGATTTGAAAAATGGCTGCCATGACTTAGTAATAAACACTTCACCCAAAATCGTTGATACTTCATATAAAAAATATATCTTCATTGCCATCTGATTAATCTTCGAGTTAAAAGTGACTATTGAAAACATTAACCATTTGATAACACAATCAAAGACAATGGAGTTTCTTTTAGATCAAGAAGTAATAATATTGAGTAATATTTTGAGTAATATATGAAAGAATCCAATATTATCGTCAAAACAATTGTTCTCATTTCATTTCTCCAATGCAATTTTCGTCAAATTGAAATAACTTTGGTTATCGAACTAAAGTAATCAAGAAAGGCATTGTTCAAAACAAACCACTAAAGTAGATATCACTTTATCGCTTGGATTCGATGTCTTCATCGATCATGAATCATCTGAAATTAGTCACAGATTATTGTTTCTATGAAGTTCAGGGGAAAACAAAAGATCTGACTAAACCTAAAAATATTTTATTTTTCTGTTTTTTAGCGTGATTCAGATCGTAGTAAAAATAAGGAAAATCCATTTTGATGGTCTCTAATTGACTGATGAAATGAGCTTTCAATTTGTAAAATGAAGTTCATCAGTTTATGTGTTCAGCATATTATATTAACATTATGGCTTTAAAAAATTAGTTTTAAAGTGATCAACAACATTCAGAAGAGTCAATTAATTTAGATGATTTGCTCTTAAAATGAATTGAATGAGCATCTAGGAAGTCGTTCAACAAATGCTGAACGAAAATTCTGTTCCTCATACATTAACTTATTTATCTCTTCTTTACCTCTTCAATTATCAAGCACAAATGTATTAACTTATATTCTGGATTCACGCAACAACTCATTAAGTTATTAATTTGCGTATTGAAAGTGCGTAACCAGAATGGTTGTTTAGAAATCGTATTTCTCCCGATTAATCCAATCCGTTGATGGAAATTTTTGGCTTGGCTCTCAATAGCATTGGTCAACGCTTTCTAACCCAAAGATGGAGTATGTGGAGATGGAGCTTCACTTCAAGACAGTGGACTTTCCGTGTTAAAAGAGTGGTTCGCTCGGGCATAGATTCAGTTCTAGCTATGACTAAAGGTTTAGGAATAAAAAATTTTCTTCTTCAGCAACTCCTGGTTTATATACAGCAGACTATGGGAAGTTTAATGAATTTCTTATCATTTTCAAGAGACTTGTTTCCACAAATGTAAAAATCTCTGAATTTCAGTCGGTCTTTTAGTTATTTGATCTTTAACTTAAAGAAAAGAGCATTTATCATGCAATCAATTTTATTGTGAATTTAATTTTAAAATACATTTTAACCAAAGCTCATAATTTGAAAAATGGTTGAAATGACATAGCGATAATCGGATAGTTTAGTTCAAGCAGAATATATAAAAGTGTTAGATCAAAATTTTTGAAAACTTTTGTAAACGGTGTAAAAAGCATCGAATAGAGAAGGTGGGGTCAATTTATTGAGTAAGTTTCCGATTTTTTGGAGAAAATTCGAATCATGCTTATCCCCACTCTTAGAGTCCTTAGGAGTTCCTATGCTGAAATTTTTTCCATCAAAATATACGAACATATTGTTCTCAATTATCTCCAATTCATAAGCTGTTTCCTTAAGATTTACTGGTCCATAAAGAGTATCGAAAGAAGCAGGTAATGACCATCGGCATTCATTTTCATTCATTTTCACATTTTGTATTCGATTCCATAAATTGTTTTTTACTGCATAAATTTTCGCATACGCAGAAACCATTCGTTTCTCAAAATTGCACTCAATATCTACACTGATGTCACTCTTTAGATTCACTTCAGCCAACTTTGGGGTCTCTCCATTTACTTTTAACAAGAAATCAATCGACTTATTTGCTTCTCTAGCAACCAACAGATACTTTTCTGATCCAGCAGCTTTGTACCGATATCCATCAACAAATGGTTCAACACTTTTAGGTAACTGACTGTAGTTAGCTGCAGCAACAGGTACAGTTTGGTTCAAGTTGTAATAGATTTGGTATCCACGGTCCGAGATGTAATATTGAGGTTGATCAATCAGGTCGAAAGGATATGAAGCATTGTTTATATCCAGTGACCAGGAACAATATTCTTTACCATTGACATAAATCGCGGTTCCATTTATCTTTGGATGGATAGTATTATGAGCAGTTGTTGTAATCACAGGACCACAAGTGAATAAAACATAGTAAGTGCCTCTTCCCCAAGCAATCGCGTTGAATCGCTCGATACCACCAGATTCAGCATATCCCAATGAAAATGAAACTGAGTTGTCAGCTAAAGTTGAATAGGCGTTTATCCTACTATCTGATAGGCCTTTCTCGTTTTTAGAACTAGATTCGAATGGAATTTCAAGGTTTTTTATTAGACAAGAATCATCGAAACATGATTTCCATTCAGGTGTAGTTGCCGTTGTTAACTGGAGCACAATCGAGGCGAATAAAACAGTTGACAAAAGCATACTTTGTGCCATAATATTAGCAATAATAACAATAATATAAAACTATTTGTTCACTTTGATGACAAAAATATATTTTAATAATGTACACATCAAGCAAATCACTGATACTTTATATATGAAAATTAATCTTCTTTTGCATCTAATTAATCTCTGAATGAAAAGTAACTAGTGGAAACATTAACCATTTGATGAAACAATCAAACACAATGGCGTTTTTTAGATCAAGATTCATCAGATATGTATGATGAGTAACCCTAGAAAAAATCACTCCCAATATTTCTTACTGTCAAAACAATTGTTCACAATTACTCATCAATGCGTCAAATCGAAATAAATTGGTTATCAAACTGATCTAATCAAGTGGATTCAACCCATTAATAATATAACTTTATCTGGCATTGACTTCCATGTCTTCATCTCTGAATCACCAGAAATTAATCTTGTTTTTTGTTTCTATGAAATTGGGTGTAAAACAAAAGATACAAAAGTATACACAAGATCGAACAAAACTTAAAATTATTTTATTTTCCTGAAGCCTGATGGAAAAATATTGGGAATCCAATATTAAATAAAGAGTACTGAAACAATATCGATTTCCGAGTTGACTAGTCGGAAGTAGGGACCCGTGGTACGAGCGAAAAGCTGAGTCATTGTGTTTACGATCAATGCTTTAGAATACATTCTGTTTTTCCCTCCACCCTGTTATAACATGATTTCCTCAGGGACCTGAATTTATACGAACTTCAATAAATGATGGTTAAACAGTTTTCTTTACCTTTCTAAACCTTTACTTTTGCAAGGTTAAACGACATTTGGCAATGCTATAAATGAACACTTAATAATGAAACAGGCAAATCCTTTTTCATATTCAATTTTTTGTCGAGTCAATGTTTCTTTTTTTAATAAAACTTTAACCAAATTATAAAACAAATTGAGTGAAAATTAAATCAACTGACAAGAGCTGCATGTCATGAATAATTGAATTCACTGGAATAATCAAATTTGTCGGGAACAGAACAACACAATCGAAGTTGAAAAAAAATTCAACCTTTCAAGTGCAACATTTGTTATTAGACGGGTAAAAAGATGGTTAAATAGAGCAACAGAATCAAACAATTCATTACCAAGAATTCTGTAAATGTGCAAGTCTTAGGTAATGATGAATTTGATGGTCTTTCGATTGTTTTCCACTGAGCAGGTCGGAGACCTACAATATCGTTATCGTACAAGATGGCATAGAAAGGATTCAGCAAGTGATGCCAATTATTGCCAATACAGCCAGGATTGGCTGATCGAGCAAGACAACGAAATTTGACCTCTAGCTGACATTTCTTTTGGCCAACATAAATTATGAACATGTCACTAGCATCAAACAATCTGAAAATTTTCACATTCTCAGAAAATATCCTCTGCATATGAGTTAGAGGGGAAAACGAAATGACCTTGAATGACCTTGAAAATCATAATCCGGTTCTTCACCCGTCAGTAATAAACAGTACAGTTTTCTGCCTGTAGGTTTACAGGTTCGGAAGTTTTAACTATAAACAGCCGAAAGTATACGCTGAATAGCGCGGTACAAACGAGTCTAAACTTCTGAGCCGCGATGGAATAATAGTCGTTACCGTAAAGAAAGAAGAGAGAGTCGATTCACGAAAAACGAGTCAAAATAAGACTAAAAATCATTTCAATGAATAGTAATGTTCTTTCTTTCTTTTAAGTTTCAACTTTTTCTGAATTATATTGATCAGCAATTCCTCAGTTATTCTAGAATGGTAAATATTTTGCAATATAATTTCGTACAAGTGTCAGCACTTCGAATCCGTTTGGTGACAAACATCATCATTAAACGAACTTAGTCCAGGTTCTGGATAGAACACCTTTCATGTAATATGTTACTCCAGTTTTTGAACTGAAGGTTGTTGCTCTGATCTGATCTGATCAAACGTTGCAGCAGTTGAACCATTAGACGACTTATAACAAGTGTATACATTTGAAGAATATACATTTGAAGAAGAGCCTGATTTGTCAAAGCTCACTTTGATTGTCTTTTCATCATTTGAGGCTACATTATATCCTTTCAGGGTTAATTGAATAAAATCATAGTTGCCAAAGACTGGAATCACTGCGAATTGAGCTGTAACCAGGTTATTTTTTGAGCAAACACCAGAACCATCACTTGATATACAATATGTTTTGGTTAAACACTCATCATTACATGAACTTTTAGCTTCAACTCGAAAATTGGTTAAGATGAAAATGATTAAAAACGAGAAACACATTCTGATCATTTTACAAGAACTGACTTGGTTAATGAAATGATTTGGAATTGAATGCATAATTATGGAAACATTAAGGTGGCAATTTATCACAAATTATTTGTTGACGAATAATCTTGTTCGTCCTTTACACTTGGATGGTTATCAATTCTGAAATATTGAAAATTTTTCTTTACATGAGCGATCTGGATTGTTTGCATAAAAGTTTTCTTATGATGAGATTAAATGATTTACTGAAATCTTCCTCACTAAGTCCTAATGAAATGGAAGATTGATTGAAGTGAACGGCTCACTTTGCTCGCAATCAGTAATCATATTGAGTACTCGAAACGAGCACTCATGAGTACATAAAATGTGCACTCATTCTGAGCTTTGGAATTGACTGATGAGTGGAAAGATTAATCTGTAGATCTTATCACATATCGATTGACTTTATCAGCTATTCGTTAGTGTAACAAATCTGTGTTATCTTTAAAACTTCCATATTTCTTGCTTTATTCATCATTATCAATGATTCATTAAACATTTCAATCTTTTGGTTTCATAAGTTACATGCAACATTCAATATATTATATTATATTATATTATACTTGTATAATATTTTATCTTATTATATTTAACCTTTTCTGGTCCAGTTTGATGGTTTATTAGAGGAATTAGGATTACATGTAAAACTTTGTCTTTCGAGTAGAGAGTGAAGAGCTTGGTAAAAAATCTGTTTGCTCAATGTCGATGTCTGAAAGTATATCGATGTTTCAATATTTAACTCAAGAACCGCATTCAGAGAAACTTTCTCATTGCACAAATGGACTCAGTTTTATAGCTTTACAGTCAACAATATAACAATGAGCTAAAAAATCTTAAAGATTTTGAATATTTAATTTGGTTTCAGTCATATTTACGCAGTACTACACAGTTCCAAAAATCATTGGCATTTATGTTCATCAGATGGTCCTATTTCTTATAATTTTTTCCCGCCCACAATAACTCAATGTTAAAGGAGATATCAATGTTATCATCAATGTTCCACTAATGCAAATCAATATTAATATTATAATAATTCATGAAATAGTGAAAAGATTATTCATTAAAATTCGATTTTATTGAAGCATTTTATTCACTTTAATTCAAACAGTGTACATTTAGAGTTATTTTTGATTATTTTCGATGAACTTTTCTATTTTTTTGACAAAATTATCTTTATTTTTCGTTGATTTCATAGAAGCAGATATTTTGGCTATCTTTTCAGCATACGATGGGTTTGATAATGTTTCATCAATTGTTTTTAAAACTTGTACTTCATCAATTTCATGAAGATTGATTCGAGCACCAATTCCACAATCAACAGCTCGTTGAGCATTATCAAGTTGATCCATGAAAAAAGGAACCACAATCAAAGGTTTTCCAGCATAAATTGTTTCCAAAAATGTATTTTTACCACCATGAGTTATAACCAAATCAACAACATCAAGAATAGCTATTTGATTGACATAATTTTCACCCCACATGTTTGGTCCCAATTCAAGTTCGTCTCCTCTTGGTCCTTTAGAGACGATGAAACGATGAGGACATTTCGATAAGATTTTAATGAAACTTTCCATCAAATCTATTTGAACTGACCCTAATGAACCCAATGAAAAGTAAATCACCCGGGTTGAAAATTAACTAATGTACTTGTCATGGACATTTTAAAGTCATGGATTTACCAACTAAATATTATGAATTTGCTAATATTATGCCTTATAAAGGCCTTGTTTTGAGCATTTCAATATATCAATGTGGATATTAGAAATAAAAATTAATATGAAGTCAATGCATTACCACCATGGAAATTGCATGGAACCAATATAGTTTTAATATCAATGACAAAACTCGGCGTATAACATGGCCATAATTAGTACATTCATGATTTCAGGTTATAGATAAGACATTTGTTTTTTTCTTGTCAGCAATCAAGGAATAGAAGATACGTTGATCGGATCATAATGGGTTTTTTAAACGAGCAAGAGCAGGTTGTGATCATACCAATTTAATCGTGTTCAAATGAAGTATCAATAGCAGTAGCATAATATGACCCTGATCTGATTGAATCTATCGTAACAATGGCCTTGCCTTGTATCTCATTCAATTCTATGATATTAGTTTTTTGATTGAGCTTAATTTTATGGAATATTTGAGAATTTTTAACTATACTTGGAACATCTTTCAATTTTGACGATTTTAGCTTCTCAATATTAGTGAAAAGCGATTGTTTGCTAAAATTGGAAAACTCTCGATAAACTGCGAATATCTTATCATGGCCACAGTTGATCCATCTTGATGGAATGAACATGAAATACTCAATTCTACCATACTTTTTCTCCTGTGTGTTCCTATCAAGATGGTAGAAGTGATAACTGGTTGAAGATTTTTTATAAGAGTATTTTGTTGAATGATATGTAATATGACCTTTTTTACATCTAGTGTAAATTTCTATTATGTTTTTATCTATGTTTCCGAATCTTGGCCGTAACAAACGCATAACATTAACTTCAATTTCAATGTTTTTGCACCTTTTACCAATAATATGTTGAGTTAATTGTAAACTCTTGTCATATTGTGATGACAAGTTCATGGTAACATCATGGCTCAAAAAATATTTAGATCTTAGATAGCGATTAGTCATCTGTGAATTTTGACCTCTATTTCCATGGATTGTCTTTTTTATCTTGAAAATATTGTCTTCGAATACAAAACTAGAAACATTGCTTAGAGAGCCCATTTTCTTGACTTGTGATGGTAAATGGCTCAGCAAATGTATATTGAACCTCATTGAGTCTTCGCCATAAATTTCTTGGTATGCAGAGATGAAGATTTTTAGTAAAGATTCTGCTATGGAAATGTCATGGCCACATATGTTCATTTTCACCAACGACCTTAGTGCAACTGTTAAGCTTATCATAAGATAAAAGCTATCACTGTCAATGCATCCTCGAAGAAGCGGTGTTAAATAGAAGAGAAAAGTTCGGCATTCGCTTGCTTTCCAGTAGGTTATTTCACTTATCTTTCTGAAACGTCTTGAAAATTCATGTGGCAGTGAAACTTGACGACCGATACCATCAATCCTTTCGGTCGTACTACGACAATTGAATGGTTTCTGTGAAATGAGTGTTTTAAAAACTCCTTCAAGTACACAGTGCATGTAATCAATCGGGAAAGAGTCTGGAAATTTCATCGAAGATGTCAAGTAACATGGACCTTTTATGCCCATATGAGTACCATGGCTTGTTTGCGCTATGATTCCAGCACTTATGTAGAATGAATGATCTTTTCTTTGATAATCATTTCCATTAAATGGATAACACATAGTTGAACCTCCTTTCAGAGTTCTCATGGATTGCCCTGGATGCTGACAATATGGGCAACCATATGCACCATTGAATTGTATTATGTTCATGATTTTTGGCTTAGCCACTGAATCAGTAACTATAACTCCAGATCTAACAAGACATGTTGAGTTAGTCTCATTCAGCTCAATAATGAAGCCTGCATCTTTCAGTGTATTCAGTTCTTCTTCAACAGCAATTTTCCAAATGTCTCCATATTTTGCCTTATTATGTCCCCACCATAGAGCTGACAAGAATACATTTTCCTTGCAATAACGCCGATTCTCAGGTAGCTCTGATATAATAAATGAAATTGGCGTCGAAGTTGTTTTACTTGACTTGACAAATGATGCATCATCGATATTAAAAATAAGAGTGAGTCGAACTACATCTCTGTCTTTGGTGTCTTCCCATAACGACTGGTAAAGTTCGGATCCCATGAAATGGCCATGACTAGTGTCACATGTCAAAGTAGATGAGTTGAAATATTCCTTATTATTTCGCAAAAAAAGCTTCAGCGTGTCTTCAAGATTGAACACACGCAAATCACCTAGTTGATTTTCAACACAATTACAGTCTTTCTTTTCTGAATGGTAAACATTGCAAACTCCACAATGGATAAATTTTTTAACTCGTATGTTGTTTAAATTGTTGACTTTTTTATGAAAATTAGCAAATGACGGAAGGAAAACTTTTTCACGGCCAATCTTTCTTATAAGCTCATAAAACTTGATTTGTGTTGAGTCAGACACGTTGATTTCATCAAAAAATTTGGCAATCATCAATGAATAATCAGGAATATCAATGTCCATGGCATCATCATGGCAACTTTGGGCTTCATCATCTTCACTTGTAAAATTATCACAGGCATAGTCAGAATCGTCACTTTGAGGGGTTTGAAGAGTTTGTCTCTCGATTTGAGTTCGAAAATTTTTACGACGCAGATAAGAACTGGATATTGGTCTCGAATGATGTCACAAACGAAACATTTTAATTGAAGGAAAAGGAAATAAAAGGTAAACATCAAGGTGTTGTTATTGTCATAGCAATGACTTTGATTGATTGTGAGCACATGTCCATGGTATTTCACCATCAAGATATAAAAACCTAACAATTGTAAAACCTTCTTTGTTGGAAAAAGCAACATAATGACAACAGTTGATCCAGCATTTAGTGAATGTGATTTCACTGTGGCCATAGAAGGTGAATCATCATAGAAAAGTATAAAGTTCTTAAATTTAATGTATCCCTTTTACTTTCTTAGACGCATATGTAATTGTGAGAGATGGTTCAAGTGATCCTCGTATCATCAAAGCTTCTTTTTTCTCGAAAAATCGTGTTGAAATAAGTGACAGGATTAAATCGTCGTTTAAATGGGATGATCCAACTGGTCAATCACCATTTGTTACAATGGTATTCTATGGTGCTCATGATTCATGTAAAACAAAGCTCGGAGAAATATCATCGGGTCCATTATTGATGTCTGCTCCACGTAGAAAACTATCTGGGAATATCATGGCCATGTCAAGTCGGACAAATAAGAAAAATGATAATTATCCCCTAGATAGCCAGGAAACTTCAACGAATTTCAATGTGTTGAAAAGATATCTTGATTCAATTTCAAATCGACTCGAGTATCTTAGTAAGCAATTCATAGAGAGATTCGACCACATTGATGATACACTTTCGAATCATACAATGACAAATAATTCCTTTAGAGATCCTTCTATGAATATAACAGATTATGCCATGACAGAAATGGCCAACGTAAGAAAAGACCCAAAGGTACATGTATTTACATTATGGTATTATTATGCATTAACACAGTTCATTACAGTGGCGGAAGCGTATTAAGTCCATGGTATGGCCAGGATTGACTGAAGGGCAATTGGAAGAAGTGAAAAGAGAGCTTTTGAAAGGAAATAAATCTGCTTCAAAAACAGCTATTGCCATTTCAAAGATAATTTATGGTGACAAGCTAAAAACTCACATATTAGGCGATAAAGGAAAATTAGTTAGAGCGCCGAGAGAAGGTGAAAGAGCTCTGGTCATATCTATTGATGATGAGAATTTATTCAGAGGTACTGTAAAAACACATTCAGTTTCGGCTCACTAATTCATTTTACAGACATTCTTTCATGCTTCGGATCAGATTTATTTAATGACCCTACGAATTGGGAGGTGCTGGTAAGAGGCCCTGTAAATCAGAGTGGTAGAGAGAGAAAGAGAAAGAGGAATCAAATTGAAGAAAAATCAAATGAAGTAGCGTCAGGAACTGAAACCGCGACTCAGCCTCCATCACATAGCCAAAGTAAAAAACAAAGACTTGAACATGATTCAGACTCTGAATCAACCATCAATGAATGATGTATTATTAATATGGACTTATTATGCACTGGTCATGGACTTAACATGGGCATTATCGGTAAAAATTGAAAACAATTATATCATAGACACCAGTGTGTAATTAGTATACAATCCCGTTACTAAGCTTGTTCTCTTAGAAACAGCTTTTTTCAAATATTCTTAACTGTTACACTCGTTACTTGGATCTATTATTTACTTTTTATTTACTGTATTTTTGGTTAATTATTTGGTTCAAAATGAACTCACAAAATGATTCTGATTGCTTTGAGATGGACGAAGGTAAGTTTAATCTTGATTAAGCTAAATAATGTTTAAAACTAATGATTTCATTCTCCTTCATTTCAGCTACACAGTCTCTCGAATCGATTGCTTCGTTGACTCAAAAGATTAATTTTTTGGAAATCATGATTCAACATTTGAATACTAGAGTCTCCATATTAGAAGGGAAGGAGCTTATTCATGGAAATGTCATGGCCACGGCTGCTCAAGATTATCCGGTTTCATGGAATCTTAAAACTCCAAAAGACTACATTGTTTACGCCGAAAAGAAAATTCATAATCTTAAACATGACAATGAGGTAAGTAACTTGATACTCATAATCTTACTCCCATCTTATCCCAATACTCATCGTAATTTTTAATTAACAGTGGAGGAAAAATTTTCTTACAATCAATTTTGATGGTGTCACAAGTGAAAATAAAGAAAGAATATTGCAAAGCATCAATAAATCAAGAATATCAATCTCTCATATTGTTAACACGATAGCCAAGGAGACAATCGGAATAAATATTCTATCAACTCATAGCCTCGGATCTCATGGTATGGCCATAATAAATTCAAGTCCAGGGAAAGCTTCTCGACCAACTATCGATGAAACATTGGAAAATAAACTGCGATCAGTTGTTGGTTTCATTGATCAAATATTTGTGAGCAGAGATGGTTGGGAATACCTAGTCAGGAGGCCAGTTAATCAAATGGGCCGTGAGTTCAAATCAGGAAAAAGATCACTTGAAGAATCATTCACTGGCACAAGTAAATCAACAGCAATCGGAAAAGATGGACATAATATGGCCATAAGTAACCCATCAACACCCATTATTGATAAAACAACGTCTTCAAATGCAGAGACAACATCTTTATCAAGATATTTTTCTAGAAATGATGGTCTAAATAGATTACAAAATATAAATCAAATATACAATCGCCCCGAGTCTGGCTTATTACCAAGAGCATTGTTTCATCGTGGCGAAGAAAGCGAAAAAGACAAGGAACGCCAAGGAACTCGGAGCTTAACAAATAGAACATTCATTTAGTTTCCTCTACTCATTTTAAGTTCACCACAATATGGCCATGAGCAAAACATAATTTTTACTGCCATAAATTTCAAATATTTATTTGTATTCTTACTCCTTCAATAACATGATTCCAATGAAAGCCCTATTATTACAATTACATGTCCATTCAGGCTTCATATCAATTTTTGTTCAAGCTTTAATCAAGCAATAAACATATCTTACTGAAGTATTTACCAGGAAAACTGCAGTTTTCCTGGTAAATACTTCAGTGATTCAGGGATTTCAAATGGTTCCACATTATCTGGTCTTCGAATAGCACAATCTAAACGAATCCATTTATCAGATCTTATTGGACCTATTTCATGGTAATCTAAAAGTTCGGGATAATGATAAATACCAAGTTGTTCAGGTTCAACATAAAACCAATTCTCAACTCTATCATCTTGAATAGCAGGCAAAGGTGTTTCATTAGATCTCCACCAAGAATACAAATTTTCGCGGTAAACTTTCGAAGCTTGACCACACAATTCTCTGAATCGATTCCACTTTTCATGATCTGTTTCTTTCACTGAAAATCCTGACCATGCTGGAGGTCCATTTGGATAGAGAGGAAGTGGGTTCATTGACATAAGGTATGCACAAGGAAAAGGCGCTCGATAGAAAGCTGGATTCATGAGAACAAAATCGCCGATAAACAAGTCGAAATTATTTGCATTTTCTTTGAATATAGCTTCTAATGCAATACTGTTGCGTTTAAATACATTAACAATTGAGCCAAAAATTTGGCTTTCTTCTAATGTCCAGTCTTTAAAGATTGATAATGCATCAGCACGAAATTTATGCAAATATTTATCCAGCCATCCCGGTATAGAAGCAGGTTGGACATTCTCGAAGAATTGTTCATCAAAAGGAATGAACTTGAAGTTTCGTTCTTCAGCAAGCTTCTTGTGGCGGGAATGATTAGCAAATGTTACTTCATGTCCATATGAAGCAAGGATCTCACCCAAAGCCAGTGTACAGTTGATATGTCCGAATCTATTGAATTAGTGAACATATTGAAATTAATTTGAGTGGTTAAATAAAACTAATTATGAATATGAATTACTTACGCGTCCATACTTGACATGAGAATGCGATATTTGGTTTTGCTGGTCATTTCTAGTTCAATGTAAATAAAAAGTAGTAAAATAAGCACGAATATCAAGTTTTCAAGTTTGAGTGTTTCTCATCGGAATCACTCATTATATACTCAGAGTTATCATTGTCTCAACATCTCTAATCATATGCCCTTTAATTGAATTAAATCCTTGTTAATACTCTTGATGAAAGTAGGAAAATTCATCCGAATCATCCTTTCAAATAATGTTATCATTAGCTTGTAGTGTCGTAATATTACAGTCATAATTGTAAAAATAATTATCTTTTAAATAATGTTTAGTTCAAGCAGAATCACAATACAAATGTAAATGTAAACAGAGATTTATCCAACACAAATTATTCACTTATCATCCAGATTAATTTGACTTAAGATTCATCAAGAAGTTGAGTCTTTAGATATGCATTGAATTTATTGTATTCAGTGGAAAGGAATTTACGATCAGTCATGCGAACCTCAAAAGGTTCCACTCGTAAGGTTGTTCGATTATTCGTGATGAGCTAGAGTTCGTGTTAGGCAAAAAATATGACCTCAGTCCTATTTACATTTATTTGTATTAAACGTTCAAAGTGAGCAGTCTAAATTTTTGGCAGTTTTCAAGGCATACAGAATGTAAACATCTTGTTCTGGAGTTTCAGTCGGTCTTCTAGTTCTTCTAGTTATTTAAATTCAAGAGCAGAGCATTTATCATGCAATCAATTTTATGCAAAATTTATTTTTAAAATATAATACATTTTAACCAAAACTTATGATTGGAAAATGGCTTCAGTAACATATTGCTAGTAATAAACGGTTAGGTGAGTTTTGAAATTATGCCGAAAGCAGAAGTAAAAGTGTTGGACCAAACTTTTGAAACCTTTTAAAAATATCAAATGCAGCATCAAATAAAGGTTGCGGGTTCAATATATGGATGAAGTAAACAATTTTTTTGAAAAAACTCGATAAATATTCATTTCCACTATTTTTAAGGGACCCCTTAAGAGTTGCTATTCTGAAATTGTGTTCATCAAAATGAACGAACATATTGTTTTCAAGTATTTGTAGTTCGTAATCTGTTTCCTTAGGGTTTACTGGTCCATAAAGAGTATCGAAAGAGTCAGGTAGTGACCATTGGACCTGATTTTCACCCATTTTCAAATCTCGTATTGGACTCCATAAACTGTCTTTTACTTCACCGATTTTTGCATACGCAGTCACCCTTCGTTTCTTTAAATCAAACTCAATGTCAATACTTATATCACTCTTTAGGTTCACTTCAACCAATTTTGGAGTTTCTCCATTCACTTTTAACAAGAAATCAGTTGTCTTATTTGCTTCTCTAACAATCAAAATATACTTTTCAGATCCAACAGCTTTGTATTGATATCCATCAACAAATGATTCAACACTTTTAGGTAACTGACTGTAGTTAGCTGCAGCAACAGGTACAGTTTGGTTTAAGTTGTAATAGATTTGGTATCCACGGTGCGAGATGTAATATTGAGGTGGATCAATCAGGTCGAAAGGAAATGAAGAGTTGTTTATATCCACTGACCAGGAACAATATTCTTTACCATTGACATAAATTGCGGTTCCATTTATTATTGGGTAGATAATGAAATGAGCAACTGTTGTAGCTACAGGACCACAAGTGAATAAAACATTTGAATCGCCTTCTCCCCAAGCAATTGCGTCTAATCGATCAACACCACCAGATTCGGCATATCCCAATGAAAAGGAGACTGGGTTGTCATTTAAAGTTGCATAAGCCCTTTTCCAACTATCTGTCAGGCCTTTATCGTTTTTAGAACTAGATTCGTCGGAAAATTCAAGGTTCTTTATTGGACAAGAATCATCGAAACATGATTTCCATTCAGCTGTGGTTGTCGTTGTTAACTGGAGCACAATTGAGGCAAATAAAACAGTTGACAAAAGCATACTTTGTGATATTACCAATTAAATTAATAAAACAAAACTACTTGTTCACTTTGATGACAAAAATATATTTTAATAATATTACATCAAACAAAATCGTTGATACTTTATATGGAAATTTATCTGTATTGCCATCTGATTGATCTCTGCATTTAAAATAACTAGTGAAAATATTAACCATTTGATGATACAATGAAGTTTGTTTCAGACAAGATTTAACAGATAATATCATGAATCATCCTAGAAAAAACATTTTTGTTTATTATCAAATAATCATTACACAATCCAATTTACATCAAATTTGAAATAACATGAAACTGAAATAATCGAGTCAAGTCATGTGTTTGACGCAAATTAAATACGTGGTTGGGTGTGTTTATTTTGCCAGTTGTAAATTGAACTGTCAATAATTGTCTCAAAGCCGTCAAGTGTATTCAAAGTATTCTTACCGTTCATTTGGATCAGCATTTTTAGCTTCTTGTTCATACATAACTCAATAATTGAATAACTATAGCATCTACCTTCTTCATCCTGAAAAAGCTTAGGACCATCATCATCGTCATAATCACTTATTAATTGTTCCTCTTTACACTTTTCTTGCTTGTTGTCCTTAAAAATTGAAGGTACTCGGATCATGGGTAAGTGTTGCTCTCTGGGTATTAATGAATGGTCATTGAAGTAAGGCCAAACTTTGATCTTCTTAAGAGTTTTGGTTCGTGTAAAGTATCGAGATTCACATACGTAAACATCACAATCCTCAAAGCCTTCCGGTTTAAGTTTAAAGTAGTCTTTCACGAACATGATGAAACACTTTCCCGCAACTTGAGACAGAGGTGCATTATTGTAACTATCACTTTTGAAGACTTCTTTTTCCAAGAACTTTTTTGAAGCAATATGATAAGTTTCATAAGGACGATAAAACCAACATCCATAAATCCATAACTGACCAGCTGGATCACGCCAAAGTTTTGAAATATTTATTATATGAGGATCCATACCTTTCTCTCTTGGCTCAATATAAACAAAATCACCAGGTCGATAAACTTGGTCGTTTAATGATACTTCAGGAATACTTTCAACTGGAGCTCCTCCACTAGGATCAGCCTCTTTATCCTCACCTTTAGCTTCTGCATCGGTTTCTTGGTTTTCAAAAGGTAGTTTCTCCAATTTTAATGCATCAACTTGAGCGTTTAAATTTATTTCTGTAAAATTTAATGCACTAGATATCAGTACTTCACCATTCCGACAAAGTTCATTCCGCAAGCGAATAAAGTATAATTGTAATTCAACTGAATCTTCGAACGCTTGAGAATCAACACGAGTATTGCGTCGAGTTCTTTCAAAAACATCAAACATGTCTTGTTGAAATCGATCTAAACGACGATATCTTCTTTTTTCGAGATTCTTCTTAATTTGATCTAAAGTTAAAGGACGGCTGAAAAATAAGAAATTGGATATTGATTTAGTCTCAAAGTTGTTAAATGTAATCAAAAGTATTCTTACCGTTCATTGGGATCAGCATTTTTAGCTTCTTGTTCAGATAATTCAATAATTGAATCACTATAGCATCTACCTTCTTCATCCTGTGAATATACCAAACCACAAAATAAAATAATAAATAACAAGGTTTATAAAAATTTGACAAATTATCTTACTTGATGGTTATAAACAGAAATGAATAGATTAGTAAGTAAATCTTGTATGACTGCTCTAATATTTGGTACTCCTTGGTTTTCATTTTCAATTAATTCTAGTTTGGTTTGAAGAGCGACATGTTGAAGAGTCAATGCATCCTTATAAAGTTGAGAATTAAATTGAACAGCAAAGTAAATTAGTAACAAGATTTATCAAAATATTTCAAATAATCTGGATTGAAATTTTCTAGCATAAGATACAGTTTTTATGCAACTGTGACATAAAAGAAACGTTTGAGTAGACAAATGAAATAAACCATTTCAGTTTTCAACAATTTATTGCATACAATATCAGTCATCTGAAAAATCTTCATCTCAAAAAAGATCGACGCTGTAAAAGTTGTTACAAAAATTAGTTTAAATTATTTTAAGTTATCTTTTCCTATTACGTGCACTTTTTGGCTTAGCTTTTGGTTTGCCCTTTTTGAAGTGTGAAACATCAGCTGCTGATTCTGCTGTGTTATATTTAGATCTCTTCTTCTGACCACCAGCACGACCGTAAACTTTCTTTTTATGAAGAGCCTTTTTAGTCATCTTTTTCACTGGTTTACCATCTTTTTTAGGCTTGTCATTCAGAAAATCTAGACTTTTGTCCTTTCCTTTTTGATAATTAGCAACTTTCTTAGCCAATTCCTTCCTTTCGTGAATTTTTGAAACTTTGACTTGCTTTTGCTTCATTTTCGCCATAGTCTTTTCCTTTCTAAGTTTCTTAAACTTCTCAATTTTACCAAGGACAGCTTCCCTTTCAGCTAAGGCTTTTTTAACTTTGAGCATATGTTGATCACTTTTAGCCATCTCGGCGAAATAATCATCAGGCCTTTTGGTTGGTACATTGAGGGAATGCAGTCTCTTTAAACTCTCTAGCACTGAAGCTTGTGCTTGACGATAGCTGGAAATAAATATAAAATAAGTTAATTAAAAGAAACATGATAAATAAAAAAAAAAGACTTACAAATGCATTTCTCTATTGAAATCATGGTCAACTTGATCATCTGGTAAAGTTTCTGAAGCAGGGTTTGTCACAAGAGTTTCAATCCAATCATAATCTAACTTAATTTCTTTCAATTTCCGACTAATAGCGGCTTTATTATTAATCATCAAACCAGGTTTAATTTGAACCGGATTCATATTTAAACTTAAATAACAAGAATTAATGGAGAAAAATGTTGGAAAAACGTGTTTGAAAAATAAAACAATAACAAATACAACTTGAAAGTGACATCTATGAGCATATATATGTACTTTTCTAAATATCACACTTGTCATAATTTGAACTGAGAAAGTTGTAAACATAATTTAACAAGAATTAACAAAAAACAAGAACTGTGGATGATCAGAAACAAAACAGATTCAATCAAAAACATACTATTGGTATCTCTGAACTGTAAAGCAATCTCATCTTTTGAAACCGTTGGCTTTCATCTAAAAAATATTACATTCCCTGAATATGCCTTCAGATACTCAAAAAGACCATGCGAATCAACGAATCAAATATGTAAAGATTTCATTTTCAATTGTATAAATACTTATCCCGAATAACTTTTACATATTAGGTCGAAGTATTTCATGTCATTAAATAACTTACCCGTAGCCGCTGCTTTAGATACGGGATTTTACTTCGGGGAATTGTCTTATACATTTTATCATAATAACATTACTTTGCTTGATAATACTTTAATACTACATCAATAAAGTTATCTTGAGACTCATAATAAAAAACTCATACATAATAAAATGCTAATTAACAATGATTTGGAAAGTGTTGATGAGCTGGAAGCAGAAGTGGGTGCTGCTACTCTGAAATTTTTTCCATCAAAATATACGAAAATATTGTTCTCAATTATCTCCAATTCATAAGCTGTTTCCTTAAGATTTACTGGACCATAAAGAGTATCGAAAGAAGCAGGTAATGACCATCGGCATTCATTTTCATTCATTTCCACATTTTGTATTCGATTCCATAAATTGTCTTTCACTTCATCAATTTTCGCATACGCAGAAGCTATTCGTTTCTTGAAATTACACTGAATATCTACACTGATGTCACTCTTTAGATTCACTTCGACCAATTTTGGAGTTTCTCCATTCACTTTTAACAAATAATCAATTGATTTATTTGCTTGTCTCGCAACCAAAAGATACTTTTCTGATCCAACAGCTTTATATTGATATCCATCAACGAATGGTTCAAAACTTTCAGGTAACTGACTGTAGTTAGCTGCAGCAACAGGTACAGTTTGGTTTAAGTTGTAATAGATTTGGTATCCACGGTCCGAGATGTAATATTGAGGTGGATCAATCAGTTCGAAAGGAAATGAAGAGTTGTTTATATCCACTGACCAGGAACAATACTCTTTACCATTGACATAAATTGCGGTTCCATTTATTATTGGATAGATGTAATTATTAGCAGTTGTTGTAGCTACAGGACCACAAGTAAATAAAACATTATAAGTGCCTTCACCCCAAGCAATTGCGTCTAATCGATCAACACCTCCAGATTCGGCATATCCCAATGAAAAGGAGACTGGGTTTTCATTTAAAGTTGAAGTAGTCTCCGTCCTAATATCCGATAGGCCTTTCTCGTTTTTAGAACTAGATTCGTATGGAAATTTAAGATTTTTTATTGGACAAGAATCATCGAAACATGATTTCCATTCGTCTGTAGTGGCCGTTGTTAACTGAAGCACAATTGAGGCAAATAAAACAGTTGATAAAAACATACTCTGTCCCGTAATATTAACAGTCACCAATCATGAAAATAATGAAAAAATAATGTTTAATTTAAGCAAAATCATCTATATAAATGAACATTTATCTTTACTTTCATCTAAACACGGAGCTTTGACGCAAGATTATATTCACTATGTTTACAGTATACGCAGCTCTGTGAAACACTCTAATCACTCATCACATTAATAAAAGTCTAATCTAGTTCAGGATTTATCAGATGAATATCATGAGTGGTCTTTAGTAGAAATAACTGCAAAAAACTATTCTCGACTGATGACTGAAAAATTTTGATTGCAACATTTTACTAATGAAAATTGGTAAATAAATTGCTATTAAACGAAAAACTGCCTCTAATCAAGTGAGATATTGATCTTGATAAGTATTGCTTTATCTGACAGAAACAAAAGAATCTAATATCATAAAATATTAAATGGCCAGTTGCGAATCAACAAAATTAATAATTATGCAAAAGAGTAGAAAATGTTTGCTAAGGAAAGAAATAAAAATAAGAAAATTTCGAAGAAGAAAATTATGTTAATTTTTTATCAATCAAGTTTTTTAAATGATGCGCTTGTTTAAATTTTAAATGCGTTTACAAATTATTTTTTTGAAATTATAATCGTGACAAATTTAAGGACTCTTTAAGCATAAAGTTTCTTAAAGCCCATAATGCGTTTACGACATCACCATGATTACCTTCTCCATTGGCTAACCAATTAGAGGGTAAATGGTCTCTATTTGGTATGGGTGTATTTTCAGGAGTTGCGTTAAGTTGTTGCTCGTAATTACTAACATGTCTACAATCAGGTCGCAATCTTTTAATGTATTGAACAAATGTATTCGAATGAAGAAGGCGAGTAGGTTTAGGTGGTGCAGCTACGAAGAGTGGGTCTTGCTTGACTGTGGGTTGTTGGTTGGTTGCTGAAAGAGATAAAAATTTAAATTAAAATTTCATTCAGATCAATAATTAGATTATTCATAGCAAATTGATTGAAATCAATACTTACGCTGTGAGTTTTGAATCCAATATGGTGTTAAAGCTGGCATATTCAATGAATCAACTTGATTTGAATGTCCATTTATTCCAGAGGATAAGTTGGCACCGTTGTCATACATTGTTAAACTTAAACTAGGATTCGATTGTGCTATGTTCACTCCTAAAACTTAGAAAGTAAGAAAAAACACGTTATGAGCATTTTGATTGTAATATAATATATATTGAAGAAAGGAGTGGAAAAACTTACTGGTTGTTGAAGACGCTGATTGATTTATACTATTGCCAAAATGATTGTTGATAGCTGGAGAGAAAGGTGCTGCGGCAACTGACTTGCGACCAGGGATGAAATTTCTTTTAATTGCGAGTAAAATAGAGAAAAAAATTAATCATGTTGTATGGACGAATAATTCAAAGAAGAGGTTTCTGTGAAAAAATAATCAACTTACTTGCTTCGATTTTCAGGAGGTATATGTTTTGGAATCTGTTTGTTTACATGGATTTCTTTACAGTGACGAATGAGTCGATGAATAGATGGAAAAGGGCTGAGAATAGAAAATGAGAATTGAAAGAAAATAAATTATTAATGAAATATTGCATTTTGTATTATATTAATATCATGGAGGACATTAACTTACGTAGCTCCTTTTTTCACTCGAGCACAGCCATGGTAAAGGCATTGGAAAACTGCATCATCTTTATCTTTTAATTCTCCATATGATCGCCAAACATGACCGTGTGGTTCCGCATTTAGATGATCATATAAATCAATAGGATCTTCACATTGGAAATCACATTTATTCTCCCAATGGCACTCATAAACGCCTTCGTAACCCAAAGGTGACTGAGGGAATGATTCCATTCTTTCGGCCTCACGGGCTGCTTCTCTAGCTGACTCTTCGTTTTGACGTTGAGCTCTTCGCTCATATTCTTGTTTTGTTTCTAAAGGCAAATTTTTCCATTCATTACCAATAATTCGACTAACATCACCAAAATTACAATCAGGATTGGCTTGGATAACAGATTTTCGGACTTCACCAGCAAAAATTATGTATCCAGTTACTATGCGTTTACTTCCCTTTTTCCTACTAATAAAAGGAGTTGACAAAATAGGTGTTTCTGATATCAATGAGGAAACATCATTTGACTCTTCATTTTCCGTATCTATAGAAGGTCGGAATGGAGTATGTGGAGATGGAGCTTCACTTAAAGACAGTGGATCTTTACGTGTTAAGAGAGTGGTTCGCTCGGGCATAGATTCGGTTCTAGCTATGACTAAAGGTTTACGGAATAAAAATTGTTCATCTTCAGCAACTCCTGGTTTATATGGAGCAACTCTCCTTAAAATTATGGGAAGTTTAATGAATTTCTTATCATTTTCAAGAAACTTAAATTCACAAATGTAAACATCTTGTTCTGGAATTTCAGTCGGTCTTCTAGTTATATAATCTTTAAATTCAAGAACAGAGCATTTATCACATATGCTAAGAAGAGGGTTTGTATCTTCAATTGAGCTGAGAAATACTTCGTTTGGATAAAACATTCGAGATATGGATAAGGGCAGTTCTCTGGGTTGCACAAACCAAGGACCATGGAAGAAAGCATTACCATCTTTATCAACCCACATTCGATCAATTCTGCAAATGAGATTACGTCCATTATCAGTTCGCACATAACAACAGTCTCCTAACTTGTATGAACCTGATGGAATAGTGAATTGTTCATAATAAATAGCACCTTCCTCAATTGGCATTCCATCTCCAGGTTCAATGATTATGTTAGGTCGCTCAATATCTAAAAGTTTAGGACCATCATCATCGTCATAATCACTTATTAATTGTTCCTCTTTACATTTCTCTTGCTTGTTGTCCTTAAAAATTGAAGGTACTCGGATCATGGGTAAGTGTTGCTCTCTGGGTATTAATGAATGGTCATTGAAGTAAGGCCAAACTTTGATCTTCTTAAGAGTTTTGGTTCGTGTAAAGTATCGAGATTCACATACGTAAACATCACAATCCTCAAAGCCTTCCGGTTTAAGTTTAAAGTAGTCTTTCACGAACATGATGAAACACTTTCCCGCAACTTGAGACAGAGGTGCATTATTGTAACTATCACTTTTGAAGACTTCTTTTTCCAAGAACTTTTTTGAAGCAATATGATAAGTTTCATAAGGACGATAAAACCAACATCCATAAATCCATAACTGACCAGCTGGATCACGCCAAAGTTTTGAAATATTTATTATATGAGGATCCATACCTTTCTCTCTTGGCTCAATATAAACAAAATCACCAGGTCGATAAACTTGGTCGTTTAATGATACTTCAGGAATACTTTCAACTGGAGCTCCTCCACTAGGATCAGCCTCTTTATCCTCACCTTTAGCTTCTGCATCGGTTTCTTGGTTTTCAAAAGGTAGTTTCTCCAATTTTAATGCATCAACTTGAGCGTTTAAATTTATTTCTGTAAAATTTAATGCACTAGATATCAGTACTTCACCATTCCGACAAAGTTCATTCCGCAAGCGAATAAAGTATAATTGTAATTCAACTGAATCTTCGAACGCTTGAGAATCAACACGAGTATTGCGTCGAGTTCTTTCAAAAACATCAAACATGTCTTGTTGAAATCGATCTAAACGACGATATCTTCTTTTTTCGAGATTCTTCTTAATTTGATCTAATGTTAAAGGACGGCTGAAAAATAAGAAATTGGATATTGATTTAGTCTCAAAGTTGTTAAATGTAATCAAAAGTATTCTTACCGTTCATTGGGATCAGCATTTTTAGCTTCTTGTTCAGATAATTCAATAATTGAATCACTATAGCATCTACCTTCTTCATCCTGTGAATATACCAAACCACAAAATAAAATAATAAATAACAAGGTTTATAAAAATTTGACAAATAATCTTACTTGATGGTTATAAACAGAAATGAATAGATTAGTAAGTAAATCTTGTATGACTGCTCTAATATTTGGTACTCCTTGGTTTTCATTTTCAATTAATTCTAGTTTGGTTTGAAGAGCGACATGTTGAAGAGTCAATGCATCCTTATAAAGTTGAGAATCCGGCTCATTATATTTACAGGCATTATCGAAAACTAAAACTAGATCAGATAGAAGATCATCCAAAGATTCATAAAGATTTTCTTTAAGTCGAACTCCTATCTTTCCTAAATCTAAAGGTCTTTTTATGACTTCGTAATAATCAGGATAATCAGTTCTAGATGGAAGTTTCATGAAAATCGAGGACAATTGGCGACCAGTTTTAGGATCATTATAGTTAATGATTGCATCATATAGTATTCTCAGTTTAGGTGCAATTATATTTCCTGATTTTCTAGATCTGCAAGAAAAATCACCATATATTAAATAAAAATGAAAAAATGAAAAAATGAAAGCAAAATATAAAAATTGAAACCCTTACCTTCGTACTTTTGGAACATATGCACCAAGTTCTGCTAACTTTTCATTCAGCAAAGCTTCGAGCTGTTCTGCATCTCTATAGATTTGTGAGCCTTCCTCATTGTATTGCTTGCAATTTTCGAACATTTGTTTCAGATCTGCGATAAAAGCATCTTCAGTTGCATACTGAAAAGATTTAAGGGAAAAAATTATATTGATGAACTTGCAGTGGAGAACGGGATGAATACATACTTGATCATTTTTGACATTCATTTGAATTGTTTTCATGTCGATAGGGTTCTCGATGATTTCATAGTAATCTGGGTAATCTTTTTTGGATGGTTTTTCCATGAAAAGTGCACAAATTTGACGATCTTGATCATCAACAAAATCAATTAAAGTCCTTATAATAAGTTTCATCTTTTTTTTCAACCCAGGATCAAAATCCGAGTTGGACCGACGCGCTCTTTTGAGCTCATGGTTTAATGCGTTCGATAAGCTTTTTGATCTGCGGCCCCTTCCACGACTTGTTACACTACAGCTATCTTCATTGTCTGTTTCACTAGAATCAGAATCTTTGCCTTGATAATTGACGAGTTCTTTTGCTTTAGATTGCATTACCTTCTGAAGTTTGCATGCATCCTACAGAGAAATGAAAGGTTAGTTTATTCTATTTCCACCATCAAAATAATCAATATAATCACCTTAAATATCTTTGAGTCAGGTCGGTTATACTTCTTTGCATTTTCGAACATGATATTCATATCATCGACAACTTCAACGGTAGTTCGATAGAAACGATTCTGCAAGTAAAAGAAATATGTGAATAAAGATGCGTTAAAGTTAAAGTGCAAATATGGAGTTTACCTCGATCTTTGATTTAATCTTTCTTAAAGACATAGGCTGTTTAATTTCCTGATAATAGTCAGGATAGAAACGTCGACTTGGTAAACGCATGAAAGGGTCAGAAAGGACTTCTCCTGCGATACTGGTGTACGACTTGACTGCCTCGTAAAGTTGCCATTGAGGATCAAGAGGATTAGCTTCGACATCTTCGACTTCAGAATCATCACCGTCATCATTCATCTTGTTACCAAAACTTCGCCTTGGATTTTCAGATTGTTTCTTGCGCTCTAATTATTCAAGTAAAGATTGAAAATTTTAAACATAGAAAAGTCAAAATAAATGATTAAGATACAAAAAACAGATGACAAAAATAGCAAAACAAAGAGAAAAACGAGAAGAGGAAGACAGAGACAGTGGGAATGAAAAGCCTACAAAACAAGAATGACATGATAAATAGATAAATCACAACAAATAGATATTTAAAAATGATACAATAGCAAAAATAATACAGAAGTTAATTAAGAAGATCTCAATTAACCAAGCAAAGTCTCGTTAAGTTTATAAACAAGTCATATAGAAATGTATTAGAAAATGACTTACCAGAAGATCGGGTTTGCATAAAAGAGAAAGCTTGAGCATCCATGGTGGATTGTGTCAATTGTGGATATTCTGAATAAGATTAACGATGGTTAAATTAAACTAACATAACACACGAAGAAACCAAAAAATAAGTCAATCACAAATCATTTTTAACCGCAAAGGAAGCAGAAAAAAGGAGAGTATATTTTAGGCAAAGGTGTTTTCAATTTTTCAATGGTTAGTCTTCCTTCCCTCCATTTCTTTTCCCACTCTTCTGAACCTAATCAATGACGTCACTTAAAACCAGCTTTAATTGCTTTGAGATGCAGTAAGTTAGGGATTAAAAGTGTCAAAATGTTAATTTAATTAATAAAAAGTGTCAGAGAAGGTAAGGTAATTAACTAATAAGTTCAATTTGAACTCAACATTGATTTAAAGACAGTATCCAAGTACTCTCTCTTTCTCTCTCTTTTGCAGGCCCTCTTTTGCCGAGGTCTTTGTTGAGGCAAGTCTTCAATAGATCTGTTGTTAGTATCCAATCGCGGTTTTGGCGGTCTTTTTAACTTCGAAGTCTAAATTATTCACCTTAATGAGGTTAATTGAGGCTCTGGATGAAATTTAATTATCATGTTAGTTGATGAAAAAACGGTCTGTTTTCCCAAGTATAATGTTCCATGTTAATTTCACATCTTTCAATAGATTTCGTCTAAAATTGATAAGAGTTGCATTTCTTTCATGCTGTTATGGTTTGTTTGATTTGTTGCTTGGTTAGCAATAAACATGATTCCTTTGCTGGTCTTGATATAAGGTTCTTACATTTATTTACATCTATAATTTTTAGTTTTTATTGGTAATCTTCTTTATCTCATTCTGTATTCACCATGAAGATATGATAAGACATTGAAGGTGAGAAAGACTCTAGTTTAATTATTTTTAGTCTTTTCTTGTTTTGTGTTCTCATTAAATAAGCTCAAAACAATATGACTTTGTCGATAAACCAGCCTATGAATTTCGGTATGGATAAATTTTTTCTTTATTGAGTTTCTGTTTTTACACGAGCTATAATCTGGATTCATTGAATTTATTTTAGATGAAATATGGTTTGACAATGTTTCTATCAATAGCCATGCAATTAACCGGTCATGTGAGTCTTTGGAAAGGCAAATCAAATGTTTGGATACCGATCAAAAGGTGAGAAATAAAAAGCTCTAAATGCTATCATGGTTCAATTATTTGTAATTAACTTTCATTGTACAAGCAGATTGAAGCTCTTCTCAAAACAATTCGTGTAATTGATTTGACCACTTTGGCTGGAGATGATACCTATGTTAATGTTCAGCGTTTGTGCTATCGTGGATTGAACCCATTAACGGAGCCCTTGTTGAAAAGGCTTGAATCTTGTGGTTTTTGTGATGAAAATCTAACTGTCGGTGCTATCTGTGTGTATCCATCGCGCATCAAAGATTGTCATGAATCCTTCAAGATGATAAAGCCTTCAAAAGATCCTTTGAAAATTGCATCCGTTGTTACTGGATTTCCATCGGGCCAATATGGATTGGATACACGTTTAAGTGAGATTGGATATGCTCGAAATTGTGGTGCTGATGAGGTTGATACAGTTATCGACAGATCTTTAGCTTTAAATGGTGATTGGAAAAAAGTTTATGAAGAAGTGAAGCAAATGAGACTTAAAGCTTCAACAATGAAGTTGAAAGTTATCTTGGAGGTTGGTGAGCTTGGTTCCCTAGCAAATGTTTACAAAGCAAGCTGGGCCGCTATGCTGGCTGGAGCTGATTTTATTAAAACATCTACTGGCAAAGTTTCAGTTAATGCTACTTTGCCCGTTGGTTTTGTCATGACTCGAGCTATATATGAATTTTATTCAACGACCGGTGTTAAAGTTGGCTTCAAACCTGCCGGTGGATTAAGAACTGATCAAGATTGTTTTAAATGGCTTAAGTTAATTGAAAATGAGTTAGGAGATGAATGGTTATCACCTAATTTGTTTCGCATTGGAGCTAGTTCTCTTTTAAATCAAGTTGAGAAAAGTCTATTCAAATTGGTATTTGGTCGAGAACCGGCTTCATGGGAACTTTCATTGTAATTCAATAGATTCGATAGTGTTGATGGAAACTCTGTCAATAAAATGTTATTTTTCCGACTCTAAAACCAAGAAACTGTTAGCCTGTTCGTACTTCCATGATGAATAAACATAACCAATTGACTTTCTTTACACATCTCATGTTTACAAACTCAACTTTAAAACGCGGACAAATCAGAAAAGAATGATATGAGTTAGTTTTAAATTCGTAATACATGTATATTGCTATTTTATAAGTAGTTCGACCATGTTTCAGAATTGAAAACTGTTGAAAATAAACATTTGTAGTTCATTAAGCATTTTATAAGGCATCGAGGAAGAAAATCAGGAAGAGAATAGTTTGAGTTGCTTGTAAAAATCTTGAAAGATCAAGGGTTCTTCATTGATTTGATTGCATGAGCCAGAAGCTTTGAGTTAACATTACTTTCAATCAAACGGTAAGCAATAGTTAACTCCTCTAAATCAATATCACATTTTAAAAGGTTTGACATCTCAACAACCATAGTAAACGAATGAGTTGGATTTGAAACATTGGGTGATTCCTCGTCACTGCTGTGATCCATAATTGACCATTAAAATCACTAACTTGTTTGAAACCACAATTAAACCTAATAAAAACAAAAAATGAATCAAATTTACTTGATAGAAATATCACAATTTAAAATGTCTTACCTCTAATATTAAACAAATAATTAAACCAATACAATTAACAGAGAAATTATTAACAACAAACAAAGAGAAGCAACAGTTATAAATTGAACTGTTGCCAAGTTTCGTTCAACTCTTCACATGTTAACATAACAACCGGCAAAATTGAATATCAAATACATTTTACCAGAGCTGATTATTAATCAAAGATTTATACAATTTAAAGGTGCAAAGTGTTTAAATTTGTTATAATTAGCTGAGTTGACCACCTATAATCCACTGAAACTAAATAGCATGAAATGAAAAGCAATATTATTAAAATGGAAAGTAGAGAAACAAATAAACGACTAGAAATCAGGCCAACAATTGCTAGAGTACAATTGAAAGGTCCAACCAACTTGGTAATCAAATAAAGTGCCTCACAACGTGATGATTAGTTAAATTGTTAGCTATCTAAATATTTATATAAATATTTAAAAAGACTTTTGAATCATGGTTGAATAATCAAGCTGTCTTGAACGACCAAAAAAACTGTACAATTGTTATTAACAGTCTCTTTTTCATTCTATTACAATCAACTTCTCACGCAAGCTGATCTAATGTTAATAATAATAGTTTTAATAATGTTGATAGTTATATCAAACAATTTTTCACCTAATTTAAACAAGTTAGCATCCCTTTGAACCTGTAAGAGGAGGTCAAATCAATCAGTGACCAGAGAAGAAGGAGAAGAATTGAAAAAAAGATTGACTTTGATAGACATCAACATCTAACAATCAACATTTGATAAGTTAACATTACCATCAAAATATCATCATCATCATCATCTTCTTCAATTTAAGAGTCCAATTTTCACCAAAGCACAGCTTTGTACAATTGTAATTGTAATTGTAGATGAAAACTGGGCTGAAGTTGAGTTAAAGCAATTCTTTCTCTTCTCCTATCCTTTGAGTCTATTAATATTGTTAAACTGGTCAGCAATAAAGTGGACTCCAATTTTTAATCTCTGATTTATATTGTTACAGAATGTCTTTTATTCCAATCTGACACCAATCAATGAACATCCAAAATCATGTTAACTTTTCAATCTTGTGATTACCAAAAAATGATAAACATTACATTGAACAGATGATCACGTTTGCATCAACTTAAACATCCTTCCAATGGACTTGGCCAAACCTTTTTAATCACTTGCTTGATTATCAGACCTTTACCGTAATGTTACAATATTATTAACCATGAATTCAATCATTGAATCATCATCACTACTTTCAATTACTTCAATGTTGAAAATATTGTTGTGTGTCGCCCTTTTTACCAAAGGAATCAATGGTCGACAAACTATTGACAATTTTGATAGTGAGACAGTTGCTTTTCTTGATTGGTTTTATCTAAATGAATTGTTGCCGTACTTTCTAGTGTCAAATCATCAGTCCAATGGTGTCCTGACTTCGTCCACATCGACCACTGCCAATAAATGGTTGAAACCACCGTTTGTATCTCCGTCACTCTCCTCTTCATTACCATACACCGATGTTAGTCTATCTGATCAACAATCATTTTTAAACGGTTATCCAGTCAATCACTACCATCAACATGTTAATTTGCCACCATACCAGTTGATTGCCAATCTCATGCCTCATCTAATATCCTCACCGTCTGTGAATGTAAACTCATTTGGGTCCAATTCTTGGCCTAAGAGTGTCTACACGAAAACGTTTGAACCAAACTCATCTCCATCTCTGGTTTACATAAAACAAAACCCAAATGTTCACAAGTTACCTTCAGGATCTCGGTCTAGCTCACGACGCTATTTTGGTGCTCCAATGACGGGTAGAATGACCAATGATAACTTTGACAAGGAAAAGACAATTGACGAAACTTGGGCTGAATCAATTAACCCATTGATTAAAATTAATGTTAAAATAAGAGATAACATAAAAGCTTTGAAAGATTTAGAAGCAACTTACCAAAAGCAACCAATACCTCAACGGATTGCATCCAAACTGTTACTCCGAGCTTTATTGAATCCTCTGAAAAAATGATTTCATTGATAAACTAACAGACAGTTACAATTTTTTAATCATAAACCAATGCTTTAATCCTGCAATTTAATAAAATTCAAAACCCATGAATTTGTAACGCTTTTGTTTTATGCTTAATACAATCTACAATAAACTTTTGATGAACATTTTCAGTTTACAATCAATGTTATGAGCCAATTATCTGAGCAGCTAAACTTTTCCACCTCAGCATAGCTGAGCTCAATCTCATGTTTAATGAAGATATTTTACAAATAGATTCAATAAGAGGTGTTACAATAACAATTATTATTTCAAGGTGTTTTATAAATTGATATTTTACGCACCTAACGTTACCTTCATACAATATTCATTCACTCTTTAGAAACTTTTTTCAAAATACTTTGATTAACAATTGTAAGTATATTTTCATGCGGAATTGGATGTGAATCTCCAAGAATTGTCTAAGATTTAAGAAATAGGACTCTAAGTTATATTGCTTCAACATTTTAATAGTTTAAAATTAAATAATACACTGTTTGCATTAAAGTATTGTACTGCCATCTTTATTAGACATCGATTAATCAATTCTAGTCTTCTCACAATTGGCCACTGACAATAAGTAAACATTTCAACCAAAGAGTAAAGTACCTTCTTAACTCTTTGAGTACCTTACTCTTTGATTTCAACTCACAATGTGTTTCTTCAAATGAATCTTTAATTAATTGCCCTTCACTAAGATTCATACTTTTGTTACCCAGTTACATACAATAGTTAATGTTAATCGAACCTTAATTTGATATTAAAGTGGAATTGGCTATCAATTTTTACAGAAAGAGTTGAGAATGGCGGTAACTCTATTCTCTTCTGTTGCCTTATTATTGTGTTGTCAACTCGTTACGTCTTCTGTTACAGTCGGTTGTCTTAAAAATGAATACCTTTGTCCAACAGGCGCTTGTATCGATAAGCTAATGGTTTGTGATGGTTATGTCGATTGTCCTGGTTATTATGATGAACTTAATTGTACTAAATCAAACATTTCTCGTTCTTTAAATGACTCCTGTTCTGGTTTTGTTTGTAAAAATAGTGCCTGTCTTCCTAGACACAAAGTATGTGATGGTAATGGAGATTGTCCATATGATGAAGATGAATTAAATTGTGTACCTGATGACATGGTTTGTTTAAAAGATTGTGGTTACAATGAAGCAGAAAATGTGACCTTTGAGCTTTGTATATCCAATGCATCAATTTGTGACGGTGTAGCTGATTGTTATGATGGATTAGATGAGACTAATTGCTCCAAAATAAAATCATCAAATGAATCCAAGTCTTTTTCAACATCAAGGAATTACAATAGACGTAGATTAAGCCAAGACAATTCAACCTTTATAGATTGTGGGGAACCAAATGCCTTTGACTGTGGTGATGGAAAATGTATTGATAAAAATTTGACCTGTAACCGCAAATTTGACTGTCTGGGTGGTCAAGATGAACATGATTTTTGTGACAAAACACCTTGTGAAGCTAAATTGTGCTCTCACTATTGTGTTTTCAATAAAAGCAATAATGGTAGCAAATGCATCTGTTCTGATGGCTATCAATTATTACCTGATGGGTTAACTTGTGAAGATATTGATGAATGTACTCTGGATCCATTTAAAAGACCCTGTACTCATGAATGTACCAATACTTTAGGAAGTTACCGATGTAGCTGTTTCGAAGGATTTACTTCTGCTATTGAATATGGATTTTGTGTTCCGATCACAAAGAAAAATCGCTGCGCTATAAGCGCAAAGGAATCGTATCTTTTGACCTTAAAAGATGGGCATATTTTTTTACGCTACTTCAAGTGCATTACAGATCAATCTCCTATCATTGTGGCTAATGTTACATCAAAAGTATCAACATTCACATATGATCGTTCTTCACGTAACATTTACACTTACGATGTGGCTCAAAAATCGATAAACTTAATTCATTTTAATAATGATACAATTCAATTTCTCCAACTTGAAAACAGTACTCGTGACTTAAATTCGTTGACGTATGATGATTTAACTGGAAACCTTTATTGGATTGAGCCTTTCCCAGGCTTATTGAAAATTATTTCAACCAAAGACCCAAATAAAACGATAATTACCCTTTCAGGTGGCTTACAGGATGCCAACTCTCTTGCCTTGTACCAAGAAAGAGGTGAAATGTATATTTCCATGATTGGTTCAGAGCCTAAAATTGTAGTATATGATTTAAAAGGTGAAGATATACGTCAAGTTGATGAATCTGGTTCATCTATCCATCCCTCGTCACTGTTTGTTGATAAATTTTCTAAACGCTTATTTTGGAGTGATTTTGGTTATCAAGAAGTTTATTATGTTTCTTTGGATGGTCGACGAGGTGATTTCGGTCCTAAAGAAGTCGTGCACAGATCAACACACAAAATACGTTCAATGGTTGTTTATGATTATAAAATGTATCTGGCAACCGATAACCTTTTCATTCAAGTCGACTTATACGATGTACTGTCACAAAAAGAAATCAAAAAGCTAGATTCTCTCAAAGAGAGAAGTTTAATTCATAATGATTTTTATGTTCATTGCAGTGTAGACTTTAATTATCGGAACCCTTGTTTAAACGATGGTCGAGGTAATTGTAGCCATGTTTGTACTTTTATTGATTCCACCGTCCACTGTTTGTGTCCACATAGAATGGTTCTTGACCAAACAAAGAGAAAATGTGAAACAAAAAACATTTCATGCTCGTCAGGGGAAATACTGTGTAAAGATGGTTTAAATTGTTACAAGGAATCAAAGAAATGTGATGGACATAAGGATTGTGATGATGGATCAGATGAACTTGACTGTGTAACATCAGATTGTCCAGAAGGCCATGCAAAATGTCTAGACACGTCCAAATGTATTCCTAAAAAATGGTTTTGTGATTCATATCTTGATTGCTCGGATGGATCAGATGAAAAAGATTGTGCTCAAACTTGCAATCATGGTGATTTTAATTGCAATGCTTCTCAATGTATTCCTGGTAGTTGGGTTTGTGATGGAATACCTGATTGTGATAATGGATCGGACGAGAAAAATTGCCTTTATTAAAGTAAATGAAATCGCAGTACAATTTAGACAATCAAAGGTAATAATACTCGTGTACTCGAATACTTATGATTTATTTTTCTTTTCTCAATAATTTTTTGAATTTTTGTTATTTCAAATTCGCAATAATATTGCCATAATATTTTAATATTAGTCATTAAATTTGAATCCATTTTAAGAAGCTTCAATGAAATTAATCATTTATAATAAGCTAACTATTTGTTGAGCGCATAAAAGCAGATTTAATATTTGGAATCAATCACAAGTTTGAGTAATTTGAAATTTTTTTAATTGCTCTGAATATTGGAATAAAAAATTCAAGAACATTTATTAAGATCAAGAGTATCCATCCTTTGATACAATAAAAGCAATTCACAATGAGTAGTATGAGGAAACATGTCGATGGGGATGGCTCGAGTCGGAACAAACGGAATTCCTTTATATGAATTTGATTTTGGACGGCTAAGGTCGATTAAATTTTTTCGAGCCAATTTAGGTTCACATGAAACATAAATCAGCTTTTTGATATTTGCTGTTGAACGAATAGTTTTAATTACGGAAGGATGTAGACCAGGCCGAGGAGGATCGATAATAGCGGTGAGATCAATGTCATTTCCAAATTTTTCGAAAGCTCGCTGTAAGACAGAATCAAGCACATCCTCTGCTTTACCTTCTACAAATTCAATGTTTGTTATTTTATTGATCTCAACATTGTAACGAGCGTCTTTGAGTGCATCATGATTTAACTCTAATCCAATTACGTGTTTAACTTTACCGGCCAAATAGATTCCAATAGATCCAGTTCCACAACATATGTCTAAAACAACAGATGACTCATTAAGTGAAGCAAGCTCCTCGATGGTTTGATAACAAACTTCAGCAGCTTTTGTATTGGTTTGGAAGAATGCAAAAGGACTAATTTTCATGGTTAAAGAACCGTTCCTCATTGATTCAAGAATAAAAGGTTCACCGTCAATCAATTGTAATTCTGATGAATCATGGATAGTTTTATCTCGTGTAACAAAGGGGTGAAAAAATAAACTGGTGACTGTGCATTTGTCTTGGTTCTTAGTAAAGTAATCTACGATTGCTTTCTTTTCTTCCTCCAATCGATCTTTTGACATATTTTGAGGGTGGACAGCAATGATTAACATAGCCCCAAGATCAGTTGCACGAACAGTAAGTTGCCGCCAAACACCTTCATGGGTAACATTATTGAAAGCATCAAAATCTCTAGTTTGAAGATAATCTTGGAAAAGCAGTACAATGTTACGAATTTTGGAAGAAACGATGGGACAATTTTCTGGTGGAGTAATCACCGATAATGAACCTTCTTTATACAGTCCAAGACGAAAACCAACAATTTTACCAGGTCCAATACTGAATTCACACTTGTTCCTGTAGCCTGAAGTGACCGGTGAAGGCTTAATCTCTTCAATGGGACAAATAGATCCATTGTTTTGTTCACCTATTTCATTGGCCCATTTTATTGTATTAAATTGAGTGTCACCGGGACTTTCAGTAAGATGAATAATGTCTTTTCTCAAAGAAATTAAAAATGCTAAATAATTTTCAGCTTTAATCTTCAACTGTTCATCGTAAGGGGTTCTCCAAAGTGGACAAATTTTGTCGTTTAATCGATCTCCGGCATCAGCTATATTTTCTAAGCCAATTTCAGGCTCAGTAGACAAATCTTCTTCCAACCTTCTTTTAATCAAAGGATCTTTAGCAGGGTTTGCTCTTTTAGCATAAAGCTTTTGCTTCTTCCACGTAAGACCATTCATGATTCCAATTGCTTTGTCCCTATCATCAGCTGATTTGAAAGAAATGAAAGAGTATGGCTTGTTTCCTTCCTTAATCACCTTAATTTTATGAGGCTTGACTTTACAATTTTTCTCAATCAATTTCTTCAAGCAAGTATAGCTAATAAACCTAGGTAGGTTACCAAGTTCCATTTTGTAGATTTCACAGGTAAAATGACCAAGCTTTATGTAAGCATAGGGATCGTCTTCTGGTTTCTTTTCTTCCAACTCTTCATCATCCTTAACATCATCATAATCAACTTCAGATTTGATCTTTTTATTTGAACTGCTGCCATTTTCGTCATCTTCAGTTTTAATTTCACCAACACTGAATTTTAAAGACTCTTCAGCTAGCTTATGTTTACCACCAATTGATGTTTCAGCTGCGCCAGCTTTATCTCCAATCACATTATCTTCAACCTTAATATTATCAATAACTTCGGCTTTAATAGGAGACACTTCCATTTTGAAAATCCACCAAATTACACGATGATAAATGGATCAATATATGAGACAAGACCTGATGAATAGATAAAAAAACATTGGTTAATGTATAATCACAAAGAAGACTCAAAACAAAACTGAAACTAATTTGTTGATATAGTAGAGTTGTACTAACCTTTTTTATGTAAATTGTTTGTACAGATTTAAGATTAAAAAGAGTATAGTTAAATTAACTAAAAATTTACACAATAAAATAAAGATGATGATTAATATTAAATAATCGCGATTTATTTAAACTAAAACATGTGTTAAAAGATCTATACCAATGACTTGGTGAGACATGCTTTCTCTTGCTAGTCAGCCTGTTTATGTTGTCTACCGCTGCAAGTGATTCACTTATGAGATAAATCTGTTCTTTTTTCAACATGTATTCAAAGATATGAAACCACATTACTCCGAAAACTAAGATTCATTTCTTCAGTCATTTAGAGATTATTAAAATTATATGAAATAATCGCAACCATAAGACAGTCGCTATCAACTTCCCATTGAAACAAATCAAATATATTGTAAGGTGAATGGTCCTGCAAGGAGGTCAATATATTCAACAGTTCAACTTTCAACTCAACAAATTTCCATGAGTTTACCAAAATTTGCTGAACAGTTATATAAAATTAAACATAAACAAGATAATTTGACAAGATGAGTTATTGTGATTCAATTGAGGTGTTTTGAAGGTTTTATTCATATAAGTCAATCAAACTGTAATAATTCATATTAGTCTATGACAGTAAAATTAAAACAGTTCAGGGTTAATTATAAACACAACTATCTAACAATAGCCTTTGAAGCTAATTAGAATGGGTTGTGCACACGATATTATCAAAATAGTGCATTAATTATGATAAAAGATATGAAATTTTTTCAGCTATTTGGGATAAAATTCAGTATTTGGCATTATTTTAGCAAATATTTCTCAGATCCAGATTGAATAGTTGATCAAAATGGCTTCTTTCAGCTAAGTAGTTGATTAATAAATGATAAGCCTATCAACTACTTAAAGATTTGCTTTGTTATTCCGTAAGAAGTCGAGCAAATTAATGCCAATTAAATTATATTTACCAACACGAATGATTAATCATATTTTCTTCTCTAAATTATTTGTCCAATGTGAGTTGATTTCATTGAAACATTATTCACTGATTCAATTGAGATTTGCCATATTCCGATGCAACTCCTAAATAAATGTTTGTAAAACAAAAAGTCAGTCAATTATCAGTTATACTCACCATTTCAATGATCCCAATAATCAATTTAGCATTTTGAATCTCCAGTTAATCCATCTTGAATCTTCTTGGTAACGATCGTCTTCAGTCAGATTTACTTGCTTTTTATACAAGCTTTCATGAACATTAAGAGTATTGATAATAGTATAAACATGATTTTTCTGCCAGTGATATTATTTTTAATTGTTAATCAACCAGCCAGCGCAAAGAGCAATTGTGATGATTCCTGTTCAACCAAGACTTACAGCCTTTCATCAAAATTGGAGCCATCTTGCACAAAAGACTGTCCATTTGAAGCCAAAATAAGTGTCATTGAGAAAGATCATTTTGATGAATATCTCAATTTAACCTTAATTGGTTACAATGTACCAGAGTCTGAACCACTCACAATCGCAACTGAATTCAAGAAAGGACCCACATCAACTGATTACATATGTGACAAGTTTATATCCGGACTGACCAGAGCTCTTGTGACTAGAAACTCAAAATCCAAAGCCCAAACCATTGGATCGTCCATTTACATGAACGGAAATTTATATTGTACTTTGGATCATGCAAAAGAAAAACACAGTCTTGTGGCCTTTGGGTGAAAACGAGCCAGCTAATCTATTTGAAGACCCCAATTACCAGATATCATTGAGTGTCAACAAATCTTCGGTTGTTGTAGCCTCCAATTCAACGCAGCTACCGATCTACATGAGACAATATACAAAATGCTGTGGCTACAAAGTCCGTGGAAATAAGAAGTACTCTTTGATCGCAAGGCAAAACAAAGATTCAACCGATTTCTTGCTTCAGGTTTTGGGTCAGACTCCGAAGGTTGCTAAGGTAGCATTTAGCAAATCTGATGGCATTATTACTACTGAGTGCAATTTTGATGCTGATATTATTGGTGTCAATGGTTTGATCACTTTAAACGGCCAATCATCACCTCTTACCGAGCCATTGACCAACGGCAAAGTTTTTGATAATCGATGTTCCTGGACATTGCCTGGTGTTGTCAAATACAACTCGGGAAAATTGGACACTAAAAAGGGTTCATTCAATTTAAAGATATTTGTTGATGAAACTCCGGTTTACAATGAAGATAATGTCAATCTTTCTGGATTTGCCTTCACGACTTCTGCAAGTTTCATAGTAATCATGATGTCAGTGATGATTAGTTTCATTTTTCTGTGATTCTTCATCATCTGTGAAATCAAATTTAATTATCCATACGACTTTTCATCCATCAAATGTCCATAAATTAATTTACTTTTTCATCTGAAGACCAGAAACAACAAAAATTAAAATAAGATAAACATTGTATGTTAAATATTAATAAAAATCACATTAAAAACCATACTTTTGATCATCTCAAAGATTGAATTATATTTCAAAGTGTGACAATTTTTAACTTAAATTGTTACAATTCACTTTAATTCAAGAGGCAAGCTTAAATGCTTTGTAATTTAATAATAGATGGTTTATTGTTATAAATTTGGCAGTTTTTATGCGATTTTATAAATGAATCAGTTGAAAAAAGCAATAAATGGTGAAGTCATTAATATATTTCTCATGATATGTTTTGTTAAATGCATAAAGTGTTGTTTCGTGCGTTAATTGTTAACCTTGATTTAATATGAAATAATTTTTTTATCAATTGGCAGCAGGAAGAAAAAGTGGCTTTAAAAGTAAAATAGGGTTAGATTTGATCATATAGCTTTGCATTGTTTTAGTTTCATCCATATTGACAATTGAATTTTGAAGCGATTATTTTTTAAAAGGTGAACAATGAGACAAATGCGTGTTTTGTGTATATATTTTGAAAGGCACAAAAATATTAAAAGCCTGCCCACGGTTGAAGATTAGAATAGGTGAATTAATTTCAACTAAATATCTCTGATAAAATAACATTTTGGCTTAGGTTGAAGAGTTTTTCAAGTGGTAGGAATAAAATAACCGATATCCGTTGGTGGTGGAACCAGTTTGGCGAATATTCAGCTGTTTTGTGTAAAGTCGAGTGCAGACTGGTGGGATGAATGATAAGAGAAGTTATTGCATGAAGTTTATGATTTTGATGATGGTGACGATGATGATGATAATTTTAAATTTTTGATGATTTGATTGTAGGATAATGATATCAGATCTATAAATTATGCTCTGGATGGTGACGAATTCATTGTTCTTTCTCCTTGAGCGATCTCACCTTTCCGGTGAGACAGAAACTTGAGAAATGTGTCAATGCCATAAAGGGAGGTAGCAAACAGGCCAAAAAACTGTTGGAATAGAAAGAAAAGTAATGAATAAATGTTAGAAATCAAAATTATCCATTCTGCTAGAAACAGATAAATCGGTAGAGCACAAACGCCGAAAGAAATTTTTACGAGAAATCGCGAATTTAATATTAAAGCTCCATTAAACTAAACTTGAAAATTTTCGCATCTATAAATCAATGATCATGGCGAATCAAATGGTATGTATTGGTAAATGAAAATTTAATGCCTGATAAATGAAAGGCAATAAAAGGCAACTGATAGAACTATTCTTATTACATATCATAATTACCAATAGATGAACGATACACAATACAACAATTAGATGAATGGTGCAATGTCATCATTCATGATAATGATATAAAGTTTCAACTGTTTCGAGGAGACAAAAAGACAGCGTTTAACTAGCAACAGGTAATAATTGAGCTCAGATAGTGTGCTTTGTATTTTCATTATAAAAGCTTGTTCGGTCTATTTTTTTCTAACCATATCTTTACGAACAATATTCAAATGCTTCTCTACGTGAAATATTATAAAGAGAAAGAAAAAATTCTTACACCAGCAGCCGCATAGACGGAACCATCAGCAATGATGACAATGGATGAAACTAGTAAAAGCAAACAGGCAAGAAAACAATATACCATTTCCTGAGAAAAGAAAAAATTGAAAGTTCTCATTAGATTACAAAAACGTGGGAAAAGGTGTGGTATTTTTTAATAGCAAAATCCAACTTACAACCAAAAGCCATGGAATGTTATGAAGTTTTTCAATAATATGGAAAAGGTAAGCTGCGAGAAGTAGCAATGTGATCCAAAAACAGACCATGGTTATTGTACTGTAAAATGCGACTGATGAACATCCTCGGCAATCACCAACAGTACCACAAATAAAACCAATCAATACTACAGCCTAATATTTTAAAAAAGTAACAAGATGTAAAGTTAAGATAAGTTAAAAGACATCACACATGTAAAGATTTGGTCCATAGTTGAGACGAGTGATGGGGAAAAAAGATACGAAATGAAATCTTGAATAAACTTACACTTGAGATTGCTTTAATTAATCCAGGAATAGTTTTAAGGTAAGTTGGATCAAACCAAACAAAAGGTGTAACTTTGGTTGTCGTTGATGTTGTTGTTGCTGTGTTTATTGTTGTGGGGAAACCTCCAACGTTGGACATGATTAATTGAGATTTTGAGAATCAACTTGATTAAAAATGAGAAGAAACAATGAATCCAAACCAACTGAAATAGGTTACAGCAATGGAGATAGTTGACTTAAATTGAAGGCATAACTAATTCAATTAACATCGCTGAAGCAGCAAATGAAAAAAATACAAAATCTTCTCAGCTCAACAGGAGAGGGGAAAGAGAAACAAGCAGAAAGAGAGATTGAAAGAATATGTATGAATGTTTAGGAAAATTGTTGAGTTAATTCAGAGATTCCAATCAATTGATGGGTAAAAACTTCAATTCAAGACAGTAATAACCAAAAGAAAAAGAGTAAACGTAAATTAAACACAATATGCAAACAATTGTCAGTGTAATTGTAAACAGATGTCAAATTGCTGTGATAATTCAAGTCAAAACTTGTTTCTTCAACTTATCATGATACAAGAAATAAGAGTACGGATACATTAAAAGTACATCTAGTAACCGCGGTTAGTCAAGTCAGTTAACAAACATTAAAGGCAACCGGTTAAAGTAACTAAAGTTTGCTACTTTTCATTCCTCTCTATCAGATACTATCTCTTTACTCTCTACTGTTTACAAGTTCTGGTCGAAAGTAAGTTGGAGCAGATTTATGAACAACTTAGTTAGGTGTTCCTCTAATTGAATCAATAAAGTTATCAAAATTAAATTGTCTTTTTTGTTGCTGAATAAGCTCACCGTGTCAGTATTTAAACATCCAAACCAGCGTGACTTGTCATCCACTCAATGGGCTGAGAAACTTGATTCAATTTGAGCTAAACTATTATATTATTACATAGAGAAATATCTTCCTGACAGAACTTTCAGAAACTATTTTCCTGATTTCCGAGTTCCCCTTCTGATTTTCCAGCTTAAAAGAACGCAGTGAATCAACGAAATGAACGAGGATAAGATTAATCTAGCCGGCAAACAAGTGTCAAACAAGGCTTTTTTCAATTTTCTGGTGGATGTCAAGTCTTGAAATTAATTTTAATCAATGGCTATTTCAGAGTACAATTATATCTTGAACTGCTCGGCAGAAACTTAATTTGGTCTTTAAGTATTGCACCTTTAAATAGTATCCCAATTGTCAATAAAGGATGATATAATTGTTTAGCTAGACAACTTGTCTAATCGACTAGTTTTTAACTCGTATTTAATTATCATGGGTTATTATTTAGTATGTGTTTTTAATATAGTTAGACAATTTGTTAAATTTGTTGGAAATTCCTGATTCATAAGGTGATAGCGCTTGATAACAAGTCAATGCCAAAAAACGTTGAGCTCAGTAGTGGCAGTAGGACCTTGCGAGAGTTTCTTAATCGTCAGCTGATAAATGGTAATCATTTTGTCCTTTAGTCTTGTAACCCCATTTTTTAATCGTTTTTCTTTCATCTAATTTCTGTTGACATTAAATTCAATCCTCAGTTAGGCCTATTATTGTTAATGCTGATATCCATCGGAAGTGCGGGAGTAGCGCTCTCAGCTTACAAACAGCCATATTTCTTACCATCAATTTTACAATTGGAATTGGTATTCTCAATTTTCCTAAAGTGTTCGCTGATTCTGGAAACCTTACCGGCGCTTTGATTTTGTCTGGTGTATGTCAATCGTTATTTTTATGCTTTATTATTGTATTTTATTTATATTTTTCACCTTTCTTCATTCACTCAGATTCTTTCAGTCTTTATTATCGGTTCGATTGTTATTTTGAGCTATTGTGTTGATATCTGTGGTGCAGATAATTACGAAGACGTTGTACGCTTTTTTTGTGGACCTTTATACAGTGATATCTGTGCTGGTACAATTGTCCTCTACATTTTTGGAGGTTGTATGAGTGCATTTGTGATAATTGGTGATCAATCGGATAGATGTAAGTTTCCATAATAATAAGTATTTCCTATTTAAAATGTGTAATATGCAAAAAAGGGTTACTTTCAAAACAAAACAGTAAATATTGTGATTCTTGTCTTTCAGTGTTAGCATCGCTTTATGGATCAAATTTTTGCCAATTCTGGTATTTAAATAGACAATTTGTCGTGCCTTTGGTTGCTGTTACCCTGATTTTACCTTTATGCTTTGCCAAACACATAGAGTTTTTGAAATATCCAAGGTAAATTATCCACAAAATAAAAGTAAACATTCTAATTTCATTTTTATTTCTTGCAGCTTGGGTGGAGTTCTTGTCTCTGTTTATCTAGTATTTCTGATAATCAGACAATATTACCAATCAACAGCTAAGTTTTCGCTTAAATCTTCAAATTGGACTCGAGCAACTATTGTTATTCCCATCGTTTGCTATGGTTTTCAGGTAACAACCAGATTAATATGTAACATGTAATTACAAACGCTACTTTGCTTGATTCTATATTATTCTCATTTTTGATTTTTCTTCATAGACTCATCTCAACTGGATTCCAACGTATGTTCGGGTTAAGAAAAAGACTTTCTCACCTAAAGTGATTGCAATAATTATTATATCGATGCTGATTGCATCCACTAGTTATACATTGGTGATTATTTATGGCGTTTTAACATGGCCTACAGAACAATTGGAGTCAAATATATTGAAAAACTATGATGCTACTGATGAATTTGTACTTATTGGTGTTTTATGTGTAATCTTCAAAATAATCACAACTTATCCTGGAACCTTCTTCTGTGCCAGAATAACTATTGATAAATGGTATTGCAAGTTGTCTAAAGATGCGATCAGTTTTGACAATCGATTGGCTAGCACTGTAATTATCTGGGTCCTTACAAATCTGGTATTATCCACCAATTTTCCTGACATTGGAAGTATTAACGATTTATTGGGAACTCTTTCAATCACTTTCATTTTCATTCATCCTGGAATGTGTCTCTTCAAATCGATAAAAGTCATTAAATATTCTGGTCCCATAAAATTGAAAAGACTTCTCCAGATTATCTCAATTTCTTACATAATCATAGGCGTTTTTATCGCAATTTTATCAATATACCAGTGGATTGATTTATATTTAATAAACGAGAGGCCTAAACCACTATCATTGTGCACCATTTAACAAGGCAATCACAATTTGACTATCAAAGCTGCGTATTTACACTAATTCAATACTGTCTACCTGTTATCCATCCAGAGGACCGCCATTTTCACCATTACATCCAGGATCAATTGATATTGGTAACACTTGGACACTTATAAATTGTTTATTTTTTCAATTGAAATCCAATTTCTAGCCAATCAACTTTTTGATAATAAGCGTAAACAAAACTAAATTTGGATGAGCGACTCAAACAACCACTTGCATTGACATTGAAAGTTCAATAACATGGATTAGGCTTACTTCAGATTGACACGGAGACAAGTCAAACGGTACAAAAATCACTGCATAATACTCATGATTGTAGACACCAACCAAGGAAATAAAAGTAACAAATACAACAAGCTATTCAAAATGCAGTCTTTACTAATCCTTCAATTTACCCTTTCAACTCAAGGCTCAAGTTAATTCCATAATTTTTGATGGTCATTTTGATGAGTTATGATGAAAAGAAAAGGAATAAAAAGAAAATGAAGGTGAAAGGATTAATGACCTCTTGATACTGAATTGAAGTCAATTTCCCATCCCATTACAGTTATCTATCATCATTATAAACACAAATTTGAATTATTTTGGAGGCTCAAATTTCTTTCTCTTTTATCATCTTCTTACTTCCTACCTTTACCATGATCATCAAAATGATCCAAGGTTATAACTTTACTTTCTCCCTCTAATTGATTACTTCCCAGGTAACATTAAAAAGATGATTGAAATAAGAAAAATACAGTTTATGATCAGATGATGTGACCCATCCCTAGATCTTGAAATTTGACTGAATGCTCTTCAAATGATGATGATGAGTCTCAGCCAATAATCACCATTACCAACGTTATATAATTGAACATAAAAAGTATAAAAGCTTCATTGGAAGCTCTTCAGTTTTCATTTCAACCACGATCAAGATCAATGTTTAGTGTTTAATATATAAATACCATTTTGTATCCATTCTATGCAATTAAACTTCTGTAAATATACCTTGCTTTGTTCAGTGATTTCAATTTTTCTCAAATTTTAAATTTCCCCTTCTAACTATGGTTAATTTCATCTCCATTTTTACTTGTTTACTAATTGTCATCATCTCATTTGTGGTCCAATCAGCAGACTCAATCCCGATTGATCTGGATTTACCAAACCATATTGAGGAATCGTTCAATCAACACGCCCGGACTGGTAAATCATTTGAGCAGCAATATGAAGCTGCCTCCGCTTATTGTGAAAAAAACCATCGACGTAATTATAAAAAGTGTATGAAAGAACGAGGTTTCTAACCATTTTGTAAACAGTCAAGACAAGATTATTAATAAAAAGATCAATGTTATCTGACTAATCAAACGTTCATTCATTTATTAAATTGCTTAAAGTGAATTCTATCTGTTGTGGCTTCTGACCAAAACATAGCTATCAATCAGCTTCTTTAGTCTCAGCGTACAATTCATTTCCATACATAGTGATTTATTTTGGTTCTTGAGCTTAAGTTTAACTCTGATCAGACGTCTCGATTTCCCTGAATTTTCTTAATCGAGTTTTTAAAGTGAATACAAATCACTGTGTTTTAATGTTTTGTTAGACGTTTTATTGTCTATCTTTTGGAAACAAGCTTCTTAACTTCTGGTAAATTGTACATTCATTAACCAAGATGAGTTTAAAGTGAAACAATAATCTGATCGGGCTTAGAATGAGTTTTAATGTTATCTCCAACATCTGATGACTATCTGTATTAGCAGTTTGTTGATGCTTTAAAAGATATCTTTCAATATTTCTTATTGCAACATTGTAAGATTATTCAGCTTACATTGTTGCAATTTTCACACTTTGAACTGTGATGAGCTTTGAGGGTCAGTTTACAGTTTGCTAGATCATCAAGCTTGATTCAAGTTTTATCAAGATGGATCAGCTCAAGCTACTCTATCTCTACAGCCCTTAATTGCGAAAAATATTGTACGACAAAAAATGGAAAGCTAATCAAAAAGTCAAAAATATCTTGAAAGAAACAAAAAATGAAGTGACCTTAGCCTTCATTACTCTAACGTTTAACTATCACATGAATTAGGTTTTAGCTTTGATAATACCTGATAAGCAAACTAAATCAAATGATGCTGTTGATTTCAGGAAGATGTTGATTTTGTTTTTCGTACAAGTGAAGAAACAAGTTACAAGTTGATCCGATTAGCGACCTTTTTTAATTGACTGAAATGCAAAATCAAACTCTTCTAACAGATTAATTTAAACTTGTAATTGATATCAACATTATTGGCTAAGATTGGTTTGAACCACATGTTTTGTTGATTTTATTCAACAACTTGCAAGCTTTTAGTTGTTGCTCAGATTATATTAAACATAAAATATAAAATCCTTGCTACAGTGAAAATTATACAAATGGTAAGGATAAAGTCAATACAATTATAATTTCAATAGTTGTTTTATTGGCAACAGTTTCAGACATTATGATAAATTACAATAGATTCTCTTATTTGTGTGTCTCTTTACAGTTTTTTGTGTATATATATTTACATAACCAGTCTTGGCTAATTTTTGGAAAATAGGAGAACGATAAAGGAGAAGGCGAAAAATAATGTAATGTTGTTACAAAAAAGGGGTTTAAGAAAAATATATGTATAGAAGCCCACAAAAAAGAAAAACATTGCTCCAGGTTTGATGAGGTTATGATTTGGAAATATCAATGAAATAGGAAAGTAGGGCAATTAAGGTGATTCGAAAGATAACTGAGAATTTATCTTTCATAATGGAGATGATGAATGGTCAAGAGGGGCGAGTTAGCTTCTTGTAGAGTAACCTTCCTCTGTACCACTATTGGGTGTACCTGTGCTAGTTGGAGTACCATAATCGGCAGGTGATGCAGTATTTGGTGAGGCTGAACTGGTTGATCCCATGGATGAGTTTGCTGACATTGACATTGACATTGCTGCTTTGGCTGCAGCAATGGAAAATAAATCTCCAGCTGAAGGTAAAGGTGCGAGACCACCGCTAATGGAAGGTAAAAGACTAAGATCAGGTAAATTTTGAAGATGTGATTTAAGTTCATCACGGACTTGACTAACAGATTGTAGTTTCTCTTTGAATTCAGCGAGACGTTGTTCGGCCAAAGTTAAAGAGTCTTTTTGATTTTTTACGAAAGCATAAAGCATATTGGAAATTTTTTTTCTTTCTTCAAGCTCAAGAGCAAGACGATTATTGTAGTCAGCAAGAATGATACAGGCCTCATTCACTTGGCGTTGTAACCTTTCCGCTGCGTCCTTATCACGTATCTTTTTGAGAAGACTAGCATCTGATACTTCGGGAGGTAGAGAGGCGATTTTTTCTCGAACATTTGCATCACTTGAAGCTGAATGTTCAAGTTCATGTAAAGCTGAAATTAGCTCTTCTGGGTCAATCACTTTTGCTATTGATGTTTCATTGACAGTTAACTTTGAGTCATCGAATTTAACGCTCCGTTCAATTTTGGTTCCATTATTGTCCGATTGCTTCGAGATTGCTTTTTTCATGCTATTTTTTGCGCCTGTGGTGGAATATGATGAAGTGTTTTTGATGGATGATGAGTTTGTGTTAGCTGTTGTTTTAGAGATGTTACTTTTATGAGATGCTTTGAACCTTTTAGCATCGTTGGCGACAGGTGTTGATGTGCGCTCTTTTTTGGTGGGTCCATTATTTTCGTCAGTAGAGCCATTTTTAGATGGTTTGAAATCATCTATGGCTTTACGCCATTCAGAAATTTGATTACTGTCATAAATATTTCTTTCACCCCAAACAGCAAGTATCCTTTCCAAGCCTTTCCAGGTTTTTTCGTCAGCCTCTCTGTCAACAAAAACAAAAATAAAAATTAATTCTATGAATAGCTTAACAGGGTGCATTTTTTCCTGAGCTGATTGATCAGCGAATAGATGATGTTGATCACAAAAAGCGGGTAATAAATTGAAAATAAGAAAAATACTTACTTAGCAACTGCTGCAAATGCTGCTTTCAAGGCTCCGGCAAACTCTTTGGTAAATTCAGGCCCCTTTTTCCGACTGTTCTGAATAACATCATTGGCTAAATACATGAAGGTCAATTTTCGACTAATAGTCGCTGTGAGTCAGAGAAAATAGAAAAAAGGAATATGAGTTTTCACAGGGAAAATGGATGAAGGGTATAAACAAATGTTCATTACTTTGTATTGCAATGTTATAGCTTACCTTTTTTAAGCTCTTTGAACCAGGTTTGTACAATTAATTTGTGATGTTTACGATGATGGATCAACCATAACGAAAAGGTCTGTATTGTTTGCGCTGAGCTATTCAAATCACCCAAACGTTTCTCCAATTGTTGACTTGTAAATCCAGACATATTTGTATATACTTGTGAGGAAGATATTGCAATATGGATATGTATATTTGTTGATTCACAGTAATGTTGAGTAAAGATAAGGATAAGAATAGATATTCTCAAATCTTAATATCAGATTTTTTTCGGCCTAAAGATGGATCGCTAAAACCAATAGCTATCAATTAGTAATCCATTGTTATTGATTCTGCAAGTTGTGCTAATGTTGTTGTTTTTCTTAATAATAACACTGAAGTAGAGCTGCTTGGTTGGCAATAAAATGGTCTGGTGGTTTGCTTCGAGATGGAGAAGATGGTTACGAAATAGTTGATTGTCAAGAACACTTGGTCAACAATCAATAGATACTTTTATAATTAGAATCGATAGTTGAATTTTTAAAAACACCAAGCAAAAAATACGAAAAGGCAAGAAAAAAGAGAACTAAATAAGAGTTTCAAAGAAGTAGACAAAAAAAATCCGCTTGTTGGAGATGGTGAATTAGATAAACAGCCACAGTATAGTTAATATCAAATAAATGATACACTTAATGATCAATAATTATGATCAAAGTAAACATTTAGAACTGACAAATTTAAATAAATTGAAAAAAAGGACGAAAAAATGTAGAAGATGAAAATAATCAAGATAAACACATCTGTAAACAAGCATTGAACAGATTGAAAGGGACCATCCAATAATCCGGTTTTGCTGAACCCGGTTTCTTTAAAAATAAGTAATTTTTGTAAAACACAATTTTTTAATTAAAGCAGATTAAACGATGAAATTTAAATTATTCGGATACGAAATTTAACCAGATTATACAAAATTAACAAGCAAAAATTTCCATTACATAAAAACATAAAACAAACAATGAGTACAACAATACCAACCATCAATTGATCCAGAAATTACGAAAGACAAAAAAGTGAACTTAATATTACAATGGATTGATTGTTAGATATTCAAGGATAAGAGAAAGTACAGAAAGCAGTTTTCCCATTAGGCTCTTGAAACAAACATAAAAGATGGATCAATGGTTCAAATTTTCTCATGAAAACAAATATGACTACACTATAACCATTAAAGTGTAATATAGATCACGTAATCGATGGAAAATTGATTACAAAATGAAAATTGTTAATCTTCGTAATCATAAAGACTGGAACAAAGCATTTCTAGTCCATCGACTTAACCACTCGTCCAAAACTACCGCATCACCAAAAAACGCCAAAACGCGACGCAACTAAAAATACGATCACTTTTTTGATGCAACCAAACAAATTGTTTTACCGCTAGTGAGGTAAGGTTTTATAGCTGCTAATTGAAACTCATCAATCATCTTGATTAGTTGTTTGTTGAACAAAACGTGTTTCATTGAATGAAACATTTTTAAACCAAAAAACTAATCAAGATTGAATTCATTTTTAATCACATTTCATTTTCCCTCAATCCCGTTATGCCAGCAGTCGTGGCCGAGTGGTTAAGGCGATGGACTTGAAATCCATTGGGATTTTCCCGCACAGGTTCGAATCCTGTCGACTGCGAAAACTTTTTTTTTCGATCGAACATGCTTCCAATTTCGACGATTACATAATGTTCCAATTGCTGAGTCTAGATTTTTGTTGTTGCTTGAAACTCGATTTCATCTTGAAACATAATTTGCATACATTGTACTTTTACTTTTGACTTTTCACAAATTGCTTGATTTGAATTTCACTTTTTTTGTTTCACCAAACTGGATCTGGTTAGGGTTGCCATTTTGAGGAAAGTTGATTCTTTATTCTGTTAAATTAGTTGGTCCAACTCTTGAAGTTATAAATTCATGAATTTCAATGTAACTTTTGTATTCCCTTGAAATATGTTTCTCTGAGCAAGTGGCAACTCGATTTTTATGCTTTTTGTCATCTTTCTTTTTTTCAGAAATTCCATCTCATCATTAGAAAGTCGAAATTTCTTGTAATTTGCTTGATTTCTACTTGTTTTTTTTTCACAGGTGTAATCTAATCTGGTTACAAAGGATTGACCTTTTTCCGCAATTAATGTTCCATTATTGTCAGCATTTGTTCAGATTCCGACTTTTCATCTTTCCAATATGTCCAATGTATATGATATAATTATGAAAGGCAACAATATAAAGTTGACACAAACCATGACCAGTGATGATAAAATTTTATGGACGATAACAAGAGGCTAAAGAAAGGATGAAAAGATGTTAGATATGTATTGATAATAAGAAAAAGTATACAACGATGAAGACAAGTCTACCTTCTCCATGGGGAGTAAAGTGAACAGAAAATAGGAATCACATTTCCCATCTTTTTACCTCCTTTATCCCAATCATTATCATTATCATCTTTATCATCTTGAACGTTTTTTTTCATCTCCTCCTTTGCCTCCTCCAATGACATATTTTTGTATAACCAAGTTAACTTTAATTCTTTGAGACAGTTTACAAGACTTGTTTTGCGAAATATGATTTTTTTTCTTGTTTGTTGATGCTCAAGATTATGACAGTTACATGTTCAAAATCACATAAACATTGAAACTCTATCTCAATTCACTTTACCTTCAACTGAATCTTCATTATTGAAAGTCACATCGAATCTTTCTGGTTTCCATTGAAATTACCAACATCGGTCAATTGTTGCTCATGATGTTCCCTTCAGAAATTCAGCTCAGTTTTCAGCAACTCTTTTAGTTTCCTCTTTAGTCCGGAAAGTGGTAATGATGATGGAAGTGCATGCATTCTGGTTATCCTTACAATCAGCATCTCGTCCTCCAACAATTATATCGCATTTATGAATTGACTTTATATCATTCAAGAGACTCTCACTTCTCTCAATGAATTTGCATTGATTTTCATCCAGAGTTATCGTTCCTTTTGAAGTCTTCATGATCAAATTATAATGACATAAATGTCAAACCAGGAGATAGGCATAAGTTGAGCAGTTTAATTGTTACCATGTGTGAATCAAACAATCGTATTGGATCAATTTACTGTTGTATAATTGAATTTCAATAACTCGTTTTGTTGTAACATTTTTTGTATGTAGGATGATAATCTCAAGTTGACAGGTTTACCAGATATTATTATCACTTGATTGATTTAATTTGCTTTTTTGATCATTTAACCATGTTGAGTCAAACTTTAGATGAAGAGATTTTTGTTGCTCTCAAGGCTGGGCTATCAATTAACAGCAATTGATGAGATAGATGATTAAACAAATTGAGCTATGATATTAACTCTTTTGTTTCAGTATTAGTGATGTATTTATAAATCACTTCCAAGCATAGCTTGTTTAAACTCCTTTGCATCCTTTATCCATTGTTAAATAGTTTTACTAATATAGTTCAGCGATTAATTTACTCTGGCAAAAAATGTCATTTCATTAAACGAAAAAGCATCTCATCTTCATTTGTTACCTTTCCTCAAATGAGATAGAGTTACGTTGAGTGGTAACTGTTGCTTTTCAATGAAAAATCTCAGGTGAATCTTATTTCTGGCAAAGCAACTTGAAAAAAAAGCCTGTTCTCCATGAAGATGAAACAAAGTTACATGTGATCCGGTTTGCTTTGCAGTCCATGAAGGGAAAGCGTAGTAATGGTTTTAATTTACGACTTGGGTCCTCAAAATGATCAAGCTTGGGGTTGTAATCGAAATCTTGTTCAGGTCTGAAATAAAACAAGAGGTGGATAAAATTAAAACAATAATTATGATAAAAAACAAAAGATAAAACATTTCACCATTTCTCAGTAACCAGTCGTTTGGGCAAAATTCCTGCAATTTTAATTGACAAGGATCTATCAAAATAGATAGAATAAAGAAGATTAATCAACCCATTCCTTTGACCGAAATGGTTAAACCATCCATTTTAACAGTTAATTGGCCAAGTTGAATGGTCAGTTGATGACAATGACAGAAGACAGAGATATAATGAAATAACAAGAAAAAAAAATTATAAACCATATTCTGAATGACAAATTATTCTGTAATAACAATATGACCGAGACTTACCCAAAATGAACCAAATAAATGTATTAATAAAAGCAAAGACACTTATTGCTAACTAAAGAGTTGAAGAGGAAATTAATTTGAGTCAATTATTTAGATTAACCTTCAGGTTATCTATGATTGAAATTAATGAGAAATATTTCTTCATTAGCACTTGTTTAAACAGTCAAAATATACCAAAAACATGAGAAACAGGAAAAAACAAACGTTATGAGGAAAGCATGAAATAAAATCGTAAGATCGCCTGAATAATTTCACGATTGAAACAGACTATTGGCACTTCAAGAATTAAACACAAATAGCGTAATAAAATGCTAAAAGACAGATAATAAATAAAAAGACAATTAAATTAGCATAACTGAGAGTTGACAAAAATCAAAGTCACTACAGCTGGTCATGTAATCTTTCATAATTGAGCTACGCAAATGGCGCTTAATTTTTTGTTTCAAGTTTTACGCTCTAAATTTAAAATTTAATGCTAAAAATAGTTATAATTGGAAAATCAGTTCATTTTCATATTGAAACAAAGATCTGGTGAACTTAATGAACCTTTAAAAATAGAGAAATATGATGATCTTTCATTGCCAATTTTATGGAGTATACGGAATTTGATTATATTGGTTTCGCATTTTAATTCCTGAATGAATCCCTCAACCTGATAATATAATAATAAGATAAAAAATTGATTCAAAATCACAAAATGAATTATTAAACAACTCTTAGGCTTAATCGTAATCCAATAATCTTATCGATTCCACTCACATCCATCATTTGGTACAGAAAAGCCAACGGTGAAATAATACATTTGGTTGTATTTAAACTTAAAGACCCAAATGAGAAAACCCAAACTTAACCCAATTTATCTTTGATTATTAAGCACTGATTATTCATTCAGTCTCAATGAATAACTATTATAATACAGTCTTCATGAATAGTCTGTAATATCAAAATAAAGGATACAATAGTCACCAATTTCAAGTCCAACCAATATTGGATTGATATAAAGTTTCATTGAATTGTAACACTTGTAGGTTGAACTACATTCACCAGAATTCAGTTACAGTTACAAATTAAGAACATATAACAGTTGAAATAAAAGGCTAATTAAATCGACAAAATTGATCATTTTATAATTGACGTTAAAATTACGATTAGTAAAAGCAGATTGATCAATAATTAAATAATATTGACAAAAAAGGTTCAAAATGTTAGCCAAAAAAATCATTAAGCCAGCTGAAGTGAAAGCTTGAATATGCCAAAGTAGAGAGCATTTGAAAATCTTGTTTCAAATTAATTATTCACTTTCATCTATCAAATCAAATCACAATCAAAATCCTTTTACCATGATAAACATGGATTTATTAGCAGAATCTATAGGAAAGACAAAATTAAATCATAAATAATGATTGAAGCAAAGGAAAAGATTTAAGTCTGAAATTGGATGATAACAATGATGAACCAATGGTAAGGTTATCATTTACCTTCCCTAATAATTAGTTAACCAGAATGCAAAAAGTACAGGGAAGAATGAGGAAAAAGGAACAAAAAATAACATTAAATCTTATTTTCTGCTATCAACTGATTTTACCTGATTTACATCTGATTTTTTTGTTGTCTCTGCCTTCCAGACTAGATATTTTATTAATTGATTTGCAATGCTGATTTGACTGATTGCACTTTTTTAGGTTTTTGGGTTGATCCATTGGATTGGTAATGCTTTTGTTGCCTTGGCCTTAACTTAATGGTTTAACTTAATCTTTGAACAAAACCTTTGATAATCTGATCAAATGTTGATAATCTGGTTCAAGGAATGATATCATGAACATGATCAGGATGATGGGTTTGCAGGATAATGTTAAGACAATAAGATGATGATAAGGATAGAAGATGTAAGATGAAATTGACCAGAATAAAAAGTGTATCAAATTGTTGATCTGTTGATTGTCTTGTTAGCTTTTATTAATAGCATTGATCTTAATGTTAACTGGTTGACGTTCAACAGTCAATGTTTCAAGTTGACAATGTTTCGTTGTTCACAATTAACAGAAGCAAATCACTTTAAAGTCCAGTTCATCATGAAAATCCAGAAAACAATCAATTGGAAAACCTTTCAATAATAAAATGAGACATTAGACAAAAATAGAGTCCAATTGAATTGGAAATCAACTCTAAAATTGATTCCTAACTGAAAAGATATCTGATAAAACCCAAAAACCCAGAAATTAAACTTGATCAAAACCAATGAATAAATCCTTTTGCCTTCCCAAAACCCAAACCCAAATGTTATCATATCATTGTAAATGTATTGAATAAAATGTTGAGTTTACCCAAAATCGACATCTTTTATACTTTGAGTGTTTCTTGAAATTAACATCAAATGAGTCTTAAAAATTGATATTTTCTTATTAAACCAGAAATAAAGGTTATAATGTTGACTGTCAAGAAAAGGTTGAAAAATAAGTGTTTGAATCTTGAAAATTAGTCTTCAGTTTGTGTGTTACCTTGATGAGTATAAAAGTAACTTGAAAGATCTATACAATTGAATATCTATTTTCACTCCAAATAATGCAGGGAGTTATCAGTATGTATCAAGCGTTTCGTATCAACATTGGGTTAGTTTTTTATATCAAACAAGTCAACATTGAAGTACATGTAAATATTGGAACACTAATGATGACGGTTGCTTAAACCACAGGAACTTGGTTGAATACAAGAAAAGAGCCAAAGTACAAAAGGTAACCTTTATTCATACTCATATCAGCACACACACACACACAACAGCCACAGTAAACTTGAAAGTAATAATTTATCAACGTTGAAACATATTCTTGATTAATCCTGAAAGTGGGATAACAAGAAGGCTACAACTGAGAAGCAAAAAGATTTGAGTTTATAAGCCAAAACTGGACTCAACTAAGCAGATTCGTTTGTTAATAAGATAAGGATTGGACTAACATGTTGATTCTTCAAGATTTGCCATGTTTATCATGATCTTTGTTAACAAAAGGATAACATTTTGTTTGGACTTCACATAATACCTATTATTTTGATCTTCATCCTCATCATCTTGAACATTACAAATCATATTCACCAAAAACAAGAGCAAAAAAATTGACTCCAAAACAGTGTTAAATATCAATATCACTAACAAATTAAAGTAATCAATTGTTTTAAATCAAAGGCTGGAATCGTGTTTAATTTTTCACATTCAACCTTCTAGACGATTCCAAGTACTGGGTGAAGATGATTGAGATGAAAAGTAAGGTGAAAATGAAAAAAAGACAACATTTTTTTACACACTGGGAGTGAAGGTGACAAGGTTAGGTTGGGTTAGTTGACGTATCATGTTGAGATTTATTAGCCTGTTGATATAGGCTAGTCATCTTCGTCATCATCATCTTTTTTGATTACGTTAATATTTAATCTTCAATATGATGAACAACAAGTTGGTTAATTCAGTTCCTGTGTGAGACAGAACGAAAAGTGAATGATTTTAATGCGCAAGATTAGCCTGTTATAAGGTAACAACTTTAACCGTAACAATCTCATCTTTACGGTTAAGGTTAAGATCATGTCTTCAGTCTTGCTGTGTAACTTTTTCTTGATTGTTTGTTAAACGTTAACCAAATTGTTTCACTAATTTTAATGTAGAATCAAAACATTTACCATTAATTGTACCAATTGTTGCAAGATTGAATCACTTTTATATCGTGTTGGGTCAACTTTTTTTCCTCTTCGTGTTTCTGGTCAACTTTTTGGGTGACTTTTTCTTCCAGTGAACTTTTTTTGGGTTAAAATTTGTCATTTACCATTTTCTGGTTTGAAACCCATTTCTCAATTGTTTTCAATTGCCAATTTTAATTTTTTCATTGGCATTGGTTCCAAATTGTTTCGTCTTAATTTCAACCTTCTTTTTCGTCTCTCCGTTCATCTTGTGTCTCCAATGCGGTGTAACTCGCTAATAGTAATTTACTTTTTTCTTGGTCTTCAACTAATTTCACCATTAACTGTCCAAGGTTTACCATTACCAAATTATGATCTTATCGATCCTGTCTCTTCCTCATCATCATCTTCCTCCTCTGGTGTCACTCAAATGCCACCGGAACCAGAACCGGATAACTTTGGCTTTGCTGAGGAGTCAACCTCACTTCCAATCAAACGATCAGGTAAAATCGGATCACCAGTCATGATGGTTAATAGACATCATCCATTACGCTTCCTTATTGGACAAATGATTCAAAGTCCAGGTAAGTCAACCTTTCCCATAAATTCAGATGAATTTCACCAGAAATCAGAGTCAATTGCAAGTCACAAGAAGAGAGTTCAATAAAAGTAAATCCATAAATCTATAACCTAAATGAATTAACCAACATTTTCCTGGAAAACCCAAAGTTGATCATTGAATATCTCAGCGAATCGATAGCCATTACAATTGAACTAATCAAGATTAAAGGTTGAAATGGTTCGTCATTACGAGTAAATTGATTAAAAATGGTAAAAAGAAACGAGAAAATAATTGCTTTTAATATTAAGATAAAAGTAAAAAGTGAAACTTGATATAAATTTGACTGAAATAATTATTTTACCCAAAAAAAGAAAATTTTAATCATATTCTTTTTCTGAACAATTGCGAAAAAAATTGAAATGATTGAATTGCATTGAACTGAAAATGCATGCTAGTTAATCATGGTTTGATTCATCAGCATTTTATTATCATTTGACCTAAAATGATGAATAGTTATAATCAATCTGTTGAATAACATGTTTATCAACTCTTTCACTTCCATTTACTTAATCAAATCCTTTATTGTCCAAATGAATGTCCAGTTTTCCAATCAACTCTTCCGGTCAACCAACACAATTGGAAACTATCATAAAACATGATGAACCATGTAAATCATCAATCAGGATAATTAACTTTACAATTGGAAAAAATGAAAAATCTAAATTAATTATTTTACTAATTTCACTTTTGCAGTTCATTTTATTTCCATTAATTTTGTAAAACATTGGGTTCAACTATTTATATTTCATGGTTAATTGATTGTTCAATTTTAATCAATTAAACAACCATTTCAATCTTTAAACTTTTTAATTGATCTGAACAATTTATTTCGTTCATTTTTGTTAACTTAATTTGTAGGTTTGCTTCTGACCGCAATGGTGAACTTGATTGATGAAGTGAACATGAAAAACAACGAGAATTAATTGTTGACTTTTGTTGTTTCCAAACCTGTTGAATGGTTTCAATTGTTTCATAATTGTGCAAATGACATTTTATAATAATTAATTACTGTAACAATCAAACCCAAATGTGAAACCTAAATAAGGTTGAGACTGGAGTTTACAAAAGCCTACGTTGAGATGGCATTGAGATGCTCAACTTGAGAAGTTACAATTTGTTTCTTTGGCTAATTACTTAATGGATTATTTAGCGAATTAGCGAATAGTTGTTCTTATTTTGTACAGTTATGTTTAGCAATTTGGTTGTTTTGAATCGTAAAGGCTGTTCTTGAAGAGCCGAAATTTGCCTAAAAAGTAGAGTTGAGTTGATGAAAGACAAAATAGAGTTGAGCGAGGGGAAAAATATATAGATTTTGTGGTTTCGTTGGTAAATTTGACCTGAAAGAGGCAAAAGTTTTCGCAGTCGACAGGATTCGAACCTGTGCGGGAAAATCCCAATGGATTTCAAGTCCATCGCCTTAACCACTCGGCCACGACTGCTGATATAACGGGATCGAGAGAAAATAAAATCTCATTAAAAACAAATTCAATCTTTAATAGTCTTTCAGCTCAAAACATTACATTGAATAAAACACGTTTCGCTCAACTAAAAACTAATCAAGATGATTGATGAGTCTCAATTACTAACCACTTGAATGCTAATCGTTTCAACTTGTAACGTTGCAACGAATTCGTCAGTTTCTCAATTCAACTTCACGT